CAGAGGTGGGACAGCTTGAGGAGCATCAGGAATTTCTCCTGTGCTTGTTTTGTTGCTGTTGTCAAAAATAGGTTCGTTGTCATTGTTGTCGTCGTTGCTTCTACTACTGTCATCATTGTTTCCGCTGCCACCAAAGTCATCGTTGTCTTGAGCAGAGGCGGCCATGTGACATTCAATAAGATTTCTTTCTATTGGTGGAACAAAGACATCGTGGATGACCTGTCTGTTGAGTATGGAGTGAAGGTTATTTGCTGAAGGCCTTGGTCCAYGATTAGGATTAGTGAAATGGGACGGCAGACTTGGTCCGTTTGTGACCATTGTCTGACCAAAATCAGTTGGAGAATGGTGTATGGGAGGAATAGATGTTTGCTCTCTAATTGAAGTAGAAAAATTGATGTCCCGTCCCTTAATGAGGTTCTGGGATTTGTAGACAGAATAGCATTCTGAATTGTGTGAGACATGTCTTTTTAATCCTGCTGCGATATATTTGACATCGACATGAGTAGTCGATTGAGATTTATAGCCTTTGAACTTTGATTTCTTCCCCTCTAGTYCCCAACACMCABRGCAGTAGAATACAATAGGGGTTCTGATTGCAGGAGGCATGATAGTGGTACAATGCACAGTGGCAATAAAAAGAGTAAATGAAGAGAAGAAGAATATTGACAACAACGGAATAAAAGTTTGTTTCGATGCAGCAAAAAAAATTTTGTTCGGTGTTGATTAAGTGCAGGATGGGTTCCGTACTGTASAGATGAAGAAACATCAAGAGTGGAACGAGGATCTAAGATGATTTTATATGTATCCCTAACCTTGAGTGTAATAAATAGACAAATAATCTCCGTTCCAATTGGTCAAATCAGAAGTTTTTGRAAATTCAGGTGACGTAGAGGACAGAAGCTTTCGGAAATTGGATGACCCTGAATCGTGTGGTGTATTTTTATTAATTTAGTCGTGCAGAGGCATTTAATTATTTTGAAAGGTGCATATTCTAAAAATTAACGTCGCGCGAGGTTAGGAGAGGTGCAGAACACTCTCTTGGACGTAGTAGTAGTAGTCGTAGTAGTAGTAGTATCACTAGCTCTAGCTCTAACTAGAGGAGGAGCATCAGGAGGTAGTATAGCTTATTGTTGAACTACAGCTACAGCTACAGCCAGAGATACTACTACTACTATGTTTACTAGCTCCTCTAGTAGCTGCTAGCTCTAGTATTATCAATATTAGTAGTATCACTACTACTATTATGTGAAAAACAGAAGAAGTAATAGTAGAAAAAGCAGTACTACTAGTACTTGTTGTAAACTCAATACTAGTGCTACTACCACTTTACTAGTACTACTACTACTTCTTTTTCTGAAACTATTTCTATTTTCCACATAGCAGTTGTACTATTACTTCTTATAGCTGTAGCTATAGCTCTACCTCTACCTTTAAGGCCTGCTAGAGGTATCTTTACTACTAGCTCTAGTACTAGCTCCCCTACTAGATGGTAGCTCTATTAGCAACATCAATCACAATCGCTATCACTAGTAGCAGTAGTATAACTAGTAGTAGCATTATTGGTAGAATAATCACTAGTACTAGCAGTATCATGATCTGTTTACCTGTAGGTCATGTAGCTAATGAAGCTTGAGCTATCACTAGCAGTAGTATCACTAGCAGATTCACTATCTTTAGCAGTATCACTAGTAGTAGCAGTATCACTATCACTAGAAGTATAACTAGTAGTACTGTAATTGGTTCCCGAAGGGGAGAGGGGGCCTGGGGCCTGGGGGATGGGGGATGGGTTTTAAAGAAAATTTCCTATCGGTGTCGCTTCAAGCTTGTTGTCTGCTCAGACCAGGAAGCAGCAGCAACAACAAAGGCACCGACAGCAGTTGCCATCACCGTGCTTGGCACTGTGCCGGTGTCTGCTGCCGGAGCCACCACCACAAGATCGCCAAAGGCGGCATCCACCTGCGTAAACTTTAATGGCTTGGTCAAGCTCAGCTCCATATTGGGTGTAGAATACTCGGGAGTCACTACGGTTTCAAAAGAAGAAACACCCTCTCCAACAGTGCCTTCACCGTCCTTCTTGTAACTTATGGGATTAGTGGTGACGGTTGGTGTCAGTGCCGTCTCATCTCCATCTTCCACCACCTTGATTGTCTTGGCACATGTAACCGTTTCAAATCCAACCACGGCAATATAGTCATAGCTATTCTTCTCTGCCTGAGTAGGACCAACGCAGATGGAGAAGCTCTGGCCAATCTTGTAGGAGCGGCCTGGGTTTGCAGAATCAGGAGACGGACCACACAGATACTAGTAGGAGTCCAGCTCAATACTAGTAGTAGTCTCCTTTTGAGTTTCTTCCAATGATTTCATGCTGGTGCCCACAAGCAAAATGTCCTTCTCAAACATCTGGAACTTCCCTTCCGCATCAATGGTCACCTTAGGCGATGTATGAAAAAAGGAGACATACATGTCATCATGCTTCTTGGAAACCCGAGCACCACATGCCTTAAAAGTACCAATTTTTGGGTTGTCTGAATTTTTCTTTGTCCAGGCTGAATCATCTTATAGCTTCATTACGAATTCAGCAATACCTAAGAAGAACAGTACAATGGAAACACAAAGGAAGAGTATGATGAGGATTAATTTCATGGCATCCACCCATTGTTGTTGCTACTGGCCTAATGTACCAATCCCTCCATTGCTTGTAACCCGCAAATCGTCAAATGGAGGCTGGGGACAGGGGGGGGATATCAATATACTTGGAATAGTCTTGGTTAGATTGCTTGGTTGCTGGAATGGAGCCAGGGAGGTGGATTTTCCCCTTCGGAAGGGGATGTCACCATGGTGGATTTGGATGCCAGCAGAAGGTGTTGGTCAGGTATGTATGTACATAGGAATCAGTAGGAAATCTAGGTGATAATTTTGAGAAGCAAAGTGTAATTTCATGCGTTTGAAAAAATTTGAGATGAAAATGATACTGATAGTGATAGTAATATAGTAGATACTGATAGCTATAGCTTGCTATAAATAAATGAGCTAAAGCTAGTAAGGCAAAGCTAGAGATACTAGTAGATAGATATAGAGCTTAAAGCTAAAAGTACAACTATGTGAAAAATAAAAATAGTTTGAGAAAATGAAGTACTACTACTAGTAGTTAAGCAGTAGTACTAGTAATCTAGTACTGAAATTACAACAAGTACTAGTATTACTTTTTCTGCCACTCCTTCTGTTTTTCACATAGTACTACTAGTAATACTCATACAAATATTGTTAATGATACAGTAAGGATATTTTACTGCTGCAGCACACTAATATTGCTGTTGTTGATAAGGAGATTACTGCTATAGCTACTAGCTATGGCTACTATGGCTATGGCTAGTAGTAGAGTAGCGCTAGTAGAGCCAGTGTTACTGTTAGCTACCAGATCTAATGAAGCTACAATAGCCACACCTACTACAGCTAAACAGATGATACTTCTGCTAGTGTTTTTTCTTGTGATAGTAGTAGCTTAAAGTATCTGGTAGTGCGTCGTTTCGTAACGTCCCAGTCAAAACTGTTCTGGTCTTTTCTATGTTTCGACTTCCATGGTTGCAACGAAGAACGAAAGTACGTACGATTATCGAACGTGCGACACAGTCGGATTGTGGCGCGAAAGAATTTGTGGGCTATGATTACGAGTATCGCACGGTACTTCAATTGACATTAAGTACTGTAAGCGTCAACACTAATTCGGTACGTACTAGCACCCGTAGAAAGTACAGTTCCTCTAATTAATGAAAGGTACAGTACTACCGTACGTACGGGTGGTAACTGCACAGTACCCTGGTAGGCTAAGATTCGATTCGTACCTGAATCTGAAGCACAGTACCGTACGCTACGTACGTAACATGTACTTTATGTAATAGTGCTGTACGTGTACTACTGAAGCATTCCTTGTCACTTCCTCGCACGCGAGCCAAGCCAATCATGGCTATTCGTGTGATTGTGATTGTGATTGTGATGTGAGATGTGAAGGACAACAATGCAAGCGACAGCAGAACTACTGCGTAGATGTCGTACGGTACTCGTTTGTTCCGGTACGGAACTAAACAGGAGTAGATTGTTGCCTTCCCTCCGCCCGCGCGATAGTTTTTCCTCGTGAAAACAAAAACCGATGCCCAACAATCACGGTGTCGTCGATCGAATCCACAAATACTGTAGTGACAAACGTTGTTGCGAACAACACCTCTTGACTCGGCAAAGAAACGCATTCTCCTTTCTTCCAACAACGAACACAGCCACGATTGCCACTACACCGATATGGCGTCTCCCTCACCATCACAACCGAAGAGAGCCCGGAAAACTCCCAGAAATTCCGACGCGATGAATCGAAGCAACAGCCACAGCAGCAGCAACAGCCAGACTCCAAAGCGCAAGCGGAAAAACAAAAGCGCTGCTAGCGCTGCTGGACCTGTTCCGGATGTCATTGGGAACAAAAGATCCGCGGCAGCTACGGTGGCATTGGGTGTTATTGGAATCGACGCCGCCAAGCGCATCGTGCAAGAAGCCTGTCTGGACGCTGCTGTTGCTGCCGCCGCCGCTCCTGCTGCTGTTTCGACCGCCGGCGATCGCCTTCCTCCCACGAATGTGTCGGAATCCAGATCCAGGAAACCCGGACGGGGGCGGAACAAGGCCGCAGAGAGGAAGAAGACCAGGCGCCGGAGCAACGGGGCCGGCAACGCCACCGAAACGGAATTCGCGGACTTTGTGTCCCTGGCAATCGCCGAGGCGCTCGAGAAGGCGAAGCGAACCACCGTGCACCACCCCACTCCGCCGCGCGTTTCCGTTTCGCCCGATCCCGAAGAACAGCAGCAGCAGCAACAACAGCATCATTGGCAACAGCGGGAGCCGCAGAGGGGCACGGGCCTTCCGGTTCGACCCACCCACGGGCAATGCCTGCGGAGGTCCCGGAGGGAGCGGAACAAACCGCCCCTGCGGAGCAAAGTCGAGGGCCTCGAGCACGCCGAGTCGGTGCTCCACTCGATGTGCTCCCTGTTCTCGTCCACCATCGAAACACCCTGCGTGGACCTCGAGCTTCCCGAGCTCTGCGTCCCCCGAAGGATCGCGGCACCGGGCCGCCGGAAGGGGCGCAATCTTGCGCCGGTCCCGCCGCGGGCGCCCTCCGTTGCCTCTGTCCCGGAGCCGCCTTCGGGAAGAATCACCGCTGCCCGGTCCCGCGCCGACCACCATCCATCTACCCACCCTTCTCTGGTGCCGGACGCGGGCTGTTGCAGAGACCTCGACATCGACGACTACCACGACGACCACGACTCGCTTCTGCCGCCGTTGGGAACAGACGAAGACGAATCCTCGTCTTCCATCGATGTTTCCACGACCTCGGACGAATACGATTCCGGATCGCCCCCGCCACCGCTTTCGACGCCATCGTTCTCGCCCGCGAGAGACAAGAGACGAATGGAAGGAGGTTCGAACACGAACCACTCCAACCATTCGGTTGTCTCGGTGACGTCCACGCTTGCAACACGGGGGGGCAAGGGACCGGCAACAGCGACAGCAGCAGCAGCAGCAGCAGCAGCTACAAGTACCGACGATTCCATAGGGAACCAGGCTGGCTGCTACCAGAGGGGCGAAACCAAGCCAGAAAACGACGGCGAGAAGGAGGTCACCGGCAACATCATCCGACTGACCAGGGTCGGATCGGTCTCGCTGGCCTTGCTTCCGCCGAAACACGCATACACATGCACTGCACATGCACACGCGCACGTTCCACCGCAACCGCAACTTCGGACCCCCTTTCGGCAGGCGGCACCGGTGCTGCTCTCACAGGCGTCTTCCTACCCGTTGTCGCCACTGGCGGCGGTCGTGGCGGCATCGGCCGAGGCGCTGCCGCCGGGGGGATGCACGATGGACGTGTGCACCTGAAAAGCGGGGGCGGGCCGTGCCTTTCGTGCCGTGCCTTTCGTGCCGTGCCGTGCCTGTTCCGCAATGGTGGCACGGACCGGGCAACGATCCGCAGCAACGGCGGGACAGAACAGAAACGAACCGAACCGAACCGAACAGAACAGAGACGAGCTGTCGGTGACAACGGGGTTGCCAACGCAGGGAGTCGGCATGCATCCATGGTGCGTTCGTTTCGAACAAAGCGTCGCGGTAGTTTGTTTCACGGTACAACACAAAACTTTTTGTCATGATTACAGTAATAGAGTTTATTTGTTTGGGTTTGGCATTTCGCTTCTGTAGTTTGTAGTCGCCGTGTTGTTGTATGGTTGAACAGCCGGCGGAGAGTGCTCGTTTGTGAGAAGCACCACATACCGTACCCGGGCATCGGTGGGATTGGTGCAAACAAGAAAAACAGAGATTCTGTTTTAACAGATTCGCGCCGAGGAGCGACGGGACGGAATCCGATCAAACGAGTAGCGCGCGACACTACCAAATAATAATCATACGGCACGTCCCATGCGTGCGTCTCGATGCCAAGGGAAGCGGCACCTAGCTGGGAAACGAACGCAACGATACAAGAAATGCGTTGTCTCCGAACGATCGGTGCCGATACAGTCGCTCGTTCCACACACAGTATAACTATTACTACTACTAATTACTACTACATATCACAATGCATCATAGAAAGTAGGTATGGTAGGGTATAGCGGCAACATCCTAGCATACCTTTCGAACCGAAGATCCCGGCCGTTTGACTCCGAAAAAGAACAACGAGAAAGCCGTCCGATGTTCCGAGCGCGCAACGCGGAATTCCAAAACGCGCGGTTGTCCTCGTTGTTTCGCTACGGACCAGTAGTTTCCTGGGGAATCTCGCGCGAGCGAAGTTCGGACGGAATTCGTTTGCGCAGTGTCGCTCGGAGTCCGTTGCGTTGCGTTGACACGGGGGCGGGGGACCTGTACAGTGCTGTACGATGCAACACCACGGCAAGAAGGCAAGAACGACTCGACACCCTTCCCAACGCCGGAGGCTCTCCCATTGATTGCAATCCTTCCTACGGCAACATGGAGGGCCATGAAGAGCACGACCATGCTAGCTTGATGCTAGAGGACGATCCTCACAACCACGGAGGGATGGGGGAGGAGGAAATGGACATCGAGCCGAACCGGGTCGTGGTCGGTGGAAACGAAGGGAATCGCGAGGAGTTCTGGGCCCACGAACCGAGCAAGGAGGAAATCTGGTCGGTGAGATTCCACTTTTATTTATCACGTGAAATTACGTAGTTTTTCGTTCGCATCGTGAGATTTTTCGCGCACGCTTTCGTGAAAAAAATATGCTTTTGAAGATGACGGTACTAGAAGTTTCTGTTCTTGTTTTTGTGAAGGTATTTTTCGTTTTGTTTGTCTTCAGACGCTGTTTCCAAATTCCGCGTTCCGTTTCGACGTTTTTCACATACTACGGTAGAAATGATCCATCAGCCATCACATTTCGCATTCCAATGTAATCCAAATAAGCTTCGTGTCAACTACAGTAGAATATATTCCTGAAACAACCATTCAGAGATGCCTTTTTCACGAGTTCAACTGACAAACACCATCGTCGTTTGCACAGAACATTCTCCACCAGATGTTCTCTCTACTGATCTCTCACTCACTCAATGCTTCTGCTGTACCTGCCCCGCAACTATGACGTCGAATCTTTTTTTATAACTCGCATTGAATGTGCATCACGGTGTGCTGCAGATGAAAAGGGCGAGCAAGCGCCCCTCCGAGTGGCTGAAATTGCTCTGTAGGGAATGGGCAGAGACCGACGTAAACCTAGAGTTGATCGAGACCGTGGACGATAAATTCGAATCCTACAAGCCATACATGAAGGGAAAACTTTCGAGCCAACTTCTCTGTCGTCTCTGCATTCCCTCGGACGGCGATCGAAAAGAAGTTGGGGAAGCCACCAACAAACCAGACTTTTTGAAGAACGTTCTCGGTATAGAAGACGACTTTGACAGAGCTTACGTGATTGCACAAGTCGAACGATTCTGTGATTTTTACGATATCCGTGGGATCCGTCAACAGGCCGAAGCGCCGGTTGCGGGGGCAAACGCCAGTGCCGTTGTTAACAATAACAACAACAGCAACAACAACAATCGCTTCGTCGTTCCCAACAACGAGGCAACAGCTGCTGCGGCCGCCGCCCTCTACGGTGACATTGCAAGCCTCACGGACGTTCACCAGCAGGCGATTGCGGCAGCAGCGGCAGCCACTGCCGCCAACCACCACCTCCCACACCAGTTTTTGACGGCCGATGCAACCGCGGCAGCCGTAGCGGCCGCGCAGCAAGCCGTCCAGCAACAAGACGGGGAAAGCCAACACCACAAATCGTCGGCTACGAAACACTCGCACACTGGAAACGGATCCGATGGTTCTTCCGCTGGGGCTGCCTCGAGTGGTGCCATGGCCTTTGCTTCCAACCAACAACACACCAACAAGACGGCCCAGGCCCTCCTGACCAAGGCGCAGCAGCAGGCCAAGTCGGCCGAACGGGCCCTCGAGCACGAGCGCCGCCAGAACGCCAAGCGGGAGCAGCGCCGCCTCTCGCAGGACAAGAAACTGGCGCGGCAGCGCGATCGGGAGTTTCTACAGAAGCAAAAGCAGGCGGAGAAGCTGGCGCGCGAAAGGGCTCGGGAGGAAAAGAGGACCCGCAAGCTCCTACAGAGGCAGGAACGGGAACGTTTTGCCCAGGAACAAAAGGAGGCCGCTCTTCGAAGGGCCGCGGACCTCGTGGCCTCTAACAGGGTTCCGATCGAAATCACCAGGGCGGGGGGGCGAGGACGGGGCCGAAAATCCAGCGTGGTTCCAAGGATCAAGTCCAAACCGGGAAGCGGCGGTGAAGGCAACGAAATGGTGAAATCCTCCACCGCCCACAACGATGGAAATGGTGCCAACCATTCCAACGGCAGCAACTTAGCGGCGAACGCTGCAGTCGGCCCAAAGAAACGCCAGCGTTCTGCTATTATCGTTTCGACGGCGTCCGACTTGGATCGGATCGTTACCCACTCTCAAAACTTGTGGGCCAAATACAACGCTATTGCCAAGGAACACAACCAAAGGGTGAACTGGATCACCGTTGCCAAGGATTTGGGAATCCACGTGAAGGTTAGAGAAAAATATGCACGGATGCACTCTAGGGCCTGTCAGCGGAACTTCGACTTTGTTGCGAACGGGCACTGGAAAATCAAGGACCATCCAGAAATCTTCCAGGAACCGACTCCGGCAGAGCAGAAGGCTCGAATGCCTCCGCCCTTGCCACCACCGGTACAAGAGGATGAGCGATCACCGGAAGCTGATCACCAGGCTTTGGGAGCGCAATCGGTGGCGATTGTCGAAGAACATCTTGAGAAGGAGGTATTGCAACTGAGCAACAACAATACTAGTGAAAACACGATGGGATTGACCAATGACCAAAACGAGAATGCAGTTGCTACGAGTATTGTGAATGACAACAATGCTAGGATCATTTCGAACGAAAACAAAGTCGCAGCTGTAAGTGGGCACGGGAGTGAAGGGGAAGCGCCCGTGTGTGTAAAGGAAGAAGGTGTCGTCGGGAGGAATACCATCACCAATGTTGTAGTAGGGAACACAAACGGACAACCCACAACGAGTTCCAGTGCTGTTGGTACCGCTCCTTCCCCTATTCCTCCTCCCCATGATCCTTTGGACGCAGCAGCTGCGGCAGCTACGGCAGCTGCTGTGGTGGATGCCGCAGGAGTGGGTGGAGCGGCCATTGATATGCACCACGTGGCGGCAGTAGCAGCAGCCACCGCAGAAGGAGCGGGTTCCGCCGCTGCTGCAACAGCGGTAACAGTCGGGGGAAGTGAAGACGTCGTTGTCGGATATGGTATATGACGCATACCTGCAGCTACATTGTATTTTATTTGTATGCTGCACAGAATCAAGCCTAGCCTTCCTCCATCAGAGAAAAACAAGTGTTATGAATTAAATCAACCAACTTGTGAACAAAATATGTATGCTCAAAAGTGTGTCGCAACGGAAAACGCGACACGGTGTTCTACTCTTGTTCATTGTTAGGAATCCAACTAGTATTGAGTTTTAGAAAAAGAACAGAAATAAAAGTAGTATCAGTTGCAAAAAAGGGCATTTCCATACCAGACGTTTCAAACATGCTCAATACTGAAGTTTGAACACATCTCTAGTACAAATCAATTGCATACCTGTCATCAACACTTGATGTTAGACACAGTACTACTAGCTAGCAGCTTATACATTTGTTTATATGCAAAGATAAAGGAGCACACACAAAAAATAGTACTGCTGGTATCTTGTGACTATTCAAAACATCAATTCTGCTAGTAGTTGGTGCCACCTACCAAATTTTGGACTGTTGTACGTTAGTAGAGCTGTTGGGCTGATTGGACTGTGTGCTAGTCTCTCCTTTCGTTCTACTATTGGTCCGATCTAGAAATGACTCATTCACTAACTACTCGTGATCTAGTCTCACAGTCATTACAATCAAACAGGCCTAGGTCAAGGGACATGTCACAACTTGCGCGCGTCGTCCCTCGAAACAAAAAAGAAATGCCCTCCAAAAATTTAATTCGGCGAATCGTTTGACATACATGATTGCTTTCTGCCTGCCGATACTCTCCTACCGGTTAGAGAGACCGTACTCGTACTCGTACCGGCCGGTATCGTAAGAGGAAGAACAACAAGTTAGACGGAAGGGAGACCCACCGAACACCCGCATCGAAACGATCAATATCTACAACATTAGAATCGAAGGAGCACACGACAAGCAAATCTGAGACAAAGCAGCCCAGCCGAGCATCTTTGCCAAGAGTTGACGCTACTCGAGAGCAACAGCAGAAGCACAACGATATTAATTTGAAATTGAAAATATTTTGATTAGAACCAAGATGTGCCGATTCATTCATGCAAACAAAGGAACAAACCACTCGCTATCGACGATATCTCTCATTCTGGTTTTATCTGCTATGCTATTCACGGTGGTCCCGGTTCGTGGAGACGAAGCAACTCTGGTCGCCCCAGTGCCAGGAAATGGCACACTGCTTAGCATAAATGCCTCGGAGGTGCCCTCGGCCGCGCCAACGATCAGCTACTGCAAAGGAATCTGCGGAGAAGGCGGACCGAACTCAGAAGGGTATCTTGTGGACCCCGATTTTGCTACGGAGTACCAATGGAACCTGCGGGTCCCCGTCTGTTCCGGAGCTTCGTGCGAGAAGGCCACCTGCGCGGAACTGTCCATGAGGCTCCGGACAAAGGACCTGAGCGACTTTGAGTGCCGGAAGCACCAGGTAGAGCTCCAGCGCACCGCTTTGTGCACCTGCACCGATCCAAGCGAAGACGATGATTTCGGCATGGGGAACGACGATTACTGGGACAATCGCACCACGCGTGCGTTTAAACCGGCCGCAAGATACACCCTGCTCGGGGTGATGTCCGCACTGTTTATTGCCTGCTGGGTAGGCCTGTATATTGGAATCCAACATGATGATGCGGAAAAGGAAGCCAACGGCGACAACGATGAAGATGTCGAATAACATGGCAACGAACGGAAGTGCAATTGAAAGATTGAATCGGTTTTGAGGAAGACGATCGCAAACGCTAAAGGTGGAAAAAACCTGCTCGATCGATGAATAATGATTGCGCAACAATACACATCCGTTCCGTTTGAACCAGAATCATTCGGGTGAATTTGATGATTTGATTCATAGGAGTTGAGTTTCTAACAATAATTATCAACGACTTGAAAAACAACCAGCTGCATTTTCTATTTCGTTTCATGGAAGGTTACCCGTATTTTCCTTGAGAAATGCATGCGAGAAAATCAGTATGTTAATTCTACATCTAAGGACAACACCAAGTGCCGTCCTCAAAAGAAACGAATTAAAAAGATTTCGGGCAAGCCATTGGTCGTCCCCCCAACGAATCTTCCGCGTGGACATAAAGGAAACTACGGCATTGTGATTGCGATAGTCGCCGATACGCTTGCTGCACAATTCTTGTGAAAACGCAGCGGATCTGTATCTACAGTTGGCTTATTGTCTGTTTTGTATGTGTAACATCTGATGTATCGTGTTTTGCTGGTAAGGGGAGTAGAATAGGAGGAAGTACATCGAGAAATCACAATACGAAACCGATTGGTTCAAAGTCGGCATACATGCAGTCGAACCCTGATGAAACATATCGTTTCGACGACGGATTAACCCGTAGTTTTGCCCACTCCGTACCGCACAGACCAAACCGCATTGAAATCTTTTTGCCCTCGATTAGCAAACAACAACCCTAGCCAAACCAAACCACGTTGTAAAATGCAACATGCCACAGCCCACCCGGTCGCAAGCCAGGGTGATGTCCTTCATCGGGACAAGTGTTCCTTCTGTTCCGTGTTCATCGTGATTGTTATGTTTGGTTTTCTCTGCACTGGGTTGCTTTTGTTTGCCTTGAAAAGGATGGTTGTGTTTGGTCAACATTTTTCGAAATTTCGTTGAGGGCAAAAGGATAAAGGATGATGCCGTCCAACCAATAGATCGTATATACTGTAGGTATGTATGTACTTACGTATGTGTGTACTTTTCCAGCTCACCTCCGGTCCGAATTCCTCGTAGAATGGTCCGTCCACCGTTGACCTCTTGCTGGTCGAATCTATCCAGACCACGATTGCTTCCAGAAAAAAACGCACAAGGACGTGAAGGAATCGTGCCAACACGCTCGACGAGGAATGGGAATCGACGACTGATGGAATTTGATTCGTCCACCGACGGAATTTTCGGCGAAAACCCACCTGCTCGAAAAAATTCACTGTGCGCGACGCGATGACCTCTTGGAGAACGTCACGCGGACACGATTGTACGGTACGAGTCGTACCGTACTAGCTCTTCCTTCAATTTGGCCGTCGGTTCGTACTTGCGATGGCGTTAGGTTATGAAACTTTACGCTATCTGCTAGAATTGTTCCAATTGGGCATTCCCGATAACATATATCTGTGTAAATTTTGGCACGCCCGGCTCGCATTATGACCCAAAATACATAAAAGTTGGTTGTGGTGGGCCCACGACAACCAAGAAATATGTAATTTACATATTTTTGAACTGGAATCCTTGACTTAACCATTTCAGTCTCGGGAGCTGGTTTGGTGAAAATCCCAAAGTTCCCGCCACTTTGGAATTTTGTCAAATTAGCATGTATTTATGCAGGATTCCAAATTCCAAAAATGGGGGGRAAATATGTAAGTTGAGCTGTCTGTCTGTGTCTTCTGTACCACTGAATGTGATTCCCGAAAACATACCGGAAAATATGTTATCGGGAATGACCCATTACCGTACCTACTATCCTAGTTAATGCGGTTGTACAGAAGAGTGTGAAAAGTTGAACTAGTAGTACTACTAGTAGTTGAAATGCTTCAACAGCACTCTGCAGCACTAGGTCTCTGTCAACAACATGGTATTAGTTCAAGAGCCCGCATTAGTACTACTATTAGATGCCCAGAGCGTGACCTTGATTTCATGATTGTAAATGAAAAATGAATAATATTAGAATGGCTCTTTTAATACCTGTGTGAGGACAGATGTAGTCAAGTTCTACTTGCAAATCAGAAGGGTAATCCTTGCTGATTAAAAGCCCTACCAACGCAATGGAAATCGAGAGGTTGCTTTCGTGCTCGGTCGTCCGTTGTTTTTCGTTCGACATGTGTTTACGAGGTAAAAGCTTCTAGTGAAATGACTGGTGGTATTTTAATAGTGCATTGGTGTTGTTACAGTCTATTACAGTAGTCTATTCGTAGGTTATGTTTGTGTCTGGGCTGCTGGCTAGTAGTTAGCAGCGCCCGCTCAAAGCATGGCTCGTGTTCGAGCTTGGTTGCAAGCAGCGGTCGTCGGTTGCCTAGGCCACCACCCGCATCCGCTTGCACGGCGACTCGGAGCTGCTCGTTTTCTCCGCTTGGTACGGCCTCAGAATGGCGCTGCGCTCGCTCAGAAAGTCGAGCCACCGTCCGCGGTCCTCGCCCCGGGAATAGTCCAGCGGAGTAAAGCCCCGCTTGTCCTTGCACAGCAAGAGGTCTGGAACGTGCGGCTGGCGCAGCAGGAAATCGACGACCTCGTAGGAGGCCGTCGACGTCCAAAAGGCGTCGTGCAGGGGGGTCCGGTGATAGTCGTCGCGGATGGCGGTCACGTCCAGGCCCACCTCCTCTACGAAAAAGCGGACCATCCCCAGGTTTCCCCTCCGGCAGGCAATGTGCAGGATAGACTCGCCGAAACGGTTGCAGGCGTTGCACCCGTGCTGGAAGCCACCCGCCCGGTAGAGGGCCTGGGCCTGCTCGAGGTTATTGGACCGGACGGCGTTGAGGATCTCCGTGTGGTAGGCCTCCATCATGGCCGTGGTGACCGGGAGGAAACGGGGCTCGCAGTTCTTGGCGATCGACTCGAGGTCGGAAAAGCCGTTGGCGCGAAAGATGGTTTTGAGGTATTCCGAGGGGCTGAGGTCCGAAACATCTGTGGGGAGTGCCGCGGTGGGAGTGTTGGTAGCAGAGGAAGAAGAACACGCCGAGGAATCGCACTCTCCGTTGCTGCTGCTGCGGGGGCGCTTCTTCGAGACAACAGCGCTAATGTTGAGGTGGTTGGGAGAAAATCCCTTGACGGATTGAATCGAGGCGTTGCGGATCTTTGCGAGGCGTGCGAGATCTAAGGTGAGAACTGGAGTGGAGAGCATGGTTTTGCCGTCAGCAGTGGTAATGTGTGGGCAACTTGTGGTGTTGTGCCGTTTCCGAACGTTTGAGTTTAGCTTTTTTGACATTATGAAAGGCATCGGGACGGTTTATGTATTGATGTGAGTAAGTAACCGTTAGTAGTTTCAACTAGCGTAGTCGTGATTCTTGTAAGTCTCTATGGTGACTATGTTTCTTTGCTGATATGTTACAACTATGGTCTGATGTTGCAACGATGATGTGATAGCACTGGTCTTCGTCCTCTGATGCAATCACCAATGTGCTGTTCGCCGCAGTAAGGAAAGTACGTAAAAAATGGAATGCAAGAAAAAGAATGCTCCACCGACGTGTTGAAGAAAGCAGGTTCGTCCCACTTTTGAGAGAATGCCCCAGCTGGTTGTCCTTCGATGGTGTGGAGGTGGCATGGCTGACTGACACCAAAGAAGAACGCGTTCTTCACGCTTCCGTGATCCAGATTCTTCCACAGAGCTTGCGAGGGCATCGGAAGCGCGCGGTCCCAGTTATTTTTTAACTTGTTTCTAGGGAATTTCATTTAACAAATTTTACGTAGCAGATTACTATGGGCTATTATTTATTGACTTCGATACGCGTTCTAAGTCGTTCTTCTAGCGATCTGGGTGAGACCAAAAATAGTCGTCCACTCATCAAATACAGGTACTCGTAGTGAGTGAGCATAGTGCATTCTTCTTATGACGCTCGATGTGTAAGTTCTTCTTCAAAACTCGATATTGGCGTCACGGTTGACAGGTTGGACTGGACAGATGGATTGATTGATTCAGAACGACAACGACGACAGCAATTTGAAGCCCCCGGAGGTAAGAGTACTAGTCGATCAGTAGGTTCAACGAAGCGTGGATTGTGCAGTCCGACGAGTGAATCGCCCTAGGATTGACTAAGATTGGGAAAAACCTGCCATCTTTGACTCGACTTTAAAAATCGTTACTTAAATTTAATTTCGAATGCATTCTTCTATTCATCAAAAATACCGTACGATCGAAAACAATGCCTACGCACATTCGGAGAATCAGCCTGTTGTGACACAAACCTGCATCTGTTTCTGCGTTCTGACCGTTTGGAACTAAATTCGCCGAGTCAGTCGGGAGTTGTTGTACGATTGCCGTTGACTTCTTTTGCCTTCTTCGGATGTTCTGTCGTACTGAACCACAGTCTCTGTGCTGGGGTGTGCATTTTCGGACATGCCGCTGATCCCACTTGCTACCCTGGTACCCATTCGACAGCCGTACTTCGGAAGCAAAAGCGAAAACGAATGGCATTCTTCTCGTATTCGATCGAATCAATGAACATGATGCGACCGTTTGCGATCGAATCCGATCCCCCGGAACAAGTACTAGTGCTGTGGCAGTGGTAGTCACCAGTCAGTGACATTCGAACTAAATTCGCCGAGTACGTCTCGACGAATCGGTACACATTCTACTGTTCGGAAGGGTTCGGGGGAACCGTATCGTAAGCAGCTGTGCAACGCCAGAACCCGAAGGCATGTGGCAAAAGCTGCGGCCATATGCTTCAAAAGCGCATCGCATTCTTCCCTAAGAGAACGCGGGTTCTGTACCAGGAACGCATGTTCCCCGACCAAGACACAAAATCATCCACCACAACACCACCACGGAAGCCCTTCGTACTCGTTCGGATACCTTTGAGTCGATGCGGTTGCCTGCTTGGGATTCCTTCCTTGAATACACGGCGACCAACCACTCTCCATGCTGACTACCGACCATCGGAGTCGCAACGTGCTCCATCCCATCTTCCTGGGTTCTTCTTTCTACGATTCGATCCGTTCTCCAAGTGGGTATTGAGAAGAACGACGAGGCAAACATCTGCGGCAAACAAATACTAAAACGACTACGCAACTACTCAACGTCATAAGGTATCGCTAACTAGAAGTACCACCGGCGCTGGCACATGAAAAGATGCTAGCGCAGAGGCAGATGGTGGTTGAATCACAACGAACAAACAGCACAGCAGAGCTCGTCACGATTGCACATTGGGCAGTCGAAAGCAGATGCTGGGCCGCACCGACACATCCTCGACTAAAATTCTCCTCGTCGGAACGAACGAATCCACCCATGAATCAGAACCATGGATGAGACGCAACAATCAACCACATACCACTCCGCCCCGTGCGGTACGCTTGCTCCGTACGAAACGAATTGTCGATCCATCCGGTCTGCTCCTTTTGTGCCTTTTGTGGCGTACAACGGAGGTGTCCGGATCAAGCCAGCTTTCCGGCGACGGGCGCAATTTGGAACGCCTTGCGAATTTCTTAGACAGTACAAACGAGGACTATTGCAGAAACGACAGAATACTGTGTTGCGCCTCTGTGCTCGGCAAGAGCCTTGAAAAGATCGATCGAATTACTAGTGCGTGAAGTGCCGATACCTGTGGGCCGGTACTGCATAGTTTCATACGGAACGTACGTTCTTGGTTCCGTGATGCCAATGGAACCGATTCACGCGGGATAAGTCAAGTACTTTTGACGAATTTATCTGATTGGTTCGTTTGATCGTGCCAAGATTCAAACCATTGATTGAACTAATTATGAGTGACGCTGAGTCATCTACGCCTATCCATGTCAGCACGTGCATATTACAATGAACTTGTTAAGAATTGATTTGATTGGTTCCTTGGCTCTTTATGTATTCAACCCGTTTTCCATACATACTTGTCAGTATTGCTTACTCATCTGTGCCTACGAATAAATATGAAATGCGCATAACAACTGTTGCCACGTACAAGCGAAAATTCAACCTTCATGCTTTGACTCAATCACTACCTTCCATAAAAATCAATGTCGATACCGCTCCGTACTGCTTATACCGCACCTGTGCAATCCTGTACGAGTTCGAACGTAGGGATAGGAAGCAACGCCATCGTCGATTTGAAGCTTCCTGGGAATTTGAAGGAACCGAGAGATCGCCAAGGAAGCAAACTCCTCACAAACGAAAGAATGTTCTCAACCCATCAACTAAGAACGCAGGATCCATTGCCCAACATGAACCGCTTGTCGTCCAACCAAAGAACCGAAACCCTCTCGTCTAGGGGTCAGGAGGCCATCCGATCCGAGCTGCTGGACAGCCTGGGGATAGCGCGAACGATGAAGCCATCCGCATCGCAGGATTCCTTCGGCAAGGCAATGGAGGCGCGAACGCTGACCTCCACAATTCCCCAACGCTTCCAGTCCAGGAACTACAAGTGGGAGCTGAGCTTTTCGTCGGCGAGGAACCACAGTGTTCTCAGCAACGACGAGGTTGCCAAGCTTTCACTCAACGGGACCAATAACTTTCGATGGGAACAGCACCGATGAAGGAACAAACGAACAAACAATGCACCGACGCCAGGATAAGATGGCTTCCTGGTGCCCTTGGTTGCCCTGAATGGTTACGGTCCGAGATCGCTTCGGAGCAGGGCAACCGCGCAAACCTCAAATTGCCACGACGCCCGACGAGAGGGCAACTCGGCCACACACAAAGCAGAAGAAAAGACTTGCATTCCGAACCCGGCGCCAATGCAAATGGTATTCCTAATCGAAGACACCGAATTGCGTCACGATGCACACAGAACACGCGATTCATTTGCGTCTCCTCGCCATCGAGAACTACCACCGTAGCACGCACGGTTGATTCGAACGCGGAAAGTAGCACCACGAACCATGCGAACAGCTTCCCATGAGTATGGGAGGTGACCATTGGGCGTCGCTTGAAAGCAGTATACGTGGAACTAAATATGATATATGAACTACTAGATTGAAACCGTTACATGCAACATTCATCGGGCTTCTGGATTGGTACTAATAACATCGAAGGGATCTCAGTATTTATCATTGACGGAAGATGATCTAGAATAGTTGATTGGAAATATTAGAGTTTAAAGTGTATTTTCTGCGTGCAATCCTCACACAAAAAAGCTTCGAAGCTTTGTTAGTTTAGTGGTAAAATATCTGCCTTCCAAGCAGATGTCCTGGGTTCGATTCCCAGACAAAGCAATTTTGGATGTACAACTATTGTACCCTGATCTTTTTGTTCACACCATGTTACTTTTACCGTATCACATCAAAGAAAGATAGATAGTGTTCTTGTAAGTGTATCTGTTGTGCGATAGTATCCTTGCAATCCTTCTTATTGGAAGAAACTGAACCCCTCACTAAATTATGATGAGAAAAATGCAAAGCTATCAACACCAGATTAGTAACAACAAAAACGAGAGAAAAAGTAAGAAAATTACTATCTTCTTGCTGTGTGGTCAACATTCTTCTTCATTGTTGTTTTTGTTATTTGAGTGCAAGAACTCTTGTTGTTCTTCTTCTTTCTTGATAAAATAGTAGTAGAGGACAACAGCAGCACTGGTCAAAATCTACCCAAGAGTTGCATTGAGTAATTCTCAGTTACTTCTACTTCTACTACTTGTACTAGTACTACTAGTACTAGTACTGGAAGTTAAATTCATGATTATCTTCAACAACATGAAGAAAGGGGATTTGATAGCTGTTCTTAGTAGCAGGTTTCCTTCTTCTTTCACAAGCCAACATTGCAAGTTGAAGCCAGTGGGTTATGATGAGCAGAAATGCTGGATTGCTTCCACATGAGGGAGGATTCAACTCCATGTCCTTCCAATCATACAGGTGCAAGCAGAAGTAAGAAAACATTGACTGATTCTTGTTGTACTGATCATAATGTGAACAAAACATCTCAATTATATATTGTGTCTTGTGAACTAGAAGATGCATTATGATGATAGCCAGAACCATAACTTCTGTGGGGAAGAATTCCTAGCTGCTCCAATGGGCAGCACCAACCTCAGGATGATAAAGAATACATTGAATTGAGGCACCAGTGTGGTTGTTTCAGAAGTCTGAAAAGAAGTACTAGTAGAAAAGGTGGAAGAAGTATATGATGTTTCATTTTGGAGAAGACCAGCAACCCTTGCATGACACTCTCAAGTGGTGGTTCTTTACTGTGAGGCAAGGTTGGAAAACACTGCTGGGTAAAAGGGTGTGTGTTGAAGACAGATATGAGGGATGCTTTGCAGACACAACCACAAAAACATTGAATTCATGGAACCACTGCACATTTATTTTACCCTTATCCATCCTCCTAAAACATATCAACTTTGTGCAACAACTGGTTTGGGGGTTGGTGAGAAATTCCATGATATGTGGTTTTGATACTAGATTTTCTACTATTTTGCCATTTCTGGTGGTGACAACAAGTAAACCCAGCCCACACAACCACCAAAACATTGAATTCGTGCAACCACTGCTCATTATCTGTCCCCCATCCACCCTCTTAGATCATATCAACTTTGTGTGACAACTGGTTTGGGGGTTGGTGAAAAATTCCATGATATGTGAATGTGATACTAGATTTACTACTATTTTGCCATTTCTGGTGGTGACAACAAGTAAACCCAGCCCACATAACCATCAAAACATTGAATTACTAGTGAGGTAATACAATAGAAAGGAATAAGATGCTTGTTCAGATATGAATGTTTCATAATCCTTTCTTGGGAATAAGGGAGCATGAGATGGACAAGTCTCCTGCTGTGATTTCAGGGCAAAGAGAGTACAGGTTGTTGTTAAATCAAAGGCTGGTTTAGTGTTTGTTTCTGAGAATGAGTGCAGCTATGAAGGTCTTTATTTTGCTGTTGCCCAGTATGAAGAATTCTACTAAGTAACTTCCCAGCAGCAGAATTGGGGGATGACAGCTGAAATGTAGATCAGGTTCAGTGATCCATTGTTGAAGTGGAGGAAGGTGGCTAGTACTAGCAGCATATTCTTTTACTCAAGGGTCATGATGCACCTGATTCTTGCAAATGAATCCAACTATTGTGACTTTGAATGGGCAGAGGAGCTCAAGCTACTACTACTAGTACTGATGCAAGATCCTCAAGAAGAAGCTTTGAAACAATGCCACCTTTTGTTCTCATATTTTGACATGGCTTGGTATACATCGACTAGTACCTCCTTCTTGGAGGTTTGTGCTTGAAATAACATGTTTGAATTATTTGGCTAGTAGTAGCAGTCTTGATAGTATTCTTGCTTGTTGATGTGATTATGTCATACAAATTTGATGCTCCACTAAAAAATATATGTTGAACAAAGATCAACCATGGTGTTCACATATCAGACAAGGATAGAGGTGTTGATTATTATGCATCACTTGAACAAAATTCAATTGTAGCATCTTTGTATTTTCTCCTGGTTGCTTGACAAAGAGGAGGGGAATTCCTACTAGTACTACATAATTGCCATTGGTGGCCTTGCATGTGGTGATGCATTCTTACTAATGAAAGAATGGAGGGTGCACTACTGGTGGAAATAAAGGAAAAATGGGGGAAAGTTTCAACATCACCTTCTCATCATTACATTGCTAATGGAAATGTGACTCAAAGGCATGTACTGCTAAATGGTATAGTGGTGGTGGTGGAAAGTATGAAATAGTGACAACAAACCATTCTGTAAAGGACAAAGAGAGAAATTCTAACTCATAAATGAGAGAATTGAGTCTCTGGTGACTCACTCCTCCTCATATTAGTAGTAGTCAGACTACTACTAGTAGTGTATGAGGATGTCAAGAAAAAGTGGTTGCATAAGAAGTCACAGTTCTGCTGCTATACAAAGAATAGTCTTTGAAATGACTTTGATAATCATATGAAGAAATGTAGAAATGTAGAATTGTGAATGAGATCAAGAAGGTTCTGTAGTAGTAGTGGTACAATTATGACTAAAACAACTACTACTTGTACTACCATCAACAGGAAAAAATAGAAGTTAAATCATACTACTAGTATTATCCTTGGTTCTGCCTCCTTGGAGGAGGTATCACCCCTCAAAGGGATATCTTTCTGCATAGAAGAGGAAGTGATTGCCTAGGTCAGCAGTCTACTAGTGCCTCTTCTAGCTATAAAATGTTTGTTGTTTTTGCATAATACTAGTACTAGTAATATCAGTTCTACCAGGGGTTTTGCTTGAGCATTTCTTAAATGACAAACAGAGGAGATATGCTTCTTTTCTTACTCTTTATGGAGGAAAAGTTAAGAATAGATTGAGAGGGGCCTGGGATCAGATTTTTCAACAAAAAGTACTAGCTACCTCCATTCCTAAAATATTAAAGTTTACCCTAGTACGACTCCTGCTAGTACTCTTTTTTTCCAAAATAATGCTTGAGCATTTAGTACTAAATGGTTTTGGAGTTTTTGGCCATTGAATTCCACAAATTACCACTAGTAGTATTATGTACTAGAATGCATAGAATCAGTACTGAATCAGTACTATATAGAAAATTTTTCATGCAGTGATTAAAAATTATCATTGCTGCACATGAAATTATTATGTTTGAACACACCAGGAAACAAAATAGTGTTGACAATGGTATGGTTCACCTTTTTTGAAGAAGAGTGACCAATAAGAAAATCATCTAGTACTACAATAGTAATGTGAAGTGTAGTGTTATATATCATCTACTACTGGCTACTACTGTGTGCAATTAGTGGTGTATCTAAATGGCCACTACTAGTAAAAGCAAAGTGACAGTAAAATCACAATAGTATGCCAAAAATGGCTATATTTGAAGAATGGCTACAATGATCTTACTAATAGTAATATAAGGTACATCATACAATTGTCTAACTGTACGCTGTTTGAATGAATAGATCAAAGAACCATTGAAATTTTGGCTTAATCAGCTCAAGAGGTGCTACAAATTGCTGCTGTACTATTGTTTACTAGGAACAGAGGAGATAGTTGATACTAGTAGCTAGTACAGAAGTTGGAGAAGTCCTCCAACATAGATCAACATATAACATGGATCATTCCATGTTTTTTGAATACACATCTCCTGGGCTGGTGAGGAGATAGTATTCATTCCATAATTTTGCTTTGACAGTACTATCATGTTAATAGCAAAGATATTTTTGTAGTTTTGCTGGTAATTTCTGCTAGTAGTTGTCAACTCTTTTCACATGCCAATTGAACATACAAACACTCTGTAAATGATTTTGCAGTGGTGTATTACTAGCTAGTAGTACTATGAACCTACCTATCATTTAGTTTGTGTGTTATTTACCAGCAGCGCAAGTACTACAAGTACTACTAGTCATCACATGTCATCACCAGCACCTCTGTGGCTTTGTCTGCATTTTTCTTATTGTTCATGGCACAATTCTATATCTATTTCAATTTCAAAGAAAAATATAGTATGATCATGGAATGAAATCCAACTGATGTTTTATTACAACAAAAAGAGAGCTTGGTCCCCGATGATCACTTGCCAACAGCAAAAAAGGGTAATTTTCTTGAAAACGTAGTATTCAAAGTGGATGTTGGCATGTGTGTGAGGAGAATGGGAATCAGTAGGATATACAGTGCTATTGTTGTGTGTAATTGAATAGGCAAGAAATAGTACCATTGGTTGATTTCCCATTTCTAATGGTAGTACCACTAAATTCTTTGAAAGATTGAAACATTTAGCATAAAATGTACTAGATCAAGGGGAATTAACTTTTAAATTGTACATGTCAGTCTTTAAGGAATATTGAATCTAGTACTAAATTAGTAAGTTGTCAGGCAAGAAATGGTATATGCCAAAACATAGAATTTTCTCCCATACCCAAAATCAAGGGTTGTTTGAAATCCCAGTCTATCAAATGGAAAATCATGATCAATCACTCATCATTGATTGTTGCCAAAATTCAGCATTGTACCTATTTGTTCCATAGAATCAATTTCCTACTAGTACTACTACCCTTCAGCAATTTAAGTTTCAATGATTTGTTCCAGTAATGATGACCCCATTTGAGTTCTTCTATTCTAATAAAAGCCATTATTATCACATTGACTGTTGGTTTCTTATATTCAGAGGGAGAAGTAATAACCATTGATTACTTATTGCTTTCCTCATGTAGTAGCAACAGGAAAATGAGTATTTTCCCTCTGATTTAGACAGTATTGACCCTGCTACAATTGTTCCACTCCTTACTTGGTTGCTCCTCAAACAAAACTCCTCAGAACAATGTACTGCTGCTCAGATCAAGTACCAGGAGCACTCTTATTTATTTACCTAGATTTATGGCCCTGGCCATTATAGCACCTCTCTGAGTTCAAGAGGTTTAAAATAACATCAAGATTTTAGCAGCACAAGGACAAAACTCCAGAAAGCACCAGAAGACATGTGTAACAAACAAAAAGAAGACAAGACTGATATGATTGGCTATATTTGACGTCATCTGAGGAGAATCTATAAGAATATTTGTCCTTGTCAATTTGTCATTATTCAGAACCAATGTCACCACCTCCTCCATTATTGAACGAATATTCTGGGTTCAATAAATTTTTGGGCAATCCTGATTCGATTTCACGAACCTATTGAATATTGGTGAACAAAGTTCAGTCAATACTTAGTTGTATTTAATGGAATACAATGCATCAGTTTCCGAATAATAGTTGAACGCATCAAAACTGATCATACCGTAACAATCGTCATAATTTTTTTTTATGGATCTGTCCACTGGTTATATTTTATTTTTCATTGATGTTGCTAATGCGCATAGAGATCATCTTCCCTTCACCGCTTTTGTTGGGTTTATACGGTTGCCTTGATGGTTTCCTTGGCCAACTTCTTTTCATTGAATTCTCTGAGAGCATCCCCCCACATGTATCGAGCCTCGAAAATTCCGTTATCCTCCACCAGCTTTTCACAGGTTTGACAGGCAGCGGCACACCCATATTTCATAATGGGGTGGTCAAAGTGGGTTTGACAGTCCGAGCTCAGAGCGTATCGTGCGCAATTTGGATGGGACATCTTACAGACCTCGCGAATTTCTTCGTCTTCGATAGATTCGACGTACGCTCGGGTTTCTGCGACCTTTCCTAAGAGCAGATTGAATAATTCCTTGTCGTCCTCCATGCCTGGAAAGCTCTGTGGAAGACCAATTCCAAGATCAATGTCACGGTCGTCCAAATGAATGTCACAGACCTTACAAGCCTTGGGACACATCTCAACTATGTATGCTCCGGTAAGCTTTTTGCCATTCTTCCATTTATTCCAGTTCCCTTTGCTGTGATGTGTGCGACACAAATTAATAAAAAAACACAGGGGTTGGTATTGTTGTGTAAATTTAAATAGTGTCGAACAGAAGCAGACATTGAAAACGCAAAACAATCAAAGGCTAGAAATCCATTTCTTGTGATCCAGCTGCAGCTCTATTTTCCAAGCAAAAGCCAATAGAATTTGCCAGACGATTCGATTCAGCCAAACGGTTGACTCAATATCTTGCTATGCGTGCGCAAACGATGACCTATGTTTACGATACAGACGTACCACAAATTGTCTACCTGCGAATTTCCCTTGGTGGCCCAGTCATCACATTTGGCGTGCCAGTTGACGCAGGTATCTTCATTATCTGTTTCGGATTTCGACGGCTTGCACAATCCGCACGACTTTCTGCATTGAAGGTGCATGAATCCAGGGTTTTTGTCGCTGTCATTGTTTTAGAACGAATCAATCGCAAAACACCATGTGAGGATATTTCGCTTAGGTAGGACGTCAAATGTGCCCCAATCATCATATTTTTCAAACCAACCCAAGTGGATGCCGATAGATAGTTGAATGCAGATATGAAAGCTCGAACTTACCATTCTCCATGCCAAGCCCATTCCATGCAATCCGCTATTTTCTCATGTTTGTCAACACACGACTCCGCATTCGCAAACGGGGTTGATCCCAGCACGACAACAGCGGCAGCGAAGACACAATCGAATTTTGAAAAAAAGAGCATTTTCGATCTCTCAAATTGTTTTGTTTGAAGAAGCCGTGAGATTTTGTCCCGACCATTACATCACATAAAATCGCATCCTGCGGGCGAAATCAGGAACAGGATTTGAATTTTTTTTCTGTGATCTTGAAACGAACAATCAACAAACCGTTAATTGGGTCATGAAGTTGTACTCGTACATACGGTACTCGTACCATACCCAAGAAGAAAAATGAGGTACGAGTAGGTAGGCAAGCAATATCATAAAAAAATTATACGTTTATGTATGTTATCATTCAACTTCGTGTGACTGGCTGACACTTGTGACTGAAACACTTCTGACCCCTGCCTTACGCCTTACGGTACGTACGTACTCGTAAGAGTACACCCATACCTCCTCGGAGGTAAGTGCAAAAAAATGAGACGACCGTGACAACAAGTCAGTTCAGGTTTCTCTTCGCATCGTGTGATGCTTTGATGCTTCACATTTTTAGCTTCTGCTCTACCAGTACCGTACAACACGTTGTGGTAGAAAGCAGAGTTCTCGAACATCAAGGCAGGAAAAATATGTTCCACCATTCTTCGGCAAAAAGAATAGAATGTAGAGCAAGGCATTCTTTTTCCCTTCATCATTATTTGTCAAAAGTAGTAACACGAAGCAAGACTTTGGAAATCACAACAGAAATCAACACAACGCAAACTACCGCAACATGACGGAATTGTTCTTTCCAGCAAGCAAGAGAGCAGCGAGACTTCTTACCATTGGTGCTCTCCTCACGTCCCAGGTTGCATCTGCTGCTGATTCTAGTCAGGGTGTCAGCCTCTACGATTTCGTTGAGTACACTACCCTGCAGAGGGAAGATATCACTGGACTGTATTTGACCATGGGAGGAACAGCTGAAAGCGAAAACAATTGCATATTTGGCGGTCAAGAATACAAGGGAAGCATGCACAACGTTGTCCACACCATCGAACCTGTATATTTCAATACAGCGACCGACACTACTCCCCTAATCACCGTTTTCACCTACCCAGAAGGACTAATCCAGGAAATAGTGTTCGGGGAAGGAGAGAGCGGAAAATTCATCAACCTCCAATACAACCTAGACTTGTTGAAACGAAAAGACACGGAACCCACAAAAACTGACGGCCCGGACTCTGGAGTAGCAACGACCTTTCCCAAAACCCAATCGTACGGTGTTTGGATCGGTTTTCCCTTTCGCCAGCTGGAACAGGTCTACCTGGCGGGTGATATTGTCGTTCGGATCAAGGAGGGATTCACCAACATGGCTTCACTGGTTGCGACGGACCGCGTTGCGGTCGAAGCGATCGCAAGGCCCCCGATTCTCGACACCCTCGAGAGCGAAAACAGCAATGTCCCCGACGAAGCGTTCGCCAACCGAACGCTCGTGGTGACGGCCGCTCGAAACGCCAGTGTCACCCTGGAAGCAGGCCACGAGCGTCCGAAGCCCATAGAAGCCGTTGCCAGCGGGAGCGCCGATCTCTCCATTGCGGGCAGCGTCGAACATATCCAATGCACCGACAACGCGGTCTGCATCGTCGACGGAAAGGTTTCCTACGGGAACTGCACCGATTCTTTCGTCGCTGGGAACGCCACGCTCGAAACGGACGACTGCTCTTGCGTGGCAATCCTTGTCACCGCGGCGAATGCTTCAAGTCCCATAAACGGCGTCTCAGTGGACCCCGGCACCCCAAAAATCCAGCGCAGTTCCGCCTTCGGGGACGAATTTTTCATTCGCACCGCGGACACCGCCAATTGCCTGGACACGACGTACGTTCCTCCGGTGCGGGCCGTGACCGATGGCCCATCGACCACCCACGCCGTATTTTCTTGCCCCGCGCTGCAGGGGATGTTGGAAGACGAAACCGGCTTCTCCAAAACCAAAGAAAACCCTCACGGTGGCATGTCTCCCCCCGCCCCGTTCTCCGTGGCCACCGGAACTTCGGGGGGATATTTTGCTGCACCGTCGACAAGCACAACTACGGTGGTGCTGTGGTTGGCAACATCGTTCCTCTCCGTGGCCTGTGCACTGGTTTGATTCGCACGCACATGCGCCGTGCCTCTTTGCCTGCCTGTTCTCTACTATGACAGGTGCGGCAAAGATTGTGCCGCCTCGATTCGAAACGAAGCTTTGGGCCCCGCATCCTCCGATTGTCGTGCGGTACGAGCGAATCGACGCATTCTTTCTGCGATTCTCTTCAGTTCGACTTCCTACATTCTCCTTCAAGACGATCGAACCATTATTCTACTTTTATGATCATGCATACAACGCCATCGAAAATTTCACTGCAAGTTTTATTGTTCTTTGCGCTTCTTTTCTTCTTCTGGATTGCTTTCTATTCTTTATTGTACCCGCTGCATCGTACACGTATCATTACACTATAAGCATTGCGTTTTAGCACGAAGTCTTATCCATCTCGAATGTATTCCGATACCGTTCCATTCCGTGCCGTGCAAGAGCTTTTCTCACGCGACGTGCTCGGCCACCAGCTCCTCCAGAAAGCTCCACAATCGCTTCTGTAGATCTTTCTTGTAGGCTTCGGTTTCCCCGGCCAGCGGGTAGTTGTCCTTCATCCACCTCGATTGCGGATGGAAATACTGCCCCCGAATGTCGTCCTCCCGGAGCTTATCGACCGCGGTCCCGAGGTACAGGAGGGTGAGCGCCCCCTCCTCGGGGGTCCACATGACCGATTTCGCGGACAGGAGCAGGGATTTCAGGCAACCGCCCAGGGGAAAGTCGAAGGGATTCTTGTCCCAGATATCGGTGGCCACGAACCCGGGGTGGGCCGCATTGGCGTACACCGATCTTCTCCCTCCCCCGCCGCTGTTTGAGAGCCGTTCCGTGAGCTCCCGGGCCCACAGGAACTGCGCCAGCTTCGATTGTGGGTAGCGGAAGGGACTCTTCCCGCTCACGCCGTTGAGCGTTTCCAGATCGGTGGCGACCCTGTACGGGTAGAGCGAGTCGTATGCCGTGCAGGAGGAGGTCAGCACGATGCGTGCCGGCACCTCGCTCTCCCCGCTGCTGCCGACGAGGAGCAACGGCTCCAGCAATCGGTACAGGAGGTGGTGCCCCACGACGTTGGTGGCAAAGATCAGCTCGATCCCGTCCGCGCTGAGCCGGAGGGATCCGTCCACTGATGGTCCGATGTCACCGATCCCAGCGTTCAGGAAGAGCATGTCGAGCGGCGCCAATCGGGCCGCCAGAAACCGGTCGCAAAAGGCCTTCACGCTCTCCAGGGAGGAAACGTCCACTATCTCGGTGGTCGGGAGATCCCCCCGGCCCCTGGCAATGCGCCGTGCCACCACCTCGTCCGCCCCGATCTTCTCGGCGGCGGAAGCGCACTTTTCTGGATTCCGACAGGCCATGGTGACCCCCACACCCAGCCTCGCGAGCGCCAGGGACACCTCGTACCCCGTCCCGGAATTCGCTCCGGTCACCAGGGCCGTCTGCCCCTCCAGCCGGTTCCGATAGGCCGCTGCGTCGCCATCGTTGTCGGCTTCGTCGCCGTACAAGTCGCCAAAGGTGAAGCCCCACTGGTCCTCGCTAAGGATCGTGGCGGGCGAGCATCCCACCAGTTGGGGGCTGATGGACTCCGAGAGCCACCGGTAGAATCCCAGTTGTTTCGGAACGGTGGAAAGGAAGAAGGCGACCACCACCGGGACAAGAACGATGGCTGTTTTCGAAAGCTGCGACAGAGACGACGAAGAATTGCGCATGGCTGTTTGAGTTTGTTGTTCCTGCTAGTGGTACGAAGTAGGAGTGCCTGCAATTGATAGAATTGATAGAATAGAATATACCACGATCAATCTCTGCATACTCGTACTCGTACTTTTGCTTCGGTGCGATGCCCTACGGGTACCGGTAGTATTGGTTGAAGGTTGAAAGAATGCAACACAAAAATCTTCGATTTTCAGACATGGTGAACAATCACCCCTACTGACTAGTAGTAAAAAAATACAGTACTGACTAAAAAAAACACTAACACTAATAGAGCTAATCCAGTGACGGCAACCTCATGTTGGCCAAAAAAATGCAATACGGTACTCGTACCAGTACTTGTACGATACCCGGTATCAGGAATAGATACTTCGAATACGTAAATAGATACCGTGTGGATGAACAATAAACGAACACAATTTTCTTACCAGGTAATCGTACGTACTTCTACTTCTTATTTCGGTACTGGTATCGTATGGTACTGGGTACGTACGTACTTGTACGTTCCTTTCGATAATCGAATACAGTACTGTAATGTACCGGAACTTGGGTACTGTAATGATTTAAAAACCAGCCCAATGAATATCACTTTGGGGTTTGCTTAATTATTAATGAACCTTTTTCACAATGAAATACTTAAAAATAATTATGTTGTTTCGCCCCACGCAAAAAACATAAATAGGAAGTAACCTAATGAAGACTTATAATTGCATTTCAAAAACACTTTTTTCACTATTTCACTATGAAGACGCCCTAATGAAATAAGGCTTGAAGAATTCAAGTCATCACTTAGCATTGTCAGTAGAAAAGATGCGAAGACACTTAAGTAAACGAGAACTAGGAAATTCTTCACCAAATTCACCAAACCTTACAGTATGCAACCATCCGCACGGTGTTCTCTTTTTCAAACCACAATAACATCCTACACAATTCCCCTGTTTTCTCTCAGTTGTCTCTCAGTTGCAGAAAGTCACAAACGTTAGTTATTTTTTACTCCACATTGCTCTCAATAGGGGTGTCTACGTAAAGAGTGAGGGTATTCACTCACTAGCCTCTCGCAATTGTGTTTTAGCCTTTCAGACCAAACAAAAGGACTCTTCGCTTTCGTTTCAAAAGTACGAGGACAGTAAGAAGTTCACGCGTTGTTGCGAACTGTGAAGCGAATATATTCACTACTTGTCTTTATGAGAACTGCTGCTATGGGTGATGTGATACAACACCATCACAATAGTGTAGTACTTTAGAACATTCACGTCTCAAAATGAAGCGGCAAGCCCAACCAGACCACCAGAAGGGGAGCGAGAATCTCGAAAGCATTGATATTATTCCTACGGCAACATCGGATGACGACATGTTTTCAACGGCATTGATGAAGCTGTCGTTTACCGATCGAAGTGCAATCGAAGAAGAGCTCCACGGAGTTTCTTGTATGGCCGTGAAAGAAACACCCGAACTCATAGAAGATGCCCTACGGTGTTTTGACGTTGAACTGCACAAGATCGATCATAAACCGGGCTACGATAGAGCACAAGAGATATTGATGGAAAACTCCGCCGTTGACACGACCTTCTGGCTCGCACGAAAGGAATTCAAGCTGCGGTTCTTGAGATGCGAATTTTTTGATCCCCAGAAAGCCGCTGCTCGTTTCGTGAGGTGTCTCGATCTACTTCTCGAGGTGTATGGGGAATATTCCCTGCGACGGCCGATCCGCTTGACTGATATGACTCGCGACGAATTGTCCTTCATGAAGTCAGGTCAGTACCAATGGCTGCCATATCGTGACAGAAGCGGACGCCGAATTTACTGTATTGTTGTAAACAACAGAAATGATGTTCCTATGCGGGTTTTGGTACGTATCAAGAACAATTTGATATGAATTGAATCAATTGAACCAATGGAAGCACCTTGGTCGATTCATTCTGATCTATGTAACAGCGGGTGTGCTGGCTACATGGGACTCACAATTTTGCAAATGCCGCACTGCACGAAGACCAAGTGAAGCCATCGGCTTGGTAGGCATAGAATCGGGAAAACGAAAGCCTACGAATTCGAAAGACGCTCACCTATTTCTCGTTCTCATTCTCCGTTGTTATTTCGCAATTCCAGCTGAAAGTTTTCTTTTACTTGTGGTTTGTTGCTTCGGGTGGCTCTGATATTACTAATAATGATATCAAAAACCTCGAAACACAACGGAGAGGTGCGATAGCGATTGTCTTTCCGATTAATGAACACATGAAATATGAAGAGAACCAGCACGTTCTTTCAAAGATCAAATTTGCGCGAACCCGATCAGGCGCGAGTGCAATTGTTGGGGATGTTGTACCGCTGAGGGTAACTGGTATACATATCTGCTTGCCGAAAAGCGCACTGACACAACTAGTGCCTACGTTTGCCATCATACTTAAACAATGGAATGCGAGAACGAAAGTGCACTTGGGCAATCCTCTCGAGTTGCGATACCAGCTTCATTCATTTGGCATCCAAGGCGAACTTATACCTTGCACCGACACTGGAAATATTAAAAGTGTCAACCTAAAACAATGGCTAAAGCTGAGGAGACACGTGGAGCAGGAGGAGCAAGTTTGGATGGAGAAGAGAGGTATTCCTTATTCGTCAGACAGCGACGTTGGCGCCAGTACAAATGACTCTTCATCGGTGTCTTCGGAGATTGTAGAATGTCCCCTGTCCGCCGATGTTGTATTTAGAAGGGGCAAGGCATTGAACCAACATCCTGGGAATGTGGGTTTTCATGATCTAATAGAAGCGAAAATCCACGAGCACACCATCGATCCCTCTACAACACATGCGCGCAGGCAAGCTATTGAGATTGAAGTAATAGAGGAGGTGCGGACAAACGGCGGACGTTTCTTGAAATGGGATACTGAAAAGAGTTGGTGGGTGAATATGGACGTGAATACAACAACCGATTATACTAAGAACGAAGCAGACAAACAAATTCAATCCAAAGTCCATTATGCGTTTCGTGACTTTCGAAAGAGAATGCTAAGAGCGCAACAGGAAGTGATTACCAATGCCAGCTCCACGGATTCATTTCTAGTGCAACAATATGGACAAAAACGAATTCGGCCCAACGATGTCACGGGCGGAAGAAGAGAATCCGGTATTGGAAGCTTCTGTGAAATCCAGAACGACGGGTGTGGGGAGTTTGCAAGCAACCAATGTGGGCACTTCTTTTAAACCGACGACAAGACTCTTCTCGATTTAGGCAGCGTGAGCAGTAGATAATGATGAGTAGATATCGAAATTCAAGAAGTATTGAAATTACAAGTGGCCCATATCACTTGACTAAGATGAATGGCAATGCGGCTCACGATACTTGTCAATGGTTTTCATCGCATGTTCAATGCACGCATCGTCAGCAGTATCGCGTGACTTTAGTTACTTCGTCCTTTTTCTAGTTTCTAGTGTATAAAATGGTTTCCTGAATGACTCCTCGAATCACACCTTTATCTATGTGAGCCTAATCACGAGTAGATAGTGAATAAGCTCACTCTTTGTTGTAAACCACGTATTATAATGGACTGAAGAGCCTATAATCATGCACTGAAGAGCCTATCAATACTTCACAATCTATAATATTATTGTAATATAATTCGCCTTCAGCACTAATTCTTCATGGCATTCATTGGGAAAGAATTGATTTTTTCCGTCGCGGTAGATGGAGGAGCAGTAGATAATGTTCGGTGAGATAAAACGCTGTCCTGCATATCCTTCCTGGAATTAGAAACGGAAGAAATATGTGCAATTCCAGGCGATGACGTTAAGGACGAAAGATGCGAAGCAGCAGATGGGCCTTCCCTTCTACTTTGTGGCATTGATTCAGTAGGCACCAAGGCTGGCTTGTAACTCTCGCTGTTTCCAATGTTCGAATCCGTCTGAAGAGACCAAAAGAGAGATGATCTGGTAGGAACGGAAAAATGGGCCGGGTTCGCTTTTTTTCTATTCGCAAAGGACGGACTGTAAACATTCTTTTGTGGCGCTGGGGGGTTGTCAGTCTTGCCGCTTGTATCGATAGTAACATGATCTCTTTCTTCAAGTAGTTTGCGTGCCTCTTTGGCCTGTTGCCTATCTTTTTCTTCCCGCTGTCGTTTTTCTACTTCCTTGTCTAATGCCCGCTGCAATTCATCCCGCAATCTTTGTTCGTGTAGTTCTCGCTGTTTCTTCACATGTTCATCCCGGAGCTGACGACGCCTCTTTTCCTTGGCTTCCATTGCCCTGCGGTGAGCCACCTCTCGTTCCCGCATTTCAGTTGCCCTTTTCTCAGCAAGAGATTGTTCTTCTTTTCTGCGTTTCTGCTTGGAAAGTTCTAACCGACGTCTTCGCTCTGTTTCTTGCTGCTTTCGTTCTTCTTCTTTACGTCGTAATTCCTTTTCACGCAGTTCTCTCTCAGCAGCAACTCGAATAAGTCGCTTCCGTTCCTCTTCTTTTGCAAGTTCTAACGCTCTTAGTTGCCGCAATCGCATTTCTGCGTTGCGTTTTTTGCGTAGTTCTTCTTTCTGCTTGAGTTCGGCGGTTCGACGCGAGCGATCAGCTGCCTCCTTTGCTTTTCGTTTTTCTTCTTCTTGCTTCGCCAGCTCGGCATCCTTTGCTTGCCGGCGCAAACGTGCTTCCATCATTGCTCTCCGTTTCTTTCTTTCTTGTTCCGCAGCCTTGCGTTTGTTCTCGGTTTCAATTGCTTTCATTCTTGCCTCCTCCTTGGCCATCGCCAGCTCTGCCTCTTCTTTTGCCTTGCGCTTCGCATCAACTCGCTCCTTCGCTTGTTTGCGAGCCAGTAGAAGCGCCTCTCGCTTCATCCTCTCTTCTTGTCTCTTCTTCTCGGCATTCTCCAGGTTCTTCTTTGTTTCTTGTTGTTCTTTCCGCTGAGCGACTTCGAGGGCCCGTTTCCGTGCCAGCAACTGAGCATTTCGTCTCGCCTCAAGTTCGGCTTTGCGGCTTGCATTCATTATTGCACGCTGAGCCTTGGCATATTCCATCTTCTTTCGCTCGGCTTCTTCTGCAACCTTCCTGCGCCGTTGTGTCTCCGCGTTGGCTGCGGCGCGTCTTCGCCGAGATTCGGCAGGATCTCTCTGGGGACACAAGCCGGCGGGTAGTGGCCTTCTGCTTTTCGATAGCGAAGTTGCCGGCATTGTTTTGTCAGGAGTTGCCACGAACGTCACGTCTTTCGGAGATAAAAGAATCGGCACAAAACTAGCATCGGTAAAATGCTTAGTCGCGCGGGCACAAGAATATGATGCGCTGTACAGCGGCATCTGAACAACAGGATCGATCTCGGTGCGCAGAGTTTCTTCGACATCGGGAAACATGGATAAGGACAGCTGCCACAGCACACTCACCAACCCTCCCATTCCTTCGTAAAGCGAAAATGCATTCCATACACCCGTGGTGGTTGGTATCGACTGTACATACTTCGTCCATTCGTGATGAGCGTGTTGGGCATATAACATGGCTCTCGATTTCCACAATCTTCTTAATGATGTATTTGGAGGCAATGAGACTTTATTCGCTTCGTTCTTTTTCTTTGATTCCCCCTCTTCCTTGTCATTACTGCAGAGCTGACTCAATTGCAGAAAGCACAAGGCCATTCCGGTTAAGCCAACAGGGCCTTTCTTGCCATATTTGTGGTCATTGTCGAAGTTAGTAGCACCAATAGTTGTACGTTCTCTCAAGCCACGCGGATATACAACTGCATCGCAGAGCCGATGGGCCTCCAACAGATATTTCTTGCACCGATAAACCTTAGCGGCTTCAAGAAACATCATTGCCAATCCTGTCGCCCCATGGAACCAACCAGCCGTTGTGTCGCGTTCCAAAGAGGCATCAAATGTAGGTCGGAGATTTCCAGCAGATTTGAAAGCGGAGCCCGTGGTTGGTAAACGAGAAGCATCGATTGGCGACGAGACTGATGTCGCCGTCGAGGTTTTCATATCGTAAACGAGCCGATGATAAAGCGATGGCTGCATCAATTCCTTCGCACTTACACCACTCTCGCCATTGCTGTTATCGCTACTGGCTGGAGAGACGCGTGCACTTGGAAGAAAGGCATCGATCGTGTTGCGCAGTATTCTTCGCGCGTTTGGGACCTCCTCTTCGATCAGTTCCCAGTCCTCGTAATGCAGACCCAGCAGCGTATGCAAAATTCCAACCACGCCCCTTCCGGCACCCAGATAGGTCTTGAGCGATCCCTCGCTATCGCATACCCAAAACAGGACCGCATTGTAGTTATTGTCGTCGCTTCTTCCGCTGTTGCAAACAATAGGAATGGTATTGAGAGTTTTGAGGTTGTGAAATCCCATCGAATCCGCCGTTGAAAGGCCTTCGCGGAGAATCTTTACCGCAAGGGACACCACGAGGTCTTGTCCGAGCGTGGTGGAGTGTTTTCCAAATTCGTTCCGAAGCCAAAAAATCGTCTGCAGTGCACCTGCTCGGCCACCGAGAACGTCCTGGTTCCATACCGGCAGCACAGTTTCCGAGGCCGCGGTGGCACTGGATCTGACGGTTCCGTCGTCCTCCATTTCTTCGGGGCAAAAGAGGTGCTGCTTTTTCAGGCGGCGCAAGATCCGGGCCACGACTCGTTCCGAGCGTGGCTTCTTCACCATCGAAGCCGTGGTCCTTGCGGTTGCAATTGATAGCGAAGAAACGGACACCGAAGACGATAAACAGTGATCTTCTACGGAACCAGGGGAGCGTAAATCCGAAGGTGCCGGAGACTGATGTCCCCGAATATTGTCCCTGCTTGTGTCATTGCCCTGCAATGCTGTGGCGTCTTGTTCCTGCTTTTCCTGGAATTCTTCCAGGCGTCGGTAGCAGACGGCCAACAACGCATGAGAACCAACCCACTCCCCACCCAGTAGCGATATGCAACCCCGCTGATTCGAGAGTATGATTGAGTTTCCCCGCTTGAAGCGGCGGGTGGCCTCCTTGGCACCTTCCAGGGCTTGCTTGAGAAGCCGTTTGCATCGAAAGGGTGTGTTCACCTTGGTACCGTGGCTGGTGAACTGGCAGACATTCGGAGTAGAATTGTTGTTTTCGTTCTGATTGTTTTCTTTCGCCTCGGAATGCATCCGCTGCCGTTCCATTATGCAAAGGTTGTATCTTGACTGTTCTAGTAGGAGGTAATAGGCTCCCAACCCGCCAGAATAGAGATTTCCCGTGGGGATCGATCGGTTTAGGCACTTGTGGAACATATCGAGGGCCTTCGAGGCGAGTTCTTCGCTGGAAATCACATCTGGCACAGATACCTTATTGCTCGCGACTCGTGGTGGTGGTGGTGGGGGAGGTGGCGCCCGCGGCAGTGGCGGATTTGGTCTACGCCGTATTCTTTGTGGTGGTTTCTTAGGAGAGTGGATTCCCGAACCACGAGGAGGCGGTGGTGGAGGAGGCGGTGGCGGACGACGGACAGCGGCAGCACCAATTCCACCCGATACTCTCCTCGAGGATCGAAAATTGTTGTTGCTGGTAGCTTCATTGTCTTCTGACGGAGTCGACCTCACAGGATCGTCCTGCCGGCTTTCTGGCTTGTTGAGTTTCGCGGCGGGTGGAGGAGGAGGAGGCGGCGGAAACATCCGCAAATACAACGAAGACATACCGACCGACTATTGCTTGGCTTGTTCTAGACTTAGCTTGGATCAATATAACATGAGGCCGATCAACCAAATGAATCAATTCAGCGAATAAGTGGATTGAGGAGTGAGTCGTGTTCTCGTTGCAGTTTCAACTCCAATGATTCGAATACAGTAAGAAGTGAAAAAGAGTATCCCAAAGAATCAGGTGTCGCCGCTTTCTTGATTTCCTTGTGTTCGTCAGCTGATTCATTCAATTCATCGAACAGAACAGAGCAGATCGAGGAAAACCACTTAGTGATGAGTTTCTACAATACGATGTATTGCGATGCAAATTGCGAGGGTATCTAACTTGGTTGTTCGCGATCTATTTGCTTCTTAGAAGTTCAATCTCTCTTTCCCTTCCAATTTAAATTTAAAACGTCTCTAGCTTGATGCGGTTTGTCCTCGTTCCTTTCCTCGGACTTTCTTTGGTCTTGCTGTGATTGTTCCTATTGCAGGCTACACATCGGGCGGAGGTACAGTAGTAATGAAAGAAGAAAAGTTTTCGCCCTCAAGTTTTTCTTGGCTTTGTGCCGTAGGATGCACATACGGTACGGTACGAACACAGCTCCTTGAACGTTCGTTTTATTGGCAGAGAGTCTAGGATATGATGAAATGCCAAGCGTAAGGACTGACTGCCGACAGTCTTTTCGGTTTCCGTTTCAGAAGTATTGTTAGAGCTAGTACCGCGCAAGTCACTTGCGTCCTTTGATATTGATATTGATACACATTTTGAGTACCATTGAGTAGTACAGTCTTTTTTCTTTGCCTACGTAATGCCTGAGGCATTGTTTCAGGAGCTCCTGGCGTCCAATGAAAAAACCTCTTAGATTGTTTTTGTGATTTTCGACGGAAAGCGAATGGTTATTCTGACGTTGAGGGTCACGCGTGCCGCTCCATCCAATCGCTAGCGCTCTGGCGCGCACCTCTGTCAGCCAGTACGATACAACGATACCAAAGAGAAAATCTTTCAGTACGGTACKGTACGTACATTAATCGCATACTAGAAGGTTACGTACCGGTACGTACTCGTACGAAACGAAAAATTACGTGCAGAACGGTTCGAAATCCAAAATTCAAAATCATTCGTTCTGTGCGTACGGTACTCGTACTACGCGTACTTGTAGAAAAGTAAGATAGCTACCATACGAGTTTCAGAAAAAACGTTGAAAACCGGTAGGATTTCACGCTTCACGTGAGACTAAATGTTGGGGTTACTCACGAAGAAAGTAGAGCTACTAAGTACGGGCCCCATAATGGCAAGTTATTGGCAATCCCCGTACAAATACTAATAGAAATTTTTAGCTCATTTTTACAGTTAAAACCAGTTAAAAAAGGCATCCAATGGACGAAAATAAAAATATTTCCATTGTTTAATTTCTCGCTAGTCMMAAAATATTTCTATTGGTKGTCCTTAATATTCGAGATAAGCACTGATTTGATATTCCCACTAGTAAGGACCAGGAATAAAAATATTTGCGGACTTCATAGTTTTTTGTGTGGATGGGGGGAGAGGGGAAATAGAGACGGGAAAATGAGAAAAAATTGACGTACGGAAATTGCCAATAACTTGCCGTTATGGGGCCCGTACTTAGTAGCTCTAGAAGAAAGACGTCCGTACGTACTCTTACTCCTGCTAGTACGTACAGTACAGTTCAATCAGAAGAAAAAAAGTTCTGTATCAATTTTAGTTTGACAGTCTGCTTTGTACAACCTAGAAGTAACTAATCACTTTTTTCAGATTCGACTCTGGCCATTCACAAGTCTTTCCATCCCTTTTGTGTTTTGTGCCGTGTTCTCTATGGCCGACGATTTGTTGTTCTGCTTCAAACAACCCACACACTGATTATTAAGCCCCTGCCGCATTGTCGGACGGGACCGACGCGATGGCGGCCGCGGCGATGATCAGGCCACCCCCCACGATTTCCAACAGTGACGAGGTTTCCCCCAGCAGAAGGACCGCAAAGACCGTCGCAAAAATTGGCTCCGCGCTCAGCAAAATGTTCGCTTCCGAGGGGGTGACAACCTTCTGCCCCTTTTGCTGGAGAACGTCCGCGATCGTTCCCGGTCCGACCGCACTGAAGAGCAGCGCAAACCACACCATGGGGCTGCACACCATCCACGACGGAAGAGAGGACCACGAGAGCGCTTCGAGACCACCACCACTCAGGGCGGCTGATGCCATCCACCAGACGGAATAGAGAACTGCTACCAGTCCCGTCTTGACCCCCTGCAGCGCAAGATCAAGGTGCTTGGGGCCAAGAAAGGATATCCGGAACACGTACATCGACCACGATAGAGCACCCCCCAGGACGCAGAGGTCCCCCTTCGAGAAGGAGAGGGAAAACGCAGAGGCGGCAGCTTCCGCCGAACCACCGCCCCCGAGGGTTAAAACAACCAACCCCACCAGGGCCACCAGGCACCCGCACCAGACGCTACGCCCAACTTTTTGTTTTCCGATCAGAGTTGAGATCAACGGGGTGAACAAAACGCTGGTCTGTGTCAGGAAGGAGGCCCGGGCCGAACCCGTCGACACAAGCCCTACGTTTAGCAGCCCTTGCGCCAGAAAATTCCAAAGGGCCAGCTCGACGCCCGATCGGAACAAGGGCCCGATGGCGTCGGCTTTCGAGGGCAACGAAGAAGCTACCGTTTCGACCTCCACAACCGTATTCGAGTTTGATTTGAGCTTGTTCCGCAGCAGTGGGGGCAAAAAGCACAAAAAGGCAATCCATCCTCGGGTTGCCGACAAGGCAGCGGCCGACGGCGGTACCTCGGGGAGGTCGTAAACGAATCGCAGTGAAACGTTTAGGGTTCCGTACAGCATGGCTACCAGCGCTAGCAGTATTCTTCCCTTTTGGACAGCATCGTCGCTGTCACTGCCACCATCGGTGGTGGTGGACGCCAAGCCCGTGGAGGAGCGGGCATTGCTGCTGTTGCTTCGTTCGATGTGATTGCTGGCATCGGGTTTGTTTCCTAGCGGCCTCGACCTCGAAGCCGTTAGCCGGGTAAGCGGGTTTCTTCGCTCTTTTTCTAGAAACCTATCGTCGACGAGCGAGTTTGGGATCTTTGTAAACGCGGCGAATGCAAAAGCATATTGGCAACAACTACTGCAGCTTAACAAGATCCAGGCAGTTACCACCGAGAATAAAAAAGCCGAGCACAAAGGCGATGATGATAGGCGAAACATTGTTGCCTAACGCTGGTTTGTGACGATGTTAAAATGGTTTTGTGGTCATTTCTATCAACAAGCATTGGCGGCTGTCCTTATCGATGCGATGTTTGGAGTGCGAGCGGTGTCTTGATTTTGTTCCTTTCGATCAAAATTGGCGGAGTTCTTGGTGTCACCGAAGAAATGGAGTTCAGTTTTTGCGGTTGTCAAAAACAATACAGCTAAATCAGTACCATACTTTCTTCATTATTCCCCATGTGAGGCTACATCAAAACGAGCAACAAATTTTTTTTGTTCGAATTATTACTTCGTGTAGGTACTACTCGTACTCGTACCATCCATCATGCTGTACGGTAGTTTGCGCTTGTTTTTTACGCACATTTCGGCCTCTGACTTTTTCATTCCTAAGCAAGGCAGAATTTTGAATTTATAACCCCTCCATTAGAAAATTTTCTTTTGTGAACGCAATGTCCCGAAAAGAATGTAAATTGAGACCATTGAATCTCAGTCCATTAACGTTCTCCGCTTACAGCAATAAAGACGACACGTTTTTCTTTCGAAGCTACGGTGATATTTTCACACTGGGATTGCCGAGCATCGTTTATATCAATTGTTCTCTTAGTAGAAGAACCTCGTACTTCGTACAGTAATTAAAGTTCAGAATTGCTGTGCAACTTTTCGAGATATTTTAAGTAGGACGATTGAATGGAGAGAATCTACTCCGATGCTAGTACCAGTAATGAATGGTACCATAAGTACGTACCAGGTACATCGTAGTTCGGTACTTGTGTTGAAGACTTCGAGTTTTTTAAGCTGAGAAGGACTGGAGGACTCAGTACAGACTTATTCGGGAGTTCTCTAATTGCATATAGTTTTTTAGTTTGTTTCTCGCTGATATCATGGCGGGTCAAGTCTATCAATTTTGTTCGCCTTCGCGTAAATACTTTCATTTAAACAGCAACGAACAAAGTACATTGCCGTATGATCTGTCAATTGCAGATTGTTGTCTTGGTCGAATTACTGGCAATATCGAAGTTGCGATAAGTCACTTGTGCTTTTGGTCAAGCGCACCGGCAACATTGAATCGCATCCAATAGAACGAAACAACAAACCAAACCAAAAAACAGCAAACCAAATCGAAACATAGACACAACACCAGTCAACGATACACTGTTACTGTACACGATGAGCGGATCGGTCCTACAGGGCGATTTGGTGGCGGATTCGTCGGTTTCCGTTGGAGAGAGTCCGCTTGCACTCTCCGAAAGCATGAAGCTGACCCTGCTGTGGTACCCTCGTGTTACCGGGGCCGTTGCGTTCGCTAGCTCGATGTGCATGATTTCCTTGGCGTGGAGCAAACGCAGCCATCTCTTCCACCGCATAGTGCTGGGTAAGTCCTTTGTGTTTTAAGCAGGAACCAATACCGCGGGCTAGCACGGTATGAATGAATGGACGGATGGATGGACAACGAAATAAATGGTGAAATGTAATTCGTAGCCATTGTGCCGTTTTCGAATTTTCTGCCCTTGCGTTTCTGGTATCATTGTCTCTGACATTTCTTTTTTGTTTTGATCAGGAATGTCGTTCCATGGATTGTTATACGGGATTTGTTACATGATAGGTGCTCTGGCCATACCGGGGGAGGAGTATGGTTACGTGGGCTATTCCCAGAACGTGGGGACGATCGAAACCTGCACCGCCCAGGGCTTTATAATATACGTTTCGATCCGGACGGGGGTATTCTACTACGCCTGCCTTTCCTTGTTCAGTTTCTTGGGGGTGCTGAACAACTTTGACAAGAAGAAGTATGCGGCCTGCGAAAAGTGGATTCACGCCATTGCACACGGCATTCCCTTCTCGTTTGCCTTTTATTTTCTCGCCGTGGAGGGGTTCAATCCTGGCTATAGTTTTTGTCGACAAACAAGCCATCCTTTGGGTTGCTCTACCGATGAGAACCTAGCCTGCGAGCGGGGGCCCGATAGCCACGGACCGCTAGAAATGTTCTGGTTTTTCTTGTTTCCCATGGTGCTTATAGTGGGGATTTCAACCGGCTTGATGGTTGCGTTGTATTACAAGATCAAGAAGCGGGAACAACGACAACTAGAGAATCCACAGACGGAACTAGTGTGCGTTATGCAATCTGGGCAGGTTCGGAAGCAGTCCTGCATCTATCTTCTGGTGTTGTATTGGGTGATAACGCCGTTTTTCGTCTTCCGGATGATCTTTATTGTCTTCCCGTTCGACGACATTCTGCCCGTTCGGGTGTTCGCCGAAATAAATTACGCGCTCTTTTTCTTTTGGACACTGCTGATGTACCGATACTTTACGGCCGATGCCGTTTCGGCGAGCCAGGCCGGGTCCAATGCCGGGTCGCAGGAGCCCAAGCCCTCTGCCCATATCCAGAGCTCGGAGTTCATTTTCAACTTTGACGACGCCGAAGAAAAGGACGCGGGAACGGCGTCCCCCGATCGCAACGAAAACGGACCGGCTCCGGAGGCCGGCAACTCGAACACGCCGGAGACGCCGCCGTCGCTGCAGCGATCCGGATCGCAGCAGCAGGAACAATTCACCTTCAATATATTCGACGGAACGAATGCCACGGGGACGTATTCGGGATTCATTTATTGCGGGGATTCCGACGACGAGGACGCCGACCAGAGAGAGACGGATCACTGGAACTCCGTCCAGAATCTGCGATGAAACAGAGCGAGTGCGGGCCAGGCCAATGAAGCAGCCTTGCAACGTCCGAGGTTGTTAAACGAAAGGAAACAAAACGAAGCGCTAGCAGCATCAAAAATAGGGAAAACAAAAGGATGCTACTGGTGGTTCCCTCGTTTAAAAAAAATTAATAATTACTACTTTACTTCTGTATTTTTTTGAAACTTCCTTGAAATTTTTGCCAAAATTCTGTACAGCTCGTTTCGTAGAATTGGTACTACTATACCCGATGGTAAACTATTAATAGTACATAATAGAACCGTTGAACACTACAACCACTAGAAGAGGAGCAATACTACAATAATACTGTTTGACTGTTGTAATTAACTTCAGCGATGAATAAAAAGTGTTTCTAATACTTAAATGCTCTAATTAAAATGGATGGATTCAGGGAATCTATTCCGTACAGCACTCATATATTCTATAACCATAGGAATAAAACTCATTCTTCTCACACAGGCATCTACTACGTCCGTTAACTGTTTTTCGACCCCCTTTTTTTGTAAATTTCCAGGGTTTGTACCTATTCTCAACCCCTGAATGAACATGTTTTGTGAGTGAAAATAACATGTGGGTTGCGATTCCCGACCAGACTTACTACCTCACTTGTCAATTAATTTTTTTTTTAAATTATTCGATGAGTCGTGGGTTGAGAATTAATTTTGAAAGTCACGGGATGGCTGCTGTCAAAATGTCAAGTCACGTGGTGCCAATTTATTTTTATTCACGTTTGCATATTGGGAGTGCAAATTGTATTTTTTAATTCCATGGTCTAAAGATCGAGTAAATTTCCAATTTATTTGAATTCTATTTTGGTGTGGTTGAGTTCATGTTTTTGCGGTACATTAGAATCCCATGGTACAAGTTTTCGAATCGCGTTTTTGATTTTTTGAATTAAATTTAAAATGTATGGTTCTCTCGACAGGCCCAGCTAGAATCATATGGTACGAGCTTTAGAATCACATTTTTGATTATTTCAATTAAATTTTAAACGTTTGGTTCTTTCGAAAGGTCTGGGCGAGATTCATGCATTTGTTTTTTTGACACCATTTTAGGTTCATTAGATTCCATTCGTTTTAAATAAAGTTTGGCTACCATTTTTATGCATTCTCACAACCATTAGTTTAAATTTTTATTTTAGTGTTAATGCATTCGGTACCACTGGGGCTGAGGTTTTCAGGCATGAGAGAAAGAGAATTACTACTGCAGATAATCCTTAAACCCCCTCAACCTGTGTGCATTCCAATTCGCCATGGTTGTTTTTCCATTGATCCCTAATCAATGGGTCGATGTAGCATTCGTCATCGTCATCTGACTCCTCCTCGCCGTTCTTACCATCATAGCTATTCACATCCGACATCACTAACATGAGAGAAACTTTCTTCTCACTTGATAGAGATGTTGCAAGATTCGTTGGGACTTTCGATGGACCATTGAACTGCTGGGACACGTCAAAAGTGACAGACATGAGCTCCATGTTCAAAAATGCTGTATTCAATGGAAGCATTGGAAATTGGAATACATCCAACATCGGGAACATGCATTCAATGTTCTCTGAGTCATGGTTTAACCGGCCAATTGGCAAATGGACAGCATCCAAGGTCACAATCATGGGAGTAATGTTCTCTAGAGCTCATTATTTTAACCAGCCAATTGGCTATCCCACAGATATCACAACACATATACCTAAAAACTGGATTAGAACAGATGTCAACCATTTGACAAATACCACATGATGATCAACAACACTTCCTTTATTGCTAAATACAACATAGATTATTACATTGTTCATTTTCTACTATTGTAAACTGAAATTGTCAGTCTCACAAAAAAATTCAACAAAGAAAATCACACTTCTTGACAATAAAATAACTTCCTAACAATGACAAGAACAATGACAGCTAACAATAATGCTAAAAAGGTAGCCATTACTAAGAAAATGGCTCTACCAAGGATAGTCTGACCAATGCAGATGGCTCCACCAGTACTCAACACTTCACCACTGGCTATTCCACATATCAAGCAAGAGTTCAACTTTTGCGTTGCTCCAAAGGCAAAATCCTGTCCATCCACCAGTGATTCTATGGTTTTTGCTGATACTCTTTTGACAGAGACATGCAGAAAGAAGGGTGAATTTATGGTTCTCACAGGAATTCAGAAGTCTGGAAATGGAGCTTTTATCAGACATCTTTTCTATCCAGAGACACTGAAAACTCTTGCTGATCATAACACCTTTGATTGATCCATGGTTGATTTCCTGTATTTGCAGGTTGTTTCAAGAGAAGCTGACAGCTTTGTACCTGTTGGAGGTTGAACTGGTAGAAAGTTTGACCAAATTGGTCTTCTTTCTGTGCCAGAGAAAAACAATATTGCTGAAAACCATCCAACTGTATCTGTGTTCAATGATATATTCTTTGAGAAGCTATTCTGTGATGACTGTTAGAAAGAGCTCATGATCTAGTACAATGAAGAAAGGCATCTGCAAAATGTCCTTAAAGGCAGAGACATGAAGACTGTCTATATTGCTGAATGGGATGGAACTACTAAACACTCCAAGACAACAACTCCTTACTGACCTCTTGACCATGTCTTCACAGATGAGAGTATCAGCAAAGTTATCATGACTTAGTATTTCAGTACTGACATTTGCAAGAAAGCCTCAATGTATGACCTTCTTCCTCTTAAACACCCAGGATTTTTTCTCTCCAGCCCAAGATGCTTCATACTCTACAATGGCTCAGTCTTTTGGCTACACTCCTTCTTGTACTGGTGGTGTCCAGCAGTGTGCTGGAGATATGGATAACAGTGATGTTGATTCACTATGAATCATTCTTCAGCTCTCTAGTACCACCAATTGAAGGTATCTATTGAAAATCTCTTCTTATACATATTCTCTTTTTCTCCCTGTCTCAGTTATCACTATGCCTTTTTTTGATGTGTCCTCTCCAATGTTCCAATGCCTTGTTCTCTACAACTCATATTATCACAATTCCTTCATTTTGGGATGCCATCAATAGAGATAATCACCGTTTATGTCTGTGTTCTCAATATTTGTAATTATGGTAGTAACAATAATGAATACTTTGTTCAGTCTTTCATGTATCTTTCTATATGACTTTCATCACCAAAATACTTACCTTACCTCCTGTTATAGACAATATCTGACACAAAATGTCTGGCCATCATTACCACCATATCCCGACACATGTTTCATCTTCATACTTTCATTGTACATCATTCTATGATCAATTCTATAACCAGTCTTTCCAGATACCTATCATGCACCCCTCTGTCTTTTCAACTACATAAACTATGCAGAACTTTACTACAGTAGTAGTACACTACTACCCTTTAACCACCACTCCTCCTCCTAGTACTACTACTACTAGTAGTACTTAGCCATGATCAAGAGGAGAACAAGAAGCTCTGCAACAACAACAAAAGGATGCTACTGCTGGTGGTTCCCTCATCAAAAATAATTAAAAATTACTACAGTACTTTTGTATTTTTTTGAAATGTTCCTGAAATTTTTGCCAAAATTCTCTACAGCTTGTTTCATAGTACGGATGGTGGTATGTTGTACTGGTACGGTTGGGAACACAATGGGTCATTCCCGTTAGTCTAGAAAGTCTAAATATTGATAGACAGACAGACCAAAAATAGACCATCTAGTCTCAATTTTTAGACTTTCTGTAAGCCCCCCCCCCCCAGCCTTACAGAATTTCTAAATCTAGACCAGAATCCAAGAATGAAAATCCGTCGCATGACTCATTATTATCCAATAAAAATTCGTTGCGTGCGCGCTTTTCTAGTTTCAGTCATTTCTGTTGAGATTCCGGATTCCATTAAAGTAGAAGAGGGCCTAAAGAACTGTCCATTGGGACCCTGTTTTTAATGATTCCCGTTAAACTAAAAAGTCTAAACTAGTAGACCATTTAGAATTTTAGACCATCTAGACTATCGGGAATGACCCAATAAGCATTCAGCATACAGCATTACACTCTACATTATTATTTTACGTTCATTGAGTATGAGCATAACTACAAATGAGAACGAGAACCACTTAGTTTTACGCTCCACGAGAACTCCTACGGTAGTAGTCGTACCGATCGGCACGTAGCGTATCCATAGCGTAGACTGAGAGTATCAGTTCTACAGTGCTGTACCGGCCGGTACGTTCGAGTAGCTGGTACAAGTACGAGTACTCAACACACGTACGGTATTCGGAATCATCGGGGAACGACACAACGGAGTTTTCGAAACAAACATTCGTAACTGTTACAGTTTGTCATATTCTTTCTTCTTTCGTCTACCAGTACTGTATCGATCGATCAATTGATTCCGTACGGTTCGGTTCGGATTGCTCGAGCTTTACTAGCCTGTCTCGTCGGCGCGTGTTCCGTGCCGTGCGATGCGATGCGATGCGATGCAATGCAGCACAGTAGAAGCTGTACGGTGCCGCTCAATGCTTCTGCTTCCCGCTTGCGTCGCCTAAAGCAATGGTCTCTTTTGGCGGTGGGTTTTTTCCTGGTGCCCCTTGTCGGGACGTACTGGCACCTCTGCAAGTGGCTCGCAGCGGAAGGGTGCGTTCTCCATCGGCACAGTGCCGTGTTTGTGGACAACAATAGCACTCGGTTATCTGGATCAGCACCAGAAGCAACATTGCATGACCACCAATCACTCCGGGGCCTCGCCTGCAAGGGAAGAAACGGTCGCGGAGGCAGCAACAACACACCCTATTCCCACGGATATTTCATTGACGCCGGATCTTTTTTACGGAGCCCTCCACCAGGCATTGCCCGATTGGTCACGATGGTAAACGATGCCCGAGCCTCGGGGTTGCTGTTGCAACCACAAAACAAAAACCAGCTGCGGCAGCTGTTGCAACAGCAGCAGCAGCAAAAAACCAGTAACGCTGCTGTTATTGTCGGTGAAAACTCTTACCGGTTCGACTACGCGGAAGAATACAGATCGCCGTGGCCGTTCGTGTTGCCAGGATTTCGGACTTCCGGAACACCGGACGAGAACGATGTTTCTGTTTCCCCGTCTTCCGGGAAAACCGACACCGGATACGGCTTTCGGAGGAACCCCGACAAACCCACCGGTCGAATGTCCCCTTCCGAGTCGACCGCCCCGATCGCAACGTATTTCTGGATGGTCCTCAACGTGGGCCTCTACGGTTGGTACTGGCACAACAAGGTCGAACCTTCGGGCGTCGCCCTCGACGGAAACCTGCTCGGAGACGGTGAAACCGGCAGCGACTTTGGCCGGGCACTCAGCGGCAACCTAGCGCATTTCGAGATCTGGCACGTGGGACTCAACACAATGTCCCTGCTGTCGCTGGGGACTATGCTGGAAACCACATCGACCGGAAGCATCGGGCTCTTTCTGTGGACGGCATCCTTTCTGGCGCTGACCACCGTTGGGGTGGTGGCATTGCACGGGATCGACCGCAGGTTGAGGTGGCGGACGCAACAACAAGAGCAACAACAGCCACGGCGACGGTTTCCGTCCATGGTGGGATTTTCCGGGATTTTGTTTTGCTGGTCGGTGGCCTCGACACTCTCGCTTCCGGATCGGACGCAGACCTGTCCGATCCCGGTCCTGGAGAGCCTGTGTTTCGAGACCCACCGATGGGGTGGTGCGAGCAACGGGACCTTCGGCTTTGGCCTCGACTTTAGCTGGGCACCCCTCGTCCAGCTCGCGGTGGTCCAGGTCCTGCTGCCCCGCGTCAGTTTCACCGGGCACCTCTCGGGGCTGCTGGTGGGATTTGCGTGGCACTGGGGGCTGCTGCCTCCCCTGGAATGGTCCCAGCCCTGCATCTCGTACCCGGTTCTGTGGGCCCTGGGCAAGCAGGCCCTGTACCGAGGGCACGGCCGCCGCGGCCGCGGAGACCACGAATGGGGCAATCCCTCGGCCGATGACGGTGCCTCCGGTGTCCCCGGCGGGGGCCGCGTGCTGGGGGGCAGCAGCAACGGCGGCGGCAGAACGGGCAACCGGTGGGGATCTTCGTGGGCCTCCGAGGCACAGACCAGCGAAAGCGAGGACCAACTGTTGGCCCTGCTGAAATACCTATGCGGTGCGGCTTGCCTCCACGGCGCGGGGATGGTGTGGGCATACCGGGGGATTCCAGATCGATTTGTGCTATCGGAAAGCGTCGTTCTTTCGGAACTGCTGCTGGTTGGGCTCCTCGTCCTCTTTGCTCGATCCGTAGAAACCAGTGGCAACAGGAAGACGAATGCAATTCACCAGCACCACTGCAATCCGTTTGCATCGGTCGGGATCCTCGGCCGTGCCTACGTGGCCTTTGCCGTTGTGGCACTGATCACGGATTCCATGACCCTTGGCGGGTGGCTGGCCACGGCCCCGCTTTGGAAACCGGGAGCGCCTCTCGGGGGGCCCAGCCCGCTCTTGGGGCATGGGTTCGACCCCGGTCCGCCGCCGGCGGTCCTTCTGTGGGCCGCGCGGCTCGGCCTCTGGGTGGCTTCGGCCGGTGGCGTTTGTTTTGCGCTGGAACGGGCCGGCGAATTCCAAACGGAGCGGGAACGCGGAACCGCCGGGATCTGGACCCGCGTTCTCGGCCGGACGGTGGCCGAACCCCTGGCTTCGCTCGGGAGGCACGCCGCCGGCCCCCACCGGCGGCTGCCCCTGGTTTCGCCGGCTTCCGCAGGGGTCCGAGGCGCGAGCGGTCGGCGCGGGGACCCGCCCCCGGACCGGAGGGAGATCGGCGCGAGGCGGGCAAAATTCTTTTCCGCCCGGAGCAAGGGGAGGACCAGCGCTAAGCCCCCCGAGAATGCGCCGTTTGGCGGTGGGGAGGCCGCCGGCGTTGTGTGAAGCACGCGACGACAGAGGCAGACACAAACGCAGACGCAAACGCAGACGCAAGTCCACGAAACGCGGGGCACGTTGCGGGAGACGGATCGGGGCTTTGGCACCACGCGTTCGCACGCGGAGAGCGAAACGAAGCAACAAACCGACCCATCGATGCCGAGTGGATCGGATTGCGTTGTATTGTATTGCATTGGGCTGCATTGCGCAGGGTGACACGCTTGCTCTTGACTCTTCATTGTTTAGACGGTTACAGTTATTTCCTGAATTATAGTATCCATATAGAGCAACTAGTAGTAAATCACAACTCCCTCTTTGTCACTTCCTCGAATGCCATGGATCCATCGATTGGTGTTTCGTGGGTATGCAAGCTTGTGCGAATCTCGATTCGTTTTTCTCCGTCCTGGTAAAACAGTGCACAAAGATTGCAAAGAGTCGTTCTGTATCACCCTGGCACAGTACTTGTTCTGTATGTGGCTACTCACATCTCGATACGGACGACGACAATGCCGTGGTCGACCAAAGCCATGTCCAACGATTCGTGCGCACCGTTCACGGATGCGGTCGTCGATTCACTTGCCCATGGTCTTGCCGACCTCCAGCCCCATCGCAAAGAGGTACAGCCCCATGATGGCCATGGGCGAGGATCCCTTGTCCAGGAGGGTCTGGAAGCCGTCCTTGAGGCTCACCCGGTGGACGGTGATGTGCTCTCCCTCGTCGGGGGTTGCCTCGAAGAGGGCCCCCGAAGGATCGTTGTAGGGATTGTCCAGGTCCACCACCACCACCACGCACTGGACCGTCTCGTCGCAGAGGCCCGGGGACATGCAGACCTGCCTCGAGACCACCGGGGGGATCCTACAGGCTTCCCCGACGTAGCCGGTTTCCTCGCGGAGCTCCCGGAGGGCGGCCTGCTCGGGTGTCTCCCCGGCGTCGATGAGCCCGGCCGGGAACTCGAGGGTGGCCCTCCCGACCGGGGGCCGGAACTGCTCGACCAGAAGCGTGTCGAGAACGTCGTCTTTGTCTTCCTCGTCTTTTTCGTTGCCGGTTTCGCCCTCCTTCTTGTAGGGCCGCTTCAGGAGGGGGATGATGACCACGGCGTCCGTGGAGGACTTGCTCGCCTTCGTGGTGCGGGTGGCGTAGTCCCACTTGCGCTGGCTGCCGGTGGCGTCGGTGTACGAGAGGGTTTCTAGCTTGAGCCACCTGGTGCTTCCGATGGTTTCGGATCCGTCGATGCGGGGGAGATCGCTGGCGCCGCTGCCGCCGTTGGTTTCTTCGGTGGACATGGTGCGGGATGTGGTTCTACCAACAAAAGAATACGGCTTTCGGTTCGGGACGATTGGGTTGGCGTGGATCTTTTTCGGGGGTGTCTTTCTCGTGCGGAGAACGCGAACTCCCAGGCGCAATTGTGGGAACGCGAACGCTAACGCTAACGGATGGATGGTTGTGCTGTTCTCGCTGCAATGAATCAATAGTGCAACGCAGATCAGCAAAGACAACAGGCGGCAGCGCTTGGTGGGCTCGGATCGGGATTGCATAAAAGAAGTACGAGTATGCGTGGGCTCGAAGTGTAACATACGGTACCTCGAAGGCTCGTGAAGAGTATTTTCTGAATAAGAATCCACGGCATATTATGTTCCGCTACCTACCGTACGGTAGTGCTGCCAGAAATTTAAGATTGCTCTAGTACATACCGATAGCGTGACCTACCCTCACAGATTGTACGTGTACGGGACTACTGGTACGGGATTACCGTTTCAACTAGAGCGTCCACCGTTCTAAATCTATATCAAAATTTATTTAAAAATATATTTATAAATTATGATGATGCATCTGGTTGCAACGCAGAAGCAAATCCGGTATGATGTAGGTGGTTAGCATACTTGCCTCTCACGCAGGATACCAGGGTTCGAGTCCCTGTACCGGAACATTTTGCAGGATGAGGAATGTACTGCCGTCATGTTACTACTGTTTGCAAATCCCTCGACAGTATCGCTTTCTTTTTGTAGCCACTGCTACCACGTAGTAGCAGTGGTGTCATCCCTTCTTACTACAACTCAAAGGTGTGGATTTTTTACTAAATCAGCATCAATAGTAAACTACTACTACAGTAACTCACTTCAGTTGTATTTTCATTCCTTCGTCTTGGATTCACCAGACACAACAAGAACTTCAGTGAGTTCTTAGTACTACTACTAGTAGTATTACTATGTTGATCTTAGTATTTAATACTACTACTTTTAAGATGTGTTATGCCTTGTAATGTCATACCAGTAGCAATGAAGGAGCAAGCCTTCAAAAAGACTTATTTTTTCTTATCAATTTGAAAATACCGTCAGTTGGGTTCTAGTACTGGTCGTCACTTAAAGACCGGACCGGTGTCTATAGAAAGCCAAGAGTGACACCACATTGTTGAGGCTGTAATTCTCTTCAGTGTTGAGAACTTTCTTGCATTTGTCATTCTTGTTCAAAAGAGGTGCACCATACCATTGTCATTTAATTGCTTCAAGTGTTAATAGACTGCTGTTTAATTCCATTTGCAATAATAATTTTATTTTTATCTACAGTACTGATTGTTATACTGCTATGTGTAAAACACTTAGGTAAATTCTGACCAATTATTACTGGACAAATTGAGTACTGCAAAGTGTACAATTATATCTGGACAGAGGTAGTACTACTAATACTTTATCTCCTAGAAAAGAACAAGGTTTTCTCTCATTTCTTGAATGATAGTACTACTAGTCGTATACTACAAGTAAGAATTGACAGTTTTGAGTTTCAGGTTTGGTCTATACTACTACTAGTAGTAGTACTCCCTTAATTTGCTTACACTGCTAGATTCCTCTAGATTTCTTGTGACAAGTACCCCTCAAGTATGGTGGTGAAAAAGATCATCTGCTGTGTACTGAATTTGGGTCAACAATCTGGCAAATTTTTCTGGTTGCAAATGTGGTAAAAGATGCTGGATTTTTCAATTTCTTGGAATAATACCAAATATACTAAAATTGACTACTTTTTGTTGCATTATCTTAATTTTCAGGTAGAGCTCAATGTGACCATCCCATAGTGCAGTGGTAGTACTAGTACCAGTACTAGCTAGTACTAGTAGTAGTAGCAGCAGCAGCAGCAGTAACAAAAAGCAAGAAGGAAGTCATTGTAGTAGTGATTGGTTTCCATAACTACTACTAGTAGTTCTAGTAGTAGTAGCCACTTGTGGTAGATCTTGATATACAACATTGCTTTTTCATTATGGTCAAGGCTTTTGGTTGCTTAGGATCATATTGGGTGTTTGGATATCAAACTGTGTACAAAAGAGCATCCCCACTAGTCCTAGTAGTTTTGGTACTACTAATGATGGCTTTCTTGTTGCTGGTGCTTGCTGCTTGGAAAACATCAATTCATGTGACCCCTGGAAGAAAGTTCAATCCTGACCAAAATTATTGTCAGCAATTCTCTTGCCAAAAATTTTGGAAAAAGTACCCCAACTAGTCCTCCAAAAGTTTGGTGTTAATCTCACTTTAGGGACTGTTCCAAAACTAGGAGATGCTCCACTCATTTGATTCACTACACTTGTTCCTCAAGTGTTGCTACTACTACTACTACTACTAGTAGTAGTAGTAGTAGTAGTAGTAGTAGTAGTAGTAGTAGTGGTATCACAGAGGTAGCAAAAAGCAAGGAAAAATCACAATTTCTTGAAAGTGTTGCACTGATATTAGTACTACAAGTACTTACTAGTAGTGTTTTACTCCATTCTTGACCTCATAACTCCTAAACTACTACAACTACAATGGGTCAATAAAAAATCATATTCCATCCCGGGTCAATTCAAAAAATCATATTCCATCCTTGGTCCCAGAATTAAAAAATCAGCTTATGGATTTTTTTAAATTCCAATTTTTACTGGATAATACTAGTAAAACTACCATCCAGCTTTTTACGTAGTCATAACTTTATCAAAAATAGTAGTAACATATTTTTTGGAGACACTGTCTACACCAGTTTTGTTCTTATAAAGATTCTGAATAGTATGTCAAGTATCAAATGGATATTTAGTGTACCTTTATAACAGTATGATTTAAAGCAACAAATGACTGTTGTTTAGTATTATGCAGCAAAAAATTCCTGAAGCTGATTTTTTAATTTTGGGATCAAGGATGGAGTATGATTTTTGATCATTGTGCAAAATCTTAGCACATGCTGGGAAATTGTGATGTGTACCCCTCCTATTTATGACCCCTGACTATTACTACTTAACAACAATCCTCTGTTTGTTATTTGGTGCCTATACAATTCAAAAAATATAACTCCATTTATGATTGAAAGGATTCCATGGAACATCATTAGAAAAACAGTATTTGTTGGTCTTCACTATCAAATTGCATGCTACAGAAATAACTCAGCTCTTTCACTTACAACTACACAAGTACCAGAAATCTTTTCTCCAGTATACATTTCCTGTCAACAAAGCAGCAGTACTACCCCCATTGTGAATTCATTTTCTCATTTAAGCAGGGATAGTATTACTAGTACTTCATTCTTTATGGAGCTCTTTTCTGTAGGACCACTACTACTACTAGTAGTAGTACTACTACTAGTAGTAAACTCAATAATCTTGACATCTGTAAGAATATAGTCCATAACCACTACTCATTTCTAATTTAATCCTTAATTGCTTCTCATTTTTCTTGTTCTTTGGTTGAACCTTATTTACCCTGCCCATTCTCCAACAGATAGTTCAAAATGCAGGATTAATGTAACTGTTATTGTTCTTCTTCCTTTTTGGTTTACTACAAGTACTGCTACTAGTAGTAGTGATTGCAAGCAATGCTACTAGTACCTTTCTCATAATTACTACTTCTGTCCTTCCAAATACTCTTTCTTATCTTCACCTCCAAGTCCTTGATCCTCACATAGCTTGACCACTTTCTCACATAGTTCATTGAATGATAGTCAACTCCTTGTTTGCTTCTCCCATACAACCATCTCTGTTGCTACTGCCAGCATCACAATATCTTTTCTTGTTACAGTCAAGAATCTCTCAATTGATCTTCCTCTACTGCTGCCTCCTGAGCATGGTGATCATTGAAAAAATTGCTAGTACTGGAAATGCCTCATCACTGACTGAGAAAATCTTGCTGGTCAGCAGCCAGTTCTTTGCCTTTATTTTTGCTGAGCAAATGATAGATAAGATTCTAGTTACAAAGCAATGGAATTCTCCATTATTGATGGGTTCTGACCTTGAAATGAAAAGCTTCATTCTATTCATCTTAGATGTTGGTTCCACTACTAGTACTGCTGAAAACTAATCCCTTTGCTCACCACTTTTGTAAGTATCAATAAATGATCTATTTCCCACTGCTAGTACCTTAACCCATCCTTTGTGACCAAAGTTGTCTCAGAGCTGTACCTTTGTGAGAAAAGTTGTATCAGAGCTTTCACTACTAGTAGTTGACACTTGCCCCTCCTCACCTAGTGCGAACTGCAGGAAAAAATCAGGAAAATTAAAAGAACACTTCTCTGGTCATTTATTTGTTCCCTACTTTTTGCAATTTCTAAATTGGACCATGTAGCACTACCAACCACAAATTTCAAACCATGATAGCATGTTTCATACCATACCATAATCCCATCATCATGATAGATGATGAGTACATTTGAAAGTAGTATGAACTTATCTGATCATAGTTCTATTAGTTGTGACCTCCTTCTTGCCCATAGGATCCCATCCACTACTAGAGATGGCAATGTTTGAGTAGTTGTTTTTCTACTAATAGTTATTCTCTTGGAACTTTTTTTGAGGCCACCTAGTACTCTGATAATCATCTCATCATGACTGGCATCATGAATTGGAAAATCTTCACCACAATTATAAAATCCTCATCAGTCCTATCAGGACGAGGCCCTCTACTGCTGGTATAAATACCAAAACTGGTTTGGAAGTTGGGTGATGATGGTGCTGGTGTATCATAGAGTCAGCTAGCAAATGTATGCACCAATTGTAGATTTTGGGCCCTATTTTTTCTGTGTAATGACTACTTTGACTAAAAAACTAAATACATACACAATGCAAGTGCTCAGTAGTACCCCTACCAGTTCTTGAATTTTTGAATCCCACCAGCAGTCGTGCGACCAAATATTTTTGCTTGCACATGCCACTTTGCACAGTATATCTGTACTCCTAGTACATTTTGAATTTTTAGTCATTACATGGTAAAAAGATGGCCCAAAATTGACACACTAGTACCACCACTCTACTGCTATTGTCAATGGTACTAGTAATAGTACTATTGTTACTAGTAGTACTGCATACTGCATTCTACTACTAGTAGTAATACTAGTACTACTAGTATGATTATCTGGCATACTACCAGAACTACCAGCTTAACCACTATCATACTTTCTGGTTCCTCTTTGTTAACATGGTCACACCAACTTCAAGAGAAAGTGAAAAATAAGATACTGTGCAGCAAAAATGAATAGATGAACTCTTAGTAGGAGTAGAGAAGGTATTGAATATTTGAAAATTTGAATGTCTTGCACAAAAAGGGATCCGATATGATGTAGGTGGTTAGCATACTTGCCTTTCACGCAGGATACCAGGGTTCGAGTCCCTGTATCGGAACATTTTGCCTATTGGGTTTTCCCCGAGCTCTAAGGCTTTTCCACAGCTTTCGGAGAGCATGTCGCAATCTTGCAGCGTTTGTTTGCAGACGCGAGGAAGAATTCTTTGCGTCGGGAACTTTCTCTTTTTCTATCTCACAATTTACTTGTTACAATTCAATCAAAAAGTTCGTAGTTTTGATGTCTTCTCTTCAATCCATCGAGATTGCTCAGAATAACCAGGAGTTAAGTGCCTACGGTGCAGTACGTACAGTAGTTACATTTCAGACCAAGCGCCCAGAGTCGATTTCGAAGTGAACTCATTGTCTGTCCGTCCGTTGCGAATCAGCTGAACGGAACGAATATAACCTGCAAATGTTAATATGCTCCTTACTGCGTGTTAATACGTGGTTTACAATAGAGGAGTGAGGTTATTCACTAGCTACTCGGGATTTAGCCTCACATTACATACATTACATAACCGAGGTTTGTTCAGAAAGTTCTTAAAAACGGGATGGAAAAAGACAGATTGATAGAATAAACCAATTGTCGGTACCGCATGTCAGTAAATAACCAATAACTACGCTTTAGCAGTCACATTTATCATGACATTTTTAACTTTTTGAAACAAAGAATGTTTTTATGTTCCCAACTGCACATAACGTTCCCAAGAATACTTACGATTATTTTTTCTGAGTGGGATTTGTTCTGGGATAGGTAGAAGAGTTTTCAACTACTGAAAAACTCGAAGAATGTTTTTTTATGTTCCCAACTGCACATAACGTTCCTAAGAACACTTACGACTATTTTTTCTGAGTGGGATTTGTTCTGGGATAGTGTAGAAGAGATTTCAACTCCTGAAAAACTGTGAACTTTGATTTGGGGAACCGAGGCGAAGTTGGGAAGCGGTTCATTCATATCGACTACTGTATTAAGTTCAAGTAGTGCTCGTACATCTTAATGCGGTGAAGTAGAAGTATATTCTTTGATGTTTCATGGATTATCTAGCTGGTCTTAGTGTTGTAGCACTCGACCCGAATCATCGTCTTCCTTGGCTGTTTAAGAATAATACCGAGGAGGTACACCAGTAGTTTGTTGTTTCTTCGTTGCGTTCCGTCACGTATCCGCCAGCTCCCCCAGGATTTTGTCCCCCTCCTTTATGTAGGTGCAGATGGTACTGCAGGGGCCCTTGTGGCCGTTCTTGTAATGGATCACCTGGCAGGACCTAGAGCAGTACCTGGCCACCTTGCAACTTCCGCAGATCGAGAAGACCACCCCTTTTGGCTGGGGCTTGGCGCAGGCCGGGTTGAAGCAGATGTTGGCAAAGGGAAGAGCGATATTGCGGTTCGCTTCCTTCATCTGCTCCTTTCCGTACTTGAGCACCGAACAGCGCTTCTTGTGCCCCCCCTCCCTCCAATGGGCGGACTGGCACTCGCGGCTACAGTACTTGACCTGCTTGCAGCTCTCGCAGAGCGAGAATCGCTCGCCTTCCTGTTCGACCATGTCGCAGCCCGGGTTGGAACACCTCGTTGTGCGATCCGTCGTGAGGTAGTTCGTGATGTTCTTTTCCTTGCCGAGGTGCCGGAGCAGCTTCCGGGCCTCTGATTGGGTCCGCACCGGCGCCTTGCGGAGCTGGGCCAACCCGTCCCTCGCCTCGGTGCAGCCCAGCCGGGCACCGATCTCGAACCACTTCTTCTCAACCTCCCGGTTTGTAGGAGCGATCACACCCATGTTGAAGGCCATGGCCAGATCGAAAGCCGCTTTTCCGTTCCCGTTGCGCACGCCCCTTGCCAGCCAGTACAGGCCCTTCTCGAAGTTCTGGGGGACCTCCGGGTGGTACAGGCCTGTCATGTGCAGCTCGCTCCCAAGGATCTTGATGGATCGCTCGCAGTTGAACTCGTGGGCAGCCCGCTCCAGGAGCAGGGATCCCTTTCTTGGATCTATCAGGGAGGGGGGGAGCCTCCGCTGCGAGTCAGGGAAGCTGCTGTTGGTGGTAGAGCCGAGGAGGAACTTCCCGTAGGCGTACAGATAGCACCGGGTGGAAATGGGATTTCTCGGGCGCCTCCCGGTCAAGCGGTCGACCTGAAGGTAGCAATGCATCCAACGACAGAGCTCGACAATGTCCTGCTTGGCGCCACCCCTCCCGGACGTGTGCAGCTCGATGAGGTGCTCCATCGCCTCTTGGTCCCCCTCTCCGGCCCGTTGCAGGTACGACTGAAACGGAGGAACTACAACCGATACCGCCGGTTTGGAAGGAATGAACTGGTCATGCATGGACAACTTTGGCGTAGGTATTGGTGTATTGGTAATGGCGGTGTTGAAGTTCATGTTGGCATCTAAGTGGCTCGAAAGCTCTAGGCTCGACCTAATGGGATACAATGGGATACAATGGGATACAATGGGATACATATATTTTGCGGCAGATCATAGTGTTTCGGTGTCAGTCGCTCTCTTCCATCTTGTGTCTCCGTTGAAATGACATTTTCCACATGCAGCATTTTGTTGCGCCTTCATTTGATCTGCGATGCGCTGGTGTTTATTGTAATTTCAAGTATTGGACTGACTGTGATCAAAATGTATTGTTCTACGGTACTACACCGGGACGTTGAAGACAAAAAAATGTGCTTTCAGTGCTTCGATAAATAATGGACCGATTTTATTTACTTAGGATTTGATGTATTTTGGGGTTAATTGAAAACGTCATTCTAAAATATCAAGACTAGAGCTGGTTGTGTTCTACATTCTCTTCAAGTACAAAATATGAAGAATAGATCAAGCATATTGTACTTATAAAACTCTTCCTTTTGATATATGTAATATTCTCGCAAAAAGTGCGAACATCGAGGGCATGTAACGTACACGGTATCAATGCTTTACGAACCCCAACCCCAACCCCAGATTATTTTGCTTTCTCGAGTCAGATCCAATTCAAGAATCCCCTTGACACTGCACCATGTGTTCTCAATCAAGCAAAATTCCTTTTTCCAAATTAAGCACATGCAGCGAGCAGAACGACTAAATAGACCCCTGAGCGGTTTCGTTCGACAATAATTCGATTTTTTTTATTCTCCCATCTCTATTTCCCCTCCCCCCCCCCTCCACACACAAAAACTAAGGAGTCCTTAAATATTTCTATTAGTGGTCCTTACTACTAAAGAGGTAAATTCATCGGTTACTACTTGCTGAGAATTACTATTAGGGCTTACTACTGGAAAACCTCTACTATTACTACTTACTACTGGGGATGTTATAGTAATGAGCACTGCAAACTGCCGTGTTAGGGGTTTTTGTTGGTGCTGCTCCCTTCTCGCAGCACAAATTAGTCAGACTAATTGACTCGATGGTTATTGATGTAATAGACTGGTTGCTCAGTTTTTGCCAAGTAATTGCATCTGGGTGGTGGGGATCTGGCACTGCTGGTGGTAAACAAACTACAAGCACTGCCTCCTCCAATGCAGGGGAATGCAGGGCTCTTTCCCCTCCCAGGTCCCTCCCTGGATGCTGCAAATGAACTACAAGCACCAGCCTTCTCCAATATGGGGGAATGGGCTCTTTCCCTCCCTGGTCCCTCTCCAGATGCTGCTGCTTCTGTTTTGATAAAAACTGGACTGATTTTATGTTTCTGGTACAAATTGGCTGTAGAATTCTACGACAAAATTGTAAATCAAGGCACTATACTGCTAATTTTTGCTAAAATCTGGATTTTCTATTGTAGTACGTTTAATCTACTGCAAAATGTAGTACTGGATATCGCTAGCCTCATAATTACAATACGAATAGCTCCTCCACAATTAGGACCTCCATGATACTAGTAGTACACACTCTTTGACATTGATTAGTACAAATGAACTGCAAGCACTGGTGCCTCCATTGATGTGAGGGAACAGGCTCTTATCTCTCCCTGGTCCCTCTCCTGATTCAACAAACAAACTACAAGCATTGCTGCCTCCCCCAATTTAGGGGACTGGGCTCTTTTCCCTCCCTGGATCTGGCAGATTACATTGTTAGACAGCATGGTGGTTCGGTTCTGGCACTGGTGATCTCTTCACGCATCTTGCTGATACTCAACTTGCAATGCATATGAAACTGCTCAATTTTGTGAGTTAGCTCTCATCCAACAATTGCTCTCAACACTTCATTATGTGATTGTTCTTCTTGTTTGGAAGCAATTCCAATTTACAGTTGCTCTCAAGTAGGTCTTCATTCACTTGTCAAGCTCATCTTCAAGCTCAACAACCTTGTCAGTGTGGGCATCTCCTCCTATGTGCTTGAGTTTTTGTTATTGTTGCTGAATGGTGGCCTCAAGGTCATGAACCATTGTGGTCAGCACTTCATTATCACCATTGGTATCCTGGAGCTCTTTTTGTTGCCTTTTAGCATCCTTGCTTACTTCTTTTAGGCTACTCTTCTGTTTTTTTGCTTTCTTCTTCAGCTCAGCAATTTCTTTCTTCAGAGCAAGCTTGTTGGTTGGTGTGGAAAACAAAGAAGATGTTGCCTTGGCAACTTGCTGATCACGAACTACAACTGATGGTGCAGTGCTTTCCTTGTTGTTGCTGTTCTTGTTGTTACCACTATTGCTTGAAGAAGAAGGAGGAGGAGGCTTCCTCCCAGAGCCACTTGAAGCTGTTTTTGAATCATTGAGTTATTGTGAATATAAGGCTGAGCTGACTTGGCATTCTCATGCCAGATGTGGTTCATCCTCATCTTATCAGTAACATTTTCATTGGATGCAAGTGCTGTAATGCAACAATGGCAATTTTCATGAGGAGTAAACTTGTCCCAGTCAGTGAATCCTGCTGCCACCTTGGCAAACTCTTTGATCCACTTACCAAAAGGATCCCCTCCAATTTGCAAATTAGATTTGTAGTGATAAGGATTGCCTTTCCTGCCCTTGTGGTTCATGTAGTAGAAGAATCTCTTCTGTGATGGGCTGCAAAGCTTCCTGTAATAATAGATTAGTTTCACAATACAGTACTTGTTTTCTCTTTGCTCAAACACCATTCTTGTCTTTTGTGTATTCACAGTTGGACGAGCTTTTGTATCTCCAGACACAGCTGTCGTAGATCTAGTAGCTCTAGGTCTAGGTCTACTAGTAGTAAGTCTAGCTCAAGCATTAGTTCAAGCACTACAAGCTCATGCACTAGTACTAGCTGAAACACAATTACTAGCTCATCAGTATCAGTATCACTATAAGTATCACTAGCAGCAGCACTGTCGCCAGAAGTAACTCTAGTAGTAGTATCATCAATTAGAGCTAGAGCTAGAGCTTCAACAAAGCTACAACAGGATCTAGTGCTATCATTTTCATTTATCTTTGTTGAGCAGCTACTAGTACATATATGAGGTACATCCATAGATTGCAAGCGTCAGTTTTAGTACTAGTATGAAGTAGTGGTAGAGTGATGCAGCTTAAGTTGTACTAACTGTGTTCAATTTTTTAGTAGATCAGTAGCATGTACTGGGAGCAAGCACCTGTGAAGAACAGACACATCCTAAGCAGGCATGCGGCTGACCCAATGTGATGATCTTAACAGCATTACAGGAGGTGCTTCCTCAGTACTGTGGCAACATGGTAACAAAAGATCAGTAGCATCATGTACTTGGGGCAAGTATCTGTGAAGAAGGGACATGTTATAAGCAGGCATGCGGCTGACCCAATGCAATGATTAGATCTCCTCTCCATCTCCATTGAACAATCTCCATGATTGAACGATCTCCATTGAACGATCTCCTCCATTGAACGATCTCCATTGAATGATCTCCATTGAACGATCTCCATTGAACAATCTCCATTGAAAAATCTCCTCTCCATCTACATGTTCATTAGCTGGTTATTTTATTCAGTGATAGGCCAGTGATTCAGATCTCCTCTCCATCTTCATCTACTACTAACTGGTGGTGAACGATTGTGATGTCCTCCTCTTCTTGTTCTTGTTGTTGGTGGTGGTGCTGCTTGATATGATATTGTTTTCCTTTTGTGCTTGCAACAAAGAGGGAGGAGAGTACTGGTTTGTGGTGGCAATGCAGAGGGTGATGATTTGGGCCTCTGTTGCAGAGGGTGCTGCTTGCGGTTGCTGATTCTTGATAATCTTGATAACTGGTACTCTGTTGTGGAAAAGATAAGACGACATTCCCTGTATGTTCGTACCAACGGCAAAACTCTACTCTACCTTACGTACGTACGTAGGTGATCGGAACCGTGGTTGTGATTGCGATCGAAATGGAAGAGGTAGTACGGTACGGGCTGTTGCTGCTTGTGAGTCTCGTTGTTGCTCATAACCTGTGAAATACTGATAGGCTCCTTAGTGTACGTGAATACGTGGTTTACAATAAAGAGTGAGTTATTCACTAGTTACTCGTGAATGTGGTGTTTACTGTCTCACACCAAGTACTGTCTGGTTTTGTCTACACGACACAATTGCTGCTACAAGCAACCGACCAACCGACGCGACCGTTTTGACCATGACCGTGGTACCAAGCACCGTTTCCTCCACTCCGCCGCTGGCAAATTACGGGATCCTGACCGGGCAGTTGTTCTTGTATGCGGGGGGCAGAGCCGCCTTCGAATCGGCTTCGGCGTCCGGCGTCGGGAGCGAACTTCCTCCCCGGAAAAAGTGCATCCTTCTGGGTGGACTGAGCGACGGCTTGCTACCCGTCCCCTACACCGGGATCTTGGAGAAGGCCTGCCACGAGAACGACTGGTCGCTGGTCCAGCCCGTTCTGTCGAGCTCTTACCTCGGCTTTGGGCACGGTTCCCTCGACCGGGACTGCTCCGAGATCGAGGAGCTGATGAAGTACCTGTGCGAGTATCGGAACGCGGAAGAGTTTGCCCTGGTGGGCCATTCCACGGGGTGCCAGGATGCAGTGCATTTTCTGCAGCACGCCGGGCCCGAGTTCCGCAAGAAGACGAGCCTCGTGGCCCTGCAGGCCCCCGTCTCCGACCGGGAGGGTACCGAGCTCGAGGAGGGCTTTCCCGAAAAACTGCAAGAAGCGCAGAAGATGGTGTCGGAAGGAAGGGGGGACGAGATGCTGCCGCGGTCCTTTCACTGGGCCCCGGTGACGGCCCAGCGCTACGTCGACCTGCACTCCAGGGGCGGGAGGGACGACTTCTTTTCCAGCGACTACACGGACGCCGAGCTGGAGGCCCGCCTCTCGTACGTGGGAGGGGATCCCTCGCAGCATCCCGGCCTCAGGGTGCTGGTGGCCTTTTCGGGGGCCGACGAATACGTTCCGGAGCACGTGGACCGGCCAAAGCTCACCGAGCGATTGGTCGTCGCCATGAACGCGAAGAGCAACGGCAGGGCGGTGGCGGAAAGCCTCTACCTCGAGACGGGGAACCACAATCTATCGGAGGGACCAGTGGACGCCGCCGCTTTCGTCCAACGGCTTTCGGAACTTTTCAGGGGAACCGAGTGATTGGAATGGATTGCTGCGGTCCCCTTGCCGTGGTTCGAGAATCGTGTACGGTATTGTAGTAGTCTAAGATAGTGCATCTACTCTCTGCGAGCCAGCCGGTGCTTGTTCTTCCTTCGAAACAGATGATCACAAGAATTGTCCGATACGAATTGAGCGATAGTTCATATTGAGAAGTTTCATTGATTATCTTGATTGATTCGCTACATCTATATCTATTGTTCGTTGTGCTGTTGCTGAACTCTATTGCTCGGACGGATCTCATCCTGTCTAGGCCCCTATGCTGTTTGCGCTGTTGTTCCGCTGGTCCACGCATTGCTGGTAGCACAGCTCGGCCTGTTCCGTGCACGTCTGGAAACAGTTCTGCCGGAGGTCGGATTGCCCCACGGTTTGGTCGCACTGGTTGACGCAATCCGTGTCGTTCTCGAAGCAGTAGCCGACGCACTGGTTGACGCAGCCGTCCTCGCAGGTGTTGAAGGCGCTTCCGTTGGCCGACAGACAGGAGCGGTCGCTCCCGCACCTCGCCTGGAAGTTGTGGTAGTTCGACTCGCAGCAGTTCAGGCAGGTGATCTGGAATCCCTCCTGGTTGGGCTGGATGCACTGAGTGTACTGGACGTTCACGACCGGGAAGTTCGCGCGGCCACAAAAGGTGTCCAGGAAAAAACTCGCTTCGTAGTTCCTGCCCTTGTAGGTACAAATCCCGGACTCCCCCGTGAGGCCTACCACGGTTCCGGAGGTTCCCCCCCGTTGGATGCAACAGGACACGGCTGGATCGTTTGATGCTGTCTCGCCCCGGCAGGTACCGGCGGTCAGTGCCAAGAGAGCGAGGGGAGTGGTTGATAATTTCATGGTGGGTGGTTTCTGGTCGAGATTCTGGTTTGTTTTGAATTTGGCTTGATTGATTTTGTGAGTAGAAATGGTGACACCACACCATTCCATCTTTCCAAAAAATAGATTTTTCAATAATGCAGTTTTCGCAAGGGAATCGATCAAAATCAAGCGGGACCCAGTTCTCGAATAGTCGTGCTAAAAACAAATACTACTATTCACTAGTAGTACAGATTACAGATCACTCGTACGAAGTGCGGTACTGCACATACCGTACTGAATTGAGAAGACGTACTGTAGTCGGCAAGTACGAAGCTAAATTAGACTACTCGTGCCCATGTGTAAACTTCGGAGTCGCCAAAAAAGGATTTTGAACGATAGATTTTGCAGTAACAGTTTTTGCACGAATATTCGAATACGAAACAGTGCTTTCCAGGTTTCTCTGCCGGACCGTAACTTGCGCCTCACGCGTGATGATCAAACGCCACGAAGAAAGGCCACAACAAAAACATTCGAGAAACACTATGCACCTCGACACACACGCATGCACGAGTAGCTGGCATGCTAGCTATAGACCATAATCGATCCTTTCGAGCTCGTCCCGTAGCTCGTTGTCCAGTTCCATTGGCACCGTAAGAAATGCCGAGGAAGGAACCGCGTTTGTCGCGAACAATACCTCCCGTCCGTCCTTTGCCAGTAGAGCGTCGACGAGTTGTTCGTCAACGACGATTCGATCGTTCTCGTCTCTCCGGCGTCGCTGTTTTCGATGGTGGTAGTTGGTACCACTGCTGCTGCTGACGGAGCCATCGGAACCGGCAATGCCCCCGTCAATGGCACTGTAAAACGTCGGCCGATCCCTCGGCCAGGCGTAGGAAAAGTTGCGATTCGGGTCCGGGCTCGAATCGTTTGCAGTTGTGTTTGCTCCCGTCTTGCTGCTTGCGTACCCTCTTTGTTGTTGTTGTTCTTGMTGTTGCTGCTGCTGCGGATCGGCAACCGCAACCAGTGGCCAAACGGAAACGACCCTCCCCCATTTCCCTGCCTCGAGCGGGTCAGACGTGGCGATGTGGCCGCTGGAGGGCAGTGCGACAACGGCAACGCCGGCACGGGCTGCCGGTAGTCCAGGCCGGAACGCCGGCGGCGAGAACGAGGACGACAGTCGCTCCTCCAGCCGCTCGAAATAGACCAGGGCCTCCAGATCGTTCCCGTAGGTCTCCGGCAGTAGCAGGTCCGGATCGGGGGCTCGGATCCGTGCCCGGACGGGGGGGCCGCTCCGGAATCCGGCCCGCACCGAAGCGCCTGTGTTGCTCTCTCCCGGGTGCCGGGCGTCTCTAATGCCGCCGCCGCTTTTGCTCGGGCCGTCGCGGTTGCTGTCGCTGTCGTCCTCGTCGTCGCCGGCCTCGTCCCCCCGGTACAAGAAGCGTCCCCCGCTCTGTCGGACCGCCCCCCGGAATTCGCGGGGCGTGCTGCAAGCCAGAAACGACGCCAGTTCCCGGGTCGTTGCGGTTGCGGTTGCGGTGGACAGCCCCGGACCGGATCCTCGCGGGCTCGGGTTTGGAGTTGCCACCCCCGGGGGGACGACCGCCGGCGAGTAGGGGGGAGGCCAGAAGGCGACGCACGCAGACTGGAACAGCAAGCAGGCCGACCGGCGATCGTGCAGGAGCTGCATTCCGTGCTTGGGGTTCGGCTGCTGCCGCGACTGGTACCGGTAGAGGTTCTGCGGCCACCGCTGATCCTGTTTGTTACAATTTGCGGTGCGGTGGCATTGCAGCTTGTGTGCGTATATGTGTGTGTATGTGTATGTGTACCGGTATGTGTGTGTGTGTGTATGTGTGTTTGTGTGTTTGTGCATCTACGAAGCAAGCAAGCAACCAACACAAGCCATACCGATGAACGAACAATTTTCATTCCTACTCTGTCCTTCGTTTTCGGTTGCGAATCCATACATACTATTGTACTACTTATTCATACGTACCGGTACCGGTTTTTGCAACCTACTGTACCCAGTACCGTACGTAGCGACGACCACTGGGGACTACCTGGTACTACGTACAACTAACTACCCCTCTGACTGATCCCGTCCGACTCAATAAGTCTGTACGCATGTACGGTATGACCAACACGAAGTAAGATACGATTTTTTTTGAGTTTTCCCAACCCCAAAGTTTTTAGGGATTAGCTTTACAGTTCTATTTCTCCCAATTTCCACGCTGAAGGAGGTTTCCTTAAACAACTCCTGCTTTGCATCGTGCTCACAGTAGTTTAAGAAACAAGCATATTGCCTTGAAATAATAGCCTCGCAGGTGCAGTAGGGATCTATGGTACCGTATTGTAGGTAAGGCAGCGGGAACCAGTAATAGTACATACGTATGGTACCCGTACTGCAGAGATGGGAACATTAATTCGGTGTTGCCCGTCGCGCGGAACGGGAGGTCTATCTCGCTGGCAGAGCAGAACAACGAAGGTATTTTGAGGTCCAGGAACAGGACCACAAACGCGTCGGGCCTTGAGCAAGAACCGAGCAGAACGGAATTTGCGTTTTGAACAGGAGAAAACACGTCCCGATCCAACCCGAATCGAACCGTCCCATGGAGGCGATAGAGCGGGTCGCCGCGATGGTCTTCGGGGACCACCACAAAGACACGGTGTTGTATCTTCTCGGTGTCGTTGCCGCCGTCGTCGTCTTTGCCACCGCCAACAACTGGATCAACTTCTTTGCGGGGGAACGCGGCGGAACTACGGAGAAACGAACGAAACCGAATCCGTCGCCCCCCCCACCACCCACAGGAAGCGGCAGAAGGAGCGGCGGCAATCCCCCGCTCCGCCGCCGCAACGGGACGGGGAGGCTGCTCCTGGGGGCCGCCGCCTTTTTGTTGCCCCGGATCTACCAGACGGCCTGCTCGAGCCCGGGCTTTGTGGACGGCCTGGACCGGGTCCTGGACGGCTTCCAGGCGCGGCTGCGGGAGGCGGTGGCTTCCACGGCGACCACCATGGACGACGCCCTCCTGGATTCGATCGACGGGGTCCTGGACGGGATCCAGCTGCGGGTCCGGAGGGAACTCCGGGCCGTGATGGAACTGGAGGCCGAGCGGGCGGCGGCGGAAGACGAGCGGGGAACCACGTGACGGAAACCGACGATTGCCGGAGAGGGTGGGATTCGAGTCGAGTCGAGTCGAGTCGAGTCGTGTCGAACCGAAACGAATCAAGGATTGGTTGCCGTCGAAGACATCGGTCTTTCTTTTGGATCGTCGACCGCGACAAACGAAACGATAACCACACTTCAGACAAAAATCTAGTGCTTGTTTCGTACAGTAGTTACCAAGTGCTGTTACTTATTCGTTGTGCCAACTGTAGCATCGTAGCCCGGGGATCAGCAGCATCAAGCATATCACACCCAGTCGTTTGCGAACTAGGTGATTCCTCTCCGCTTCGGGTAGGATACAATCATATCGTATCATATCATATTGTGTCATATCGCATCATATCATATCACATCTAATCAAATCAAATCATATCGGTGAATCAAGTGGTAGCAAAAAGTCGCTTATGGCATTCCCCGGTTCTGCTTCACGGCATTCTGAAAGCTTACATATGCCAAAAGAAGTGGCCTCTGGCATTCCCCGTTCTTTGTCAGATGTCTATACACCTTTCGAACCCCCCCCCCCCCCCCTCTTTTGGTTATTGCGATGCACTGCTTGGTTACTTTTTTGTCCTCTTTGCAGAGTTCTTTTTCTTTTTTCTCGCCTTGTTTGAGGCCGCCACCGTCCACGCAAAGCCAATCTCTTCGAGCGCGGCAATCCGCTCGGGATCCATGTCGCCTTTTTTGAAGGATTCTCGCTGCCTGGAACACCACCGCCCCAGGTTTTCTCCGTTTTCCTTGTGGCTTTGCTTCATCGTGTTCACGGACGAGGGACCCCGCCGCTCCCGGTAACGGACGAGCAGCCGGAACATGTGGTTCCACCGCCAGGAATGCATGTCCCAGACGACGCCGAGGCCCTCCAGCTTTTCCTGCCGAGTCGGATCGAGCCTTCCCTCGAGCTTGAGCTGGCGGAGGTCCTTGAGCCACCCGCCGAGGTTGGCGGACGACGGAGATGCCTCGCCGTGCCTATCATCGTCGCCGTCGCCACCGTCGGCCTTGTCGGTGCGCACCTCTACGGTGTAGTTCTGCGGAACGTTGGCGTGGCCGTGCTCCGCTTGGTAGCGGGCCAGCAAGCGAAACATCTTGTCCCACTTCCACGACTGGACGTCCCAGGCCACCCCCAGGTCTTCCAGGAGTTCTTCCCTGCCGGCGTCCAGCGTCCCCTGCGCCTTGAGCTGCCGCTGTTTGTCCAGCCACTTCCCGAGCTTTTGGTGGTGGTCTTTTTCGCTGGTCCGATAGTGCTGGGGGACGTTGGCGTGCCCGACGCGGTCCTTGTACCGGAAGAGCCGGCGGTACATCTCGTTCCAGCGGTTGTGGCGGTCGGGAGACGCCGGCATCGAGCGGTGGCGGCCGGTGCTGTTGCTCCCGTGCCCGCGTTTCTGTTCCGTGGTTTGGTCTCGCAGTGCGGCATTGTTCTCGGTGGTCTTCTCGGAGGTTCCCGCCACCATCCACCGAAGGCTATGGGAACGGACGGAGCCAGCAGTAGCACCTACAGCAGCACCTACAGCAGCACCTACAGCAGCACCGACAGTAGTCTTCGTGTTGTCGCAAGGACGGCCGCAGTTGCACCCGTTTCTCCAGCCGGTTCGACAAAAACAGAATCCGCAGTCGAATCTGGTAGCGGTTCTAGTAGTCATCGTGTTGCAGTATCGACGAGACGCTATCCACTGCCGCATTGCCGGTGCGAAGGCGTGCCTGGTCGCCACCGCCATGGTCTTTGTTCCATCGAAGCACCTTTGCTGAAAGACAACAGCCGCGGATGCAGATACAGATGCAGATGCCAACGGCAATCGTTCGTATCACTCGATGTTAGTGACCGTCTCCGAAGTGATCCCTTTCCGCATTTGCCCAAAGGGGAGCACTCGAACGAACTAAGACGTTCACTCCTACAGTATTGATACCCTGCACCTTTACTCGTACGAGAGCACGGTAAAAATTACTAAATCGATGACTACTGAAATTACTACGTACAGTACTTGGGTGAGCATGGCATGCAACTGTTCCGCAACAATAAGTACGAGTACCGTACGTTCCGGGTTGAAATAAATATTTTTAAGCACTTTAAGTAGTCAATCCCGTGTAGATTTATCATAAATTGAGGCAGCAGAGAATAGGAGTGCTTCTAAGGTAAGGGAAATGAACAACGGTACTTCGTACGATAGTAAGAGTACGTACCCGTACGGACCCTACGACTTACCAATAACAACGCATCCTACTTCAATGTTTAGAAGTAATTGCAAGTAATGTCTTCTGTCCCAATTGACATCACGTCGAAAGTCTAACGGAAAACGAACCCCAAAACACAGTGCTATGAAGTATGCCCTGTCGAGATTTTTTGGATTGCACGCTGCACGCTGCAAACAGAACCCCCTGTTAAACAAAAGTAGGAGTATAATTATCATAGTTTGTCTCTGGGGAGGTGGGGTTCGTATGAAAGGTTTAATTATGTAACTCTTACCTTTAGAGATTGTGAGAAAATACTTGTAGTTGTCGAAACTATTGCTGCAAAATTTTGCTTACTACGCGTTTCGTAACAATTGAAATCGGCCTTGAAAGAGAGCAAAAAGTAATAATTTCGAGTTCTTAACTTCGATTTGAAGTTATGAACTTTTGTCCGGTTTCAATTGTTACGAAACGCGTAGTATACGAAAATACTATATTTATAGAATGCGTGAATAAGCGTCTCCTTAAACAATGATTTTCTTAAGTAATCTCTTTCTTCTAGGTAGAGTACCGCAATAAATCGATGAAGAATCATCTACGATCTCTATTACTAGTAGATATCTTCTCTCTAAAAATTCCTTTAAGGGAACCTTTTCGAAATCATTAATTACATGTATTCCAGTAGTAGGTACTCGTACCAGGGATTCCTTGTCCCTAAAATTGCTATTATCATAATATAGCAAAGTTTCTTTTTAAGAGACCATTCTTCGCCCTCCTTGGGTTTATTGCAGTAAGCTATCATGATATTCTTGTGTTTTCCACAAGCTAATACTGAACTCGTATTTTGGAATCGTCAAGAAAAGGAACAGCAACAAATTGTGTGTCCTTCAAACCAAAATACTGTTGCACGCAAAGCAGTCATTTTTTCAAAGCGCTAGCGCTTCCTATGATGGACATATATATTTGGTCTCGTGCTGTACGAGGAACCTGCCATGAGTAATACACCACAAAACTTTAATCTAGGGCAGAGAAGCCAAGAACTACAGTGTCACCCTTACGCTGCTTTGTACCAACCAATTCTGTTGGCAAACAGAATCAGATACGTGGCAGCTCAACGAGCACTTCATTGCCAATCATTGCCTCGGATAACTCCCGAAGCTGCTTTCTGTTTCTCTTCTTGTCGTCCTTCATTTCAAATCTCCCGCCAGCAAATAGTATCGTCCCTGACCTTGCCGTTGCAAATGCCATCTTTGACAAGGACATATGAAGCAGCTTTTGTTGATAACCCACACTCACCCTTGTCTCGAGTGCCTGCGTTTGTACCTACGGCCCATTTGCGACTTACATCATCAAAACCTACAGAGGAGATATATCAGTCCAACTCTGAGAGTGCACGGTTATCGAATCCAAATTCACGTCCGAAGAGCACTTCCATAAGGACCTCCGTGGTTCAATCGTCAATGATAAAAGTTTCAAAAGGTATATCCATTAGCACAGCGACAAAGCTTACAGAGGATATCAATCAGTCCCACCCTGAGAATGCTGGGTCGTCGAGTTCGAGCTCAAGAACCAAGAATGTCTCCCAAAAGCCCTCCGTGGTTCCTTCGTCATTGACCAAGGTTGTCAAAGCTCCTCATCGCAACACAGCAACCAAACCTACAGAGGATGGCGATAATCCCGACTCTAAGAGTGTAGGTTTGTCAAATTCGAATCCAAGTGCGAAGGATTCGTGCCAAGAAAAAGATTCTTCTAGGACCAGCAACGACACCATCATGGAAACATCGAAGAAAAGCCGGCCTCTATGCAAACAAAAACAAACTAGCTTCGTCGCCAAGTGGGAGCATATGTTCGAGCAGCTTGTGGAGTACAAGAAGAAGCACAACCACACCCTCCTACCGCGGGATTGTAAGACCAATCCGAAGCTCGGTCGCTGGGTCGCCATCCAGCGCCGCATGCACGCGGAAAATTCCCTTTTAGTCGAGCGCAAGTCCAAGTTGGATTCCATTGGCCTTTCGTGGGACAGGAGGCCAAGGCAATCTGCACTATGGAACCGTATGTACAAGTCCCTGCTCAGGTTTAAGGCCAAGCATAACAACACCCTAGTCCCACAGGGCGAGGGCAAGCTTGGCCGATGGGTCCACGCCCAGCGGGTTGCCTACAAGAACAAAACCTTATCGCAGGAGCGCATCGCCTTATTACAGACGATCGGCTTTGTTTGGGACGTGCATGGCATGGCAAACGAACAAAAAGTCTTCACCGAACTCCAACGAATTTCTCGTTTGTCGATGGCCTCACTGCTGGCGGAGCATGCATCAACGAATTGCCTTCCATTAACTTGATATTTGGAGTGTGGCAGAAAATGTTTCTGCATTTTGTTCCGATGCTTTTGCATTTCAAGTTGTGCTCTTCTTTGTTGTACATAATTGTATCCTACACAAAATATAAAAACACTTAAAAAAGAATATTGATTCAGGATCTGGACGAAATAGCTGGGCGTATTATAAGATATTCAAAGGCTTTCCTATGTCGTACTACGTTATGATTGCGATTCCGACGACTCGTTGGATGCTAGAGGAGGAAAGTAAAAGGGATGTTGTATCGAGTGCTCCTCGCATACCTCCCGGTTAATGTCCTCGATGGAATCGGTTTCAAGCACAACAAGGATTCCTCCGTCGCCTTCGTTGGTCTTGGACCCAAATCCGAGCCGTAAGAAGCGTGGCTCTGTGTCCCTGGTGTCTTTGCTGTCGGTTCCGTTGGGTGATGCTCCCGGGTGTGTGCCTTGCTGCTCGGCCTCGATGAGCTCTTTTAGGTGCCTCAGGGACCGCACGGGGGCCCCGTTCACGGATCGGAGGTGCAGATTGGTCAGTCCGTCGTATCCCGTATTGGCCGGGTGGGCCAGAACGTTGATCAGCACCACTACCTGGTCGCCGGGCTTTTCCAGAGGCTCGTAGACTTTGTTCATGAGGTAGCTCAGCGAGTCGGAGACGTATTCCCCCCATGCCCCGCAGTCTTCCAAGTAAGGAATGCTAAGGGCCGTAAAGACCAGCCCACCGACGATGAAATAAGGTGGAGACTGGTTGTTCCAGTGGGGCGGTACCAGGTCCCTCGAGACGGCCAGCGGGACGTCCACTTTTAATGAGCCGCCGTCTCGCCATAGGTCGAGCGCGACCGTGTCCCCGGAAAACTTTGTCTGGACGTAGCTGGAAAAGGAGACCCGTTCCCTTCCGTTCCGCCGAAAGGGAACGTTCCCATCGCTGGCCACGGGGATCCCGTCGATGGAGAGAATGACGTCGGATTCCCTCAGGACGTTCCGCGAGGGACACGTCGGGTAGCAGCTCCGGACCACAACTCCGCCCTGTGCGTGGCTGTTGCTGCTTTTTTTGCGCCTGGATTTTTTCTTGCCACCGTTCGGTTTGGCGGTTTCGACTGCGTCCGGAAGTTTCAGGTACCTCCTCATCGATTCGTTCTCCAGCCTCGAATAGCGGACCCCCAGGCAGGTGACTCCGGAATACGTCCCCCCGTGCCGTTGGAGTCCCTCCAGAAAGTGCAGCACCACAGTCACCGGCACTACGTATCCAATGTTTTCGGCGTGCTCCAGAGCCTGAAAGGCGACGCCGACGACGCGTCCGGTGGCCGCATCGACCACCGGGCCGCCTGAGTTTCCACCGTTGATGGCCGCATCGATCTGGATCGCCAGCAGGTGCGAACCGGAGCACTGTGCGTACTCGGTGGCCTCGATCCGGGAAACAACGCCCTTGGTGACGCTCAGTGAGTCGCCCCCCGTTGGGTAGCCCAGGACCTCGACCTCGTCCTGGAGCTCCGGTAGGGCTCCAAAAGATAGGGGTTTGATGGCGTCGTCTCCGGGGGACGCTTCGGCGACTGCACCTTTTTCGCTGCCACCGTCTTCTTCCTCCTCATCCTCCTCATAATCATCGTATTCGTCGTCCTCGTCCTCATCGTACTCCGTTCGTGTCGTCCAAAAGGTTTCGTCTGCAATGGTGAGTACCGCTAGGTCGCACTCGTTCGCCACCACCTCCACGGTGGCCCGGTACTTTCTCGAGGATCCCCTCCGCCGCACCAGGACCTGGCCTGCGTATTCGACCGAGTGGGCATTGGTCAGGATCCGTCGTCCGTTGATGGCGAATCCGCTGCTGTAGGAGTTGTACGACTTCTGCTTCTGCCAGGGCATCGTCGTGTCCGGCTCGAAATTGTGTGTCGCGTAGATTTTGACGATCGAGTCAAAGACCTCGTCGTAGTAGTCGCAGTCGTGGTAGTAGCTGCCCTCGTCGTAGTCGTCGTATTCCTCGCCTTCGTTGTTACAATACTCCGCATCGACAGGGGTTTCCTCGCCAGGGACAGAAGCGGCCGGTTTCTTGGTTGGGTTCGAGTTGCTCGGCCAGAACAAGCTCGGGGCCATCCCATCGCCGTGGTGGTTGCTGCCCGCAGCGGCATCGGGGGGGGATTGTGGCGGCGACGAGCGCATCCGCGTTAGAGTCGCCTGCCGCGACCGCCGGTGCAGATCGTGAACGGGTGCGTCAGAAGCGCTATCGCTTTTTCCGCGAGCGGGTGTCGCCGGTCTGGGATTCTTTGGGGTTGATTCCGGCATGGCGGCTCGGGTGTGGATTTGGCGGTGCGTGACAAAGGAGCAGCAACTACCGAAGCAGGCCAGCAACAGACAATACCAAAGGAATGCTCGGTTAGGACTGTGATGGTTGCTGTGTGGCATATTCCCTTTGCGGCCGAATTGCGTTGTTTCTTTGTCGTTTCTTTGTATGTGTATAATTATAATTATAATCACTTGTATGATGCTGCGTGGTAAGTCTGTATGTCAGTTGTCCGCCTATATCCGGTTTGGTTCAAAATCGATTGGCTTGATGGCTCTCTTACTTTTCGTGGGATACACGTCTTAGGTGTATCGTCTCGTCTCGTCTAGTCTCGAATCAGCTCTCTCGCTTTATTGGCCTCTCGCCACTGCTCAGATATCCTTCGTGCTTTTTGCAGGTGCCAGAGCTACGATTACTATAGCTGCAGTAAGAAAAGGTATGTACTGCACAGCTAAAGCGTTTCGGGACCCATGATTGGTGGTTGATGACGCATGAAATGAAACGATCGAAGATCGAAGATCGTGATCGACAATTTCGAAATTCGTGCATTGTGATCCTTAGTATCTTAAGGTACATACAAAAGATAGGATAGTGCGTACGATGGACGTATTTTGAATTTTGAAGCTTACTGATCACGTGAATCTCTCTGAATCTAAAAAATCATACCCGTACCGTGTACACGTAGATATCTTCTTTTATTACCGTATGAGTACCGTACAAGCGGCGTGTGCAACATTAGTAATTACAGTAGATGCGAAGTCTATCGCTCTGAAGAAATGTCATAGGAGATCCGATCATTGAACGAATCAGTCCAAGATTGCGGTATGTAACCGTAGTGCGTTTAAAAAAAAAAGATTGCGGTACCGGTATGTAACCGTAGTGCGTTAACAAAAGAAAACGAAAACTACTACCCACTTGTGACAATCCCAACTGAACAAAAGCTACTCCCGACTGTTTCAGACCCGCAAAGGGAGCCCGAATGCCACGTATGGAAAGAACAAGAAGGTAGAGTTGTGAGACTAGTAAATCACGAGTAGATAGTGAGTCAGCAATTGCGAAATGCAATAAGCTACTACGAAGTACAGTAACTCACTATTTATTGTAAACCACGTGTCATACGCAACTAAAGAGCACACGTACTGTGAGACAGAGACACTAAAACTACAATTTGCACAACCACGAGGACGACGGCTTCGCATACTTCTCCCGGCTGTGCGCTGGGCAAACATAATCTAAACACGGGGTGGGTATCCGCAGTTTTGCGGCGATCTATCCCACCAAATGCCAGTCGCGTTCTTGATCCTACAGCTCTCCAAAGCGAAAAATGCTCGAGATGCGTCTCGTGTGTTGCGTTGTGGTGGGTTTCGCAGTAAAATGCAACCAACGCGTCCTGTTTTCTTCGACTTTGGAAAGTCTTCGTTGATTGTTGGTTTGTTGGTGTCTTCCTGTCACATTCCTGGATGGGAGGCAATGTCAGCAGCCGGTTCGCCTATTAGTTGTACAGAGGATGTTTGTTCACGACCATGGCAGTTTCTAGTTAGCATGACTCATTGAGTCCTTGCTCATGGTGGTTATTCGCATGCTTTTCACAATGAAATAACAAAACATCAGGTTTGCATTGTAGTAGTACTGCACTGCCTTTTGGGTGCTTGTTTCCTGTCGAATACTTCCTTTCCAACACGGTCATAGCGCGTTGGTAAGGAAGCATTCGATAGGATGTGAGTCTGGTTCTGCTTCTCGTCCCTGACCAAAACAGCAACGGTGACAACAACATAGTGCATCGAACGATTTGCTTGCTTAGTTGTGTAAAAATGCTATCCATTACATTTAGTCGAGACAATGTGTATTATCTAGAGGAAAACCTAGCAGCAAAAGGCACACAAGAAAGATAGCGCTTCAGTGAAAAACTGAGCATGATTCCCGGGAAGGCCCCACTGAGCCAGTGGGTCTAATTAATTATCATTGTAAAGGAGATACGAACTTCCAGGGCTGCATACTAACACAAGATCCAGAATTCCAATCAACATGGATATCGATATGTAGTACGTGTGTTTCTCGTTAGCAAGTGCAGAGTTTGACACGACAAGGTGGACATGACCACAGCGTATTTTTCTACCATGTCTAGTCTTCCTCCCCCGGAGCTACAACTCCATCCAGATTCTGCCATCACGGGTACCATTCTTGCCGAATCCACCCAAACCCCTCATCGGAGACAAAAATGCCACCCCTTAAAGAATTTCGGGGAAGACTCTGCATCTTGGCCACAGGAAGACAATGGATCAGAGAACGATTCCTCCAAAGGCGTCTCATATTCTTCTGTTTTTGCCTTCGATTCGGTTCTGGGAGTCGTCGTCTGTTCTTCTTTGTTGTCTCGTACTCGCCCGCCGTGTGGCGGCAAGAATTGGAAAGATACCGATGGGATTTTTGTGCGAAGATCAAATTCCATCAACCGTACCGTTACGAACCGTACGGAAAGGTACGTAGGTAAGTAGGCACACTGGTAAATGCAGCTGGCTTTTTTTCTTTTTTTGACATCTGTTCTAACCCCGCGTGAAGGAAAACTGCCATCTGGGGAAACTTGACTAGATTCGTTTGGATTCTGGTTTTCTTTTTTTGGATTGGTGGGAGTTCCCTAACGGCCAGAAAATGGCGCCAACACGGCGCGCTCGAGGCGGGGGGGCTTCCACTATGAGGGATTACAGTACGAAGTAGATGTAGCACATATTACAATCACGAGTCAGCATGGGACACAAAATTCAAATCGGTGGGAAAATCCGGAAAACGGAAGGAGAAGGGCACGCAGATGGATCCGATCGATCGATGTAAACCCGGTTTGGAACACCTGCTCAACCGTCTGGATAGGGAACAAAAGACAGATGAGAGAGGGCACTATAGCTCTCTAGGTGCAAAAAGATCGTTTTGATTCCCTGCGGGTACGTAGCGACACTCTGACTCTGCCGCACCCCTGCCGTTTGTGCCGGACTACAAAATGTTCCATAAAATTACAAAGTGGGTACTGATTCCTCGATCGTGGAAACCATCGATGAGGAAGTCGGTATTCTCATCTGCAGTGACTCTTCTGCACATAAAACGTTTGAACCACTTTTCGACGTCTTCATCGGCGTGTCATTCACCATGAGCGAGGACGAAGACGAAGACGGGAGCGACGACAACGGCATCGCCAGCAACGAATACAAAAACGGGTGCGATGACCCCTACGAAAAGGCGAAACGGCAGCTGGCGCTTTTTTTCGAAAAAGAATCCGCCTTCCCCGAGGACCTCCGTAGCTTTCTGAAGGGACAGATCGAGCTGTTTGTTGTCCACGCCACGTCCCGCGCCAATGCATGGCTCTGCGACCTCGCCGTCGACCACCGGAAAAAGGAGGTGGACTACGGGAGGCACATCCGGGCTGTAGCGGAGGTCTTTCCCGATTCCCTACTGCACCGGAGCTCTAGCGACCACAGCACCTGCCCCATCACAGCGGCCTGCGGCCATCATCTCACGGTGGAGGGCCCGGGTGGGGAGTGCCTGCAGAGGCGGTGGGTGTCCAGCTGCGAGACCATACGCTACGTGCCGCTGCTGGCGCGGCTGGGACAAAAGCACCACAAACACCTGTATGGAGGGGCTGGCGGCACCGATAGGAACCACAACAGCAGCAACGGAACCAGGCCGCAACCGGTGACCCCGGAACGAGAGCGGGTCCGAGTCCAGGGACGAAATAAACCACCCCGCCATCGCCATTCGTGCCCGCTCACCCCTCTCCGGACGGCCCTGGAGCACCTTACCAACTGCACCGAGGAGGACGAACAAGGGGACAGCCCCTCCCACCAGCACGCGGTCGACGTCTTTTCCGCGAGGGCGATGGAGCGGCTCCGGGAGTCCGGCCTGCTTTCGGACGGCGACATCGAGCGCTGCAACCTCGTCGACGTCTGCCTCCTGCGATGGGGAGTTCCCCGGACCCTCGAGCGGCTGCGCTTTCTGGTGGGGGTCCACCCGGGCTCGCTCCGGGCCGGCCGACGGGGGGATCTCCGTGCCCCCTCCAGCCGTGCGACACCGTACACCCGAGCGGAGGGAGACACACTCCTCCACGCGTCCGTCAAGTCGTCCCTCGACCGGACCGACCTCGGCGCCTTTCGGTGCGTCCTCGAGCTCGGGATCGAGCACTTTGCGGCCGACCTGGGATTTTTGTTCCACGCCAACCCCCGGGGGGCGACGCCCTACCGGCTCGCCTGCGCCTGGTTCGGGGTCCACAAGACCCTCTCCGCCGTCCGCGCTGTGGTGGTGGCCGGCGGTGCCGTCTCGGGCGAATCCTTTTTGAGGGCCGCGTCCGATCCAGAAATCCATTTGGACAGCCTGCAGTTCCAGCTCGAACAGTGCCCCTCTCTGTTGCCCCAACTCCTCGGGAGACTCCCTGCTCCGCCTGTGACGCAGCCAGGCACGACCAAGCGAAAGCGTGCCCAAGAACCCGCAACCCACCGGGCGATCTGGAAGGGGCGATGCACATTGGGCTTGCCACCGGTGCAGCGAAAGACCTTCCACCAGGCGGTTGTCCCTTCCGAGTGGGACTCCCCGCGGAAATACCCCCGGAGCCACGAAATTGTCACCGACTCGTTCGGGGCGGTGGAACTTCTGCCGCCAGCACCCCGTGCGAGCCGGAGGCTGTCGCTGGGTCGGTAGTGGAATTTTTTTGGTTTGGGTCCGTGGATTGCCGCCTCGGTGCCACGCGATCCTTTCTTTATCGTGACTGTTTCCGGGTCTAATTAACCCAAAGACAGCGACGCACCATAGAATGAAGAGCATTAGAGTTGTTTATAATACATTTAGTATCATCTTTATCGGTACGAGGAGTAGACTCGTTCGGGGCGGTGGAACTTCTGCCGCCAGCACCCCGTGCGAGCCGGAGGCTGTCGCTGGGTCGCTAGTGGTATTTTTTTGGTGGTTTGGGTCCGTGGATTGCCGCCTTGGTGCCACGCGATCCTTTCTTTATCGTGACTGTTTCCGGGTCTAATTAACCCAAAGACAGCGACGCATCAGAGAATGAAGAGCATTGGAGTTGTTTATAATACATTTAGTATCATCTTTATCGGTACGAGGAGTAGAACCACGCAGATTCAATTCCTCTGGTTTCGTCGGTCTGACAACTGACAGGAAAAAAGAAAGAATACAGCATTCAATCACCGACATGATTCATCTGCGTGGATTCGATTCAAAAACCGGGACACCGCGTTTTCGGGTCACTCTCTACCAGCGCTATTGGCATTGCCTTAGCATTTAAAAGAATCATGATGCATACCCCATCCCCGGAAAATCCAAAGCATCTTAGTCTCCGTTCTCGCCGTTGGATGGTTTTGTTTAACTTTTTTGGTAGCATCACCCATCGCCATCGTGCCCAAAAATCACCGTGTGCCTAGACGGACACCTTCACAACGAGGCAAACACGCTCCGCAGGCACGTCACCACCGCCAGAAAAGCCAGCGTCTCGACGATCGCCAGGGCGGAAAACACCGCGAGCAGCAGGCCGAGACCACTGCGGAGGCCCCCACCGCCCGATGGTCCCTCGCTTCGCGCAACAACCGCGAGGATCCACGCATAGGCGGCCAGGACTAGGATTCCGCCTCTCCGCAGGAGCCGATAATGCCTTCTTCGTTCCCCGGCGACGATCGCAGCGTTCGAACCCTCCGCGATGGCCTTCCATGATGCGAAGGGCCAGGCACACAGGAGGACCACCGGCAGCACGATCCCAAGAAGGAACCGCACTAGGCCGAAAGGCGATGCAAGGTAGCCGGAGGAATCCCTATCTCTAAAGACAGAGACAGCGAAACACGCCGCAACGAGGGGGGGCAGAGCCGATTGGCCGTGGCACCAGATCTTTCGGAGAAAAAAGGGGCGATCCTCTTCGTCGATAATACCACCATTGCCCTGGGTTGTGTTTCTGTTGATAATTCGGTAGCTGCTCATCACAGCAAAGTATTGCGCCGGCTAAAGTGTGGTATCGGTTTTCTATTTTAGAATTAAAAAAGGATTTTGGACTCATCGTGATGCATTTGTTGTTTTAATCTCATCCCTTCGTGGAGGTACGAGTAGTCGTACATAACTCGTAGTTCGTACAATATGATGCATACGAACCATACGTACCGTACGAAATGAATGATCTATGATCTCCCAAAAATCAAATCATGACGTCGCGACTGAATATTCATATGAGTCCCGGAACATTATACTCGTGAGTATGGCATGGTGCTTGGTCTCACTATGAAATAATGTTAATAGGGTCTCTACTGTACGATAATACGTGGTTTACAGTAGAGAGTGAGAATATTCTACTCGGGTCTATTTATTTCGTCCCAGTGATGTCTTCTTGAGCGGGTGCAGTGAGCAAACAGCAAACATAAGTTATTTTTCGTACGTTCTTTTGCATAATTCCATACAGTACCATACATACCTTGCATACCGCGTACTCTACGTACGTTGTCCTATGATTCGAGCTGTACGGTACTAGGTTACTGTACTCGTACTATTGTAGATGAATTTAGTCGAGGCAGGCGGGCTGACTAGAATTGATTTTGATGTTTTCTGTTTCCTTCGGCAACTGACACGTTCCCGAGAGAGCTTTTTCGAAGTGAAACTGTTCTATTCACACAAAACTAGGTGTTCCTGTTTCGAGTGTTCTATGATTCGATACCATGTTGTCTCTTCAATGATTTTTCGGCCATTCGGCATCACCGTTGCCAAAAGACAGGACCGTCCGACCTCAATCGAGAAGATAGTAAACGGAAGGCCAGTTTCATCATCACTCAAAATTGATATGAGCATGTCTGCTCTCATCGGAATGAAGGTTCCGAACGGCTAATGATAGCTCTGCGTTGAAGGTTCCGAACGGTTGATAATAATTTTGCGTTCCTACCCCCGCTTCTTAGTGGATTGGCTGGGATTGATTTGAGATTTATGGCTAACATATCTTCACATTTTTTGCTTTCGGAAAATCTAACAAAACTAGAGATGTTTGAAACAAACCGCCAAACAGCAGAGGAAAAGCTAATTCTGAGTCGCACCGAAAGGGTTCTCAACGCCACCTCCACTGCAATAGCACTCGCCTTCTTGAGGACGGCCCCCGTTGCGGTTGATTCGAGCTCCGGATTCCATTCCCTAGATACCGACTACCTGTGCTGGATGTCATTAAGGGATCCCAATATCGCTACGTACCGTCGAAACCAAAAACGCTATCGCTCCTTGCTTGACGACGAAGAGTCTACGATAAACATTACGTGGAAATCATATGAAAGCAATGTATCCAAAGATAATGAAGAAAAAGAAGCTAAGACTTCTACAGGGGAAGACATTAAGGGAAGCGCCAAGAAATGCTTCCGACCGTCAGCACCAACAACCTTATCGCTCCTTACTCGACGACGAAGAAACCACGATTAGCAACACATGGAAATCATCTGGAAGCAACACATCCGAAGATGTCGATGCCAACGTCGAGGGGGGAACGGAGGACATTCAAGAAGACTGCGAGGAAGAGAATGAACCAAAGGTGTCGGAACAAATGCCTACCGAGAGAGAGACGAAGGAAATTGAAAGTGTAAACAACATTGTGTTCACCTCGGACTCAATTGGGCAAATCGAAGTTTCTTCTGCACAGGTCGCAGAAGAAGAAGAACACGAGACAAAGGTGGAGGAGTGCACTGACAATCGAAAAAGTGCCTCATGGACCCCGTTTCTGAAAAAGAAAATCCAGGCGACTGTGAAAAAGTCTTATACTATTGTTGCTGGCCAATACTGCGAGAAAAACCACACACGTGCCATAGCCATGACCAAACACAGATCAAAAATGTGGACGGAGGCGATGAGTGGCATACGCGTTGGAATCAAGGTCGATGAATCTTCGATGACAACATTGACCGCAGTAGAAGGAGATAGTGATTCCTCGACTGCGTCGAATGGAAATACTGCTCGTACAACTCCTTTTTTTTGCTAGAAGAATCAGCCGCAGCATCACAAATAGAAAACTGGCTCGCCGACCACAAAGAAGGTAACGTTGTAAGTAGCCATGTCAGCAAGAATACAACTGGATTCGAGGTTCAACGATTAAGAGCTGGGCATATTATCATAACACCCGACGAAGCAACAGACCCAATGAATATTATCAAGCCGCAACCATACGTATCGGATACATCAGAAACAATTTTGACAAATGATGGTACCAATCTCCTAAAAACGGTGGAGTGTGGAGCAACAACGATTCCAATACAATCATTTGCGAAACTGATAATTGTTTAATGTTCTACCATTGTCTTATGCCGAGAAACACGATGAAAAACTCGGGCTGTCAGCGATCGAGGTGATCGCAGTGGTCTTCAGAAGACTTACTTGTATATATGCTAGGAATTTTCGCAAAGTACAATGCAACGAATCACAATGGAAAGAATTACATATCCATGTTGTACCGACTACAGAATAAAAAAATTGAATGATTCTATTGCTTTTGTTATGGTGTGATCAATGATTCGGAATTCCACTGGGATGAAATATGAATGCACCGCGGAGGCAGTTATTCGTACAGAAATCACCAAGATTTGTTTGTTAGTCATCCGTCCAATTGATGCGAATGGCCAAGAGAGTCAAATCAATACAGAGACACAGACACAACAGCATGGTTGTACTTTTTTTTTCACTTTTCCCAGATTGCCATAAAGCTATGCAGCTGTGTAGACAAGCCTCCAGTGTTTTTCATATCGTGTCATTTCTTTTTCCTAACACTAATACCATTGTCGTCAAGGAATTTAGAGTGGAGATCACCAAATACGGTGGTGAATCTCTACATTCCTATGCCATGGTCGATCGCCTGGTTCCAACGACGACAGGACGAGCAAACTATCATGGCCGCAAGGTGAGCTAACAAACACATTCATTGGTTGGCTCAATCGCTCAGATGAGATTGCACCCGAGCATTTTTTCCCCGGCATTGACTCCCGGCTTGCTCCGTTGTCCGATCTTAATCCACGCCATCAAAGTCCTCGTCGCTGATGGGTGCGATTTTCGCCGACGGGGATGCTTCGAGCAAGCCAGCGACGTTGCCCTTGTTGTTGGCATCGTCATCCTCCTCGTCGTCTTCTCCGTACMCCTGCCGGTCCGAGCTCCCCTCCTTCGATCCCTCCTCGTCCCGGCGCAAAAAGTTAACGCACTCGGAGATCTTGTCGGAAACCTCCTCGGAGGATTCGGCCAGATCGCACGTCTTGAGGACGGTGTAGGTCCTCGCGACCCGGATGGTCTTTCGCGAGGCCCGGCCGGTGGCCAGGAGCGCCAGTACCGCCTCGACGCAGTACAGCCGGGTGGCCTCATCCAGGTCCCGGACCTGGTCCGGGCCGTCCAGCCACAGGTCGGGATCCATCCCCTTCTTTTCCTCAAAGTCCAGTTCTTCTGGCCCCATAAGGGGCATCAATAGCGGCGTCAGGACCTTGCAAATGTTTAGGAGCCACCAGGCGTTTTCCTTCGAGTCGAGGCAGCAATTCCGGACCATCCCCGCAATCCCACGCCGCCGGAAGGGGTTTGCGGTCTTGGCTTTTTCGCGAAGAATCGGTATCAATCGCTCCAAGACCGACTGCGGCTGATTTTGGTTCTCGTCCGATTTCGATGTGGACGAACGAGGGATTTTGGTGACAAATTTTCGTCCGCCCTTGACCTGGGTCGCGTTCATGAGCAGCGCCGCAAAGTGCTGGTAGGGATCCATCAGGCAGAGCGCGGCGTCCCACTCGCTGGGTTCCAGCACGGTGAGATCTACAGACGTGTTGTTTTCGGGAACGTTCCTGACGAATCGATCTAACAGCAGCTCCATCGAGGMCTTGATTCGCACGTGCTTGTCGTTTTCGTCGTTCTTTCTCGCTTGGTACGCTTCTTCGCCCTCGTCTTCGCCGTCCTCGGGGAGTTCCTCGAACCTGGGAGGCTCGGCCTCCTCGTCAGTGTTATAAACCGCTTCTTCGGGGAGTGTTGTTCCCACGAGCTCCATTGCTCCCTTTTCGGTCCGCGTAACGTTTGCCAGGATCGCCAGCGTGGTATTGATGATCTTTTTGGATGACTTGCTGAGGCTGGAGGCGTCGCTGGGGAGATCAAGGACCAGCTCCACCAACCTGCCGACGGCCTTCAGGTCCAGAAGCTTGTCGACCACAGCATTGACAATCTCGTCGGCGGCGCTAGTCGCGTAAAGGAGCGTCTGTAGTGCCAGCGTTGAAGACGCCAGTTCTAAGAGCAGGTTGGTGTTGTTGGATTTGTCTTGGTCTTCATCCCGGGCAGATTCCATGGCCTGGGATGCCCCGCTCGCGATTCGCAGGATGGGTTTTAGCACACCGGCCTCGATCAGTCCCAGGGCCTGGGATCTGTGTCGTATTGATGTGTTGTCCAAGAGTAGTGTGGGCAAGAAAAGAAAAGACATTGAGCATTCACAGAAATTTTAAAAGAGAAACCTATATCGCACCACTTTTTATTCGTGAACGAAATATCCACTCACCGATCGGCCATTCCCTTCGAAACAACCTTGACGGCCTCGTATTTTACGTCGGCTCGCTTTTGTGTTGGTGCCAAGTACACCATCAAATCGTCCAATGCAGACGTGACATCGTTGTTGCTGTCCGACATGGTTGTGTTTTGTTGTTGTTTATATCGCTGATGCAGTTTATTTTATTCTGTTGCTACGCTCGATATAGCTGTGTGTATGGTATCAGTTGGCTACAAGGTATGGTTTTTTAAGTCTTCAACAATGGGATTAGACGATAAAGATGTGATCTTAAACTGTCGAACAAAAGTAGGCAAAACTGATAGATGCTCTTGAACAGTGTTCATGCACATGTGTTTACTCCAGCAACAATCATCCACAGATGTTTACCGAACCGAGAAAGGACGACGGGGTATGTACATGTGATTGGTATTCGTTTTTGGAATTTTTGGGTGGTGACGATGAAAGCGTGATTGGAATTTCTGTTTTTAAGACAAATGAATCCGAAGGACAAAAGGTTTTTGATTGGAGACGATGGAAAACCTGTGATGAGTAGAAAAGTAGAAGTACTGTACTTCGTAGGTCCTCGTAGTAAAGGTACAGGTAGCGGTACGATTGATGTAACGAGATGATTGTACAGTGATATCGATGATTGATGGTGGCACATCATGTCTAATTTGTATTAGATCAGAATCTCGAACGTCATCATAGTGAGATTGGATTGTTGCATATTGGTTCGTTGCTGGCATTGTTATCGTCGCAAAAGGTCAATCAGATACGACATCTAACAACAGAACTAGCTTGCTTTCGAAAACCAGCATGTGCTGCTGATTAAAACCACGTCACGACTACTCACAGGTAGATTTTGAATCCGTTCAATTGTCCGATACGGAAGGACTCATTGTTGATTGCTTGGGGGGTATCATCTATTATCGGTCGCCATGAACGAAGACATTGGCGAGGCACTAGCCAGAGCCAAGTGGAACGAATCAGTTCTCGTGAACATCGACGATGGATCGGGTGGAGCATCGTCGATGCTCCTCGTTCCGAAGCTCGATCGCGAAAACGGGGGGATCCGATGGGAAGACGCAATGGCCGGAGCCGGGGCATCACCGGCCACTGCTGCTGCCATTGCGATGGAACACCACATCCTCACCAAGATATGGATGTTTCCCATGCTCAACGACGAGCGAAGAAATGCCATGTACGAAACCGCAATCCAACGGGCCTCGGAAGACGTGGTAGCAGCAGAAAGGCAACGGCAAAAACAACAACAATCAATCGACAATATCGGTGGCAACGGCAATGGAGAGAATAATCACCGCCTCGGAACCCTCGATATTGGGTCCGGGACTGGTTTACTCGCACTCCTATCTTCCAAGTATCTGAGGGAAGCATGGACGTCTTCAACTGCTGCGGCAGATGCAACCGAAACGCCAAATGCGATGGAGTTTGCGGTAACTTCGCTCGAGATGGCGGGGCCGATGGCCGACGTGGCCAAGAAAACGGTAGCCCTGGAGAAGGAATTTAGGTCACACGAAGAGGGAAAAGAGGAAGTATCAAAGGCGAGAGCGATCGCAACCGCGGAAGTGACCGTCATCGAGGGGCATTCGGGGCAGCACCCACCCATGAGGGGCAGAAACGGCGGCGGAGGAGGAGGAGATGATCCCCCACCCGTGCGTCTGTGCACCTCGGAACTTCTCGAAAGCGGGCTGCTCGGAGAGGGGTGGCTCCCGGCCATGCGGGATGCCTGGGATCGGCACCTCCTGGAGGGGGCAGTCGTCCTCCCCGCGGGGGCAAGGGTGTACGCCCGGCTGGTTTCGGGGATCTCCGGCTTTGTGGGGCCCCACTCGTGTCTCGCCGTCGGGGGGGAGGGCACGGAACCGGAAGCTCCAGCTCCCAATCCATTGCCTCTGTCACGCAACCTGCGGTTGTTTACTACCGCTGCTGGTGAAGGCGAAGGCGATGGGGAGGGCAAGCCGAGTCCCGAGGCGATGGGGATGTTGTCGGACGGAAGCTACGATCCGATCAGCGGACAAAAACACGGAGTCCAGGTAGAGATCCATGCCGATCGATACCTAGCAACCGGAAGTGGCAGGGGGAATGCTTGCGGGAGTGGTTCCATAATACGGCCTCTGTCCGATCCCATCGAGTCGCTGGACTTAGATGTCACGAGCCCGGACTCCATTCCGAGCCCCGATCCCTCGAGTCGGTCTCCCCGTCGCCTGCGTTTCGTGGCGACCGACACGGGACGGGCCGAGGGCGTTTTGTTCTGGTGGGAATTGGATCTCTACAAGGCGAGTGAGAGTAAGAGCCATCCAAATCTAACGTATACCACGCATCCGGGGAGCGATTTCCAGGATCATTGGCACCAATGTCTCTACGTCTTTCCCAAGGGTGGTCCTTCTTCTCTCGAGGTGGAAAGGGGGAAAGAGTACACCCTCCTGGCATCGCACACCGACTCACGGGTTCATTTCTCTCTTCGTGGCGATACTGTCGACCGTAGCGATGGTAGCAACGACAGCAAACGGCCCAGACCAACCATTCCCACCGAAACCGTTCCCGTCGTGACCCCCCGCCGGTGCTGGCAGCTGAACGATGCGGATCGATCGGCAAAATTTCGGGACGGGATAAGGGTGGCGCTGCAAAATCTGCGGGAAAAGCAAAGCTCCACGGGCGTGGTCCTAGACGTTTCGGACTTTTCCCTCTGCGGGATCCTGGCGTCGCTGCTGCGAGCTGGGAGCGTCACGTCTGTCGAATCCGGTTCCTCGGGGCTGCCCCTCGCGGCCGCTAGGGTGGCGCAGATCGGGAATAGCCTGCCCCTAGACGGCAGCCATCGGTTCCAGATCGTGCGGTGCCACGCCGAATCTCTGACCGAAGAGGTCTTCAAAACCGGGGGAGACGGCGACGGCGAAGACCAAAACCACCCAGACCCGGGAGAGGATAATGGGGTGGTGAATCTGGTGGTCGGCGAACCCTATTACGAGATGCTCGAGGGATGGCCGATCGAGACCGCTCTAAATTATTTCTATACGATCCGCATGCTCAAGAGAAAGAAGATTGTGCGCCACGATGCTCTGTGCGTCCCGGCCCGGGCCGTTGTACTGGCCTGTGGAATCCAGTGCGAAGACATAGGCAGGTCCTACCGCAAAGACCTGGGTGCTCCCGAAGGAAAACCCAAGCACGGAAAAGAAGCGGAGCCGCGTGCCACGGTGGTCCCCCACATCGGTGGATTCGACCACCAGCCGATAGTGGACTGCTGGAGCTACGATCGCCACGGCATACCCCTTCCCCTCTGGGAATACAACGGGGTCGTCCAAGTGACGGAAGTGGTGGAACTCGGGGTCCTCGACTACGAAACCGATTCGTTCTTGGACGGACCGTGGGCCACTGCCGCTGGAGATACCGATCGGGGAAGCAACCCCCGGGAGATGGTCCAGGCCCGGTTCTCGAAACCGAGCGGAACCTGCCACGCGATCGCCTTTTGGGTGGACTACGAGATACGGATGGACGACCGCGTCAACGACGATCGCAATGACGACGGCAGTGGCGTCGCCAGCCGCTCCCCTCCGTTCGCTACCGTCTCGACGGGGTTTGACCCGGACGGCCCGAAAGGGTCCTCCTGCGCGTGCGCCGAGCGGCAAATTGTGCGGATCCTCTCGCCACCGTTGCCCGTGGAGGAGGGGGGTTCGCTCCCCATTCCCCTCCACGACCTCGGGACCTGACCGACGGGGTATGCAAGCCACACATTGCATCGCGTCGCCACACGGCCGGGTGCCGCGACGGGGAACGGCGAGCAGGGAGCGTTCCTGGATTCTTGCTGCGAGCTACACTAGAATATTGCACAATGTACAAAAATGCAGAAACTATCTGTTTCTCTGCGCTCTACTAGTAACTAGAAGTACTCAATAGATTGAAAAGCCGAACAGACCAGTTGTTCTGTTCAGTGATTGTTCTTGTTATCAATCAAACAAGAGTGTTCTGGTAGAGTATGACATGGCGAAGTAAACAGTGCAATAAAACAATTTGGAGCCTCTACCGCAAGAATACGCCATCCTTGGAAAGGAATCTAATGCTAGTAGTAGTGTTCGTATTAGAAGTATTTCTTGGAACGTACCGTACGTACGTACATACCGATTTGGGCTCACATAGAGTACACACATAGAATATGAAGGTATGATGATCGTCTAGGGGTCCTTTGTCCTTTGCGATAACGTACAACGGAGAGACCGAGAAACCAGAAACCACCACCGAGACCGAGGCGACAAGATCTTGTTCATGAATTCATGAATCGATGCCCGCCACCGAGCGAGCAGAATTCCCATCAGTTTTTCTCGAGTACGAGTAGCAGTTACGTCCCGTACGATTGCTACTACGGTACGATACTGACTCCAACAACGAAAACCAAGCTCTTTTTTCCGACTGCGACTCGATTGACATGATCTATCGTATCATCCATCATCTTTCCTCCATCTCCAATCATCCATCACGCATCACCCATCTCTATCTCTCTCTCTTCCCTAAACTAAGGATTCCGAATAGTTTCCTGTGGCAGTCATTGAGTTGCGAAACGATATAGCGCGGAGGGCAACGGCTTGCTTTTTTGCATACCGCTACAGGAGAGTACAATAACGATACGGTACTACGGGAAGCAAATCGTTTCGGAAAGGACACCGGCACGGCGACACACCGTAGAATGATCCATCTCTAGCCGGGAATAGAATAAACAACTCAGACATCAGCACGCCAACACATAAATTGCGTGCCCCTCGTCGGTCACCGCTGCCGTTCACGAGCCGCAGGAGATACAGCGCGGATCTACGATGCAGCCCCGGTCCCTGCCCCTGCTGGCGGCGAGGGCACGGATTCCAATGCGGACGCGGAAAATTCAAACGAGTTCCTTCCATCCTCTCCCACCGGAAGCCCATTCGCCGTGGCCGGGGAGGCGGCAGCGGAACTTTTCGTGGAGAGCGGTCGCAGCGGAAGATTCCTTCCGGCCCACCGATCGCCGCCGGGGATTTTCGGCGCCGGCCACAATCCTGCGCGAGACCAACCTGGGCAACACCAGAAGCCAGCATGGAGGTCACCGAGCGCTCGGTCTCCAGGGACTGGGATCGCCGATCAACCCGGCGGTGGGCTGGAACCATCGCTCTGGCTACGAACGATGCCTATACCGGTGGGCCTCCTCGTCGGCGGCCTTGAGCGATTCCGGCTCGAGCGAATCGGAAACAGGCGCCGGCGGTGCCTCCACGCCGCTCGAATCGACGCTAGAGATCGACCAAGAAGAAGCCGACAGAAACGCCACGATTTCACCGAGAAAGAAGAAGAGGAGCAGGCGACAAAAACGAAGAGAGAGCATCGCCGGGGAAAAATTGCTGGACGTCAAGTTCCTGCATTTCCGGGACGGGGGCACCGACGCCGGTACGGAAACCACGGAGTTGCTCCGGAAGGACTTCGAGAAGCTGGCCTTTGACCACGACCTCTCCAAGTTCAAGTGGATTTCCATGCTCGAAAAGGCGCTGGTCCTCAAGCTCCGGAAAGAACAGGAACAACAGCAGCAAGAACCGAAGCCCGGAGGGGCCGGAAACCGCAGCCGGCGAAAGAAAGCATCCAACACCAAGCCCCCCGATCGGCTCCGAGACTACTGGAAGGTTGCACTCCGGGCGGCCTCCAACAAGAAAAAAGTTCCCGAACAGCTGAGGGAACACTTTCTAACCCGCATGGTGGTTCCGGCCGGGGGCTCGGAGGGAGAAAGGGTCGATCCATCCCCAGAACTGAAGCCGTCTACCGGTTCCGACGATCCAGCCGATGCCAAACTCCTGGCCAGGGGGCGGGAACTGGCAGTCGAGCACCMACTGCTCTGGAGGCGCTATTCGGCCAAAGAGCGGAAGCATAAGGTCCGGATTGCCAGGGAGATCATGGCGGAGTTGGTGGAAGGCGCAGCAGCAGGCGAAGCGACAGCAGCAACCCACGCCTCGCACGGCTTCCCGCCCCTCAATGCCTTTGCAACAAAGGAAATGGAAGCCATGGCCGCCGCCGCTGCAAAAAAGGCGAACCACTCGCTCGACATCTACCTGCAGTGGATCCGGATCCCGGAGCTGAGGAGGGTCCATGCGATCGAGAAGACGTCCGTGCAGAGGGAGGACGAGGCTCTGCAGATGCAACAGCTCCTCGCCGCCAGGCTCCCGGAAACCTCATATCGCAAGGTGATGGCCCTGGTGCGGACTTATGTGGAGTGCTTTGGCGGAGAAGGAGACTCAGAGAGCGGTGTGGAAGCCGAGCAAGAGGGAATCGACGGCAAGAACAACGGCGAGACCCTGGTCACCCTGCAAGCATCGCCGTTGACGACGTACACAAGCGAAACACCGCACGATGGGAACGGCCAGCCCACAGCAAAATCAAACAAGGAAACGCCAACCCTTGCGAAAAACCAGAAACAATTTCGGGTCCTGCTCTCGAACCTGCGAAAAATCCTCCCGCAGGGACGGATCCACTGGATCGGGAAGGACGTGGCGGATTTCTTTTACATCACGACACCGGATGCGGTCGATCTGCGGGTGGCGGGCCGCAACAAGAAAATCGACGACTCCATCACGCCGAACCACCAGACCTTTTCCGGTGAAAGCATCGCTAGCGAGAACGGAGGCCGAGGCGGCGGGGACCACAGGGGGGTCCTCGTGGCCAGAGATCCGGTTCTTGGCCACAGCCAAACCAGCTGGAACGAGGTGAGAGACCAATACGTTCAATCCTTTGTGAACGTCCAGAAGCTCTTTCTGGAGCTCGAGAGGGAGCGAGAGGAACACCGGCAGCGGAGGGCAGAAAGACTACAAGGGGACGAAACCGGCGACCTTTTGCGGGAGATCGACGAGATCCTCGACGGGGCCGACGAGAAAGAGGACACCTCCTCGGAGAAGAGCGTTGTTCGGACCTTTGACGTGGTCACCGCTCTATCGCGGCTGGACAAAAAAAAGACCACCACCGAGCGGGTCCGGCCCAGGGAATACGTTCCCCTCGAAGCCGTTCCGATGGGAGAGCACTGGAAGACGGGAGGGACCGGCAATCAACACGCTGCTACTGACATGGACGAGTTGTTGGTGGGAAACCTCTTGGAGAGTAAGGCAAAACTATATGGCGAGACAAAAGGCGAGAAAGACAACGAGCTAGCTTCTGAAACCGTGGATTTGCGGCAACCGCAGCTACTGCACGCATCTAGCAGCAGCGAGGACTCCTTTCCGCTAGCTGCACCGGTGGATCGAATGGTGGTGGTAGACAACCTTCCCATCGATATGAACGAGGGACGCCTCCGCGAGGCCTACGGCAGGTGCGGGACCATCGAGGCCGTCAGGATCTTCCACTCCCGCCCCGAACTGGATCCGGGCCGCCGGTCCACCGACTCGACCAAGAAAATCCGGAGCCCATCCAGCAGCTCACGGCGCCAGAAATGGTCCCGGCCGCGGACCCCGCTCTACGCCATGATCGTCTACGAGGACGCAGCGAGCGCCGGGAAAGCCGCCTGCGACCCGCTGCGGATCTTTGGCATGGTCCTGGACCACCACCTGATGCGGTCCCACAGGGCCTCGGACATGAACGTCCTGTACCTAGAGGACGTGCCGACGTCGCTTCACACCGTGTCCTCGATGGAAATCGAGCTGAGCGAGTTGCTACGGCCCGCGGACCTATACCTGTGCCTGGACGACAGCGGGCACAACCGCCTGCGAAAGCTAGGTACCGGGAAAAAGAAAAAGACCTACCCGCTTAGCTACGCCATCAAATTCCCCAGCTTCGAGGCCGCCTACTGGTCCTACCTGAAACTGTCGATGGAGCTGGAGCTTCTGAGAAACGACGAAGACGGGTCAACCCCGTCGGCTTTTGCTACCAGCCCCTCCTTGCACTGGATGGAAACGCCCAACGACGCCATGCTCTACTGGACGAGGAAGCTGAATTTCTAGAGCGGGCATCGAAAGAGACCAGCGCAAATACCGTACCGCATCTGAATATTTGTAACGTGTCTTTGAAGTCAGGAGAACTTCCAAGAGCACTTCATGATTATTCTTTTTGTCTTGATATAATTGGGATTTGTCATGATAAATCCTTCTTGTCGTGATAAAAGTTTTATTGTTGAGTCACAAGTAAAACTTCCAGAAAAAGGTGTTCGTATGTAGGGTATTAGGAATGCGTTGGCACCTTCAGGTCAGGCTATTTGCAACAATAATCTGGGGCAAGCCTTTTTGTAACCTTAAGTAAACGATGCTTTATACCGTTAAATGAATTGCACAATGGACAGACAATCGGAAATTACTGCAATGTTATTTAAATTTCCATGACACCGGAGCTCAGTAGCTCAGAGGTAGAGTTTTGGGCTCATAACCTGCAAATGTATGTATGCTCTTCATTGCCGTACCGTATAACTACGTGTATAATAAAGAGTGAGGTTATGGGTCACTCACTCACTAGCTACTCGTGATTTATGTGCCTCACACAGGCAGTGTTGCAAAGATAAAGAAGTACGAATGATAGATAATATTGCTTCGGAGTGTAACTTCCTTCGCATCGAAAGGAACTTCCCGTCCGGAAGAAACCATCAACTAACAACCACGTCCGGTAGGACCGGATTCAAAAGCTATCAGAAATTGGAATGCCGATCGCTGTTTCTTAAAAAAATATCATTTTGCCGCCAGCTGCAATCGAGACACGGACTGCAGAGTATCAATTGAGGCTAAGCGAAAGAAAGCATAGATCTAACGCAACGTTCCAAACGCTCGAAAAATACTTGCCAAACTGAACGCAACGCAACCTACCACAACGTACCACAATGTACAACAGCGGACGCATCGACGCCAGTGACCACGGCAGATTGAACGATTCGATGAGCTCGATAGGGACCACATCTTCGATTCGACGCCGAGCCAGCACGAACTCGATTCCGGGCGGGGCCATGGACCTCTACTATGGGCATTTTTCCCTCGCGGATTTTCAGGACGGAAAGCGGTTTTCTGCAGATGATCACACGACGATTCTGCGGGACACGCAAACCGCCATGCAAAACATTTCGAGCAGGCTGCTCCTCGGAGGAACGAGCTCGCGCCCCACGGCGGCAGTACAAGACAGCAAAAAGAATGTTAACAAGAGCAATAACGAGTCCGCTGCCATGGACCGAGTGCGGCTTGGGGTCGGCCTCTACCGGAATTTTCCACTCGCACGCCAGGCCCTACAAAATTCTCAAAACCGGCAGGCTGCCTTGAAGAAGGGTGGCCACAAGCAAATGAACCACGTGAGGGGGACCGACGGATGGTGGAGGACCCTGCTGACAATCGAGGATCGTGCGCTTGACAATATCCTAGGGCCATGGCTTGTTGTGTGCTGTAACGCCATCTTGGCCTGCTTGTTGGTCGAAGTATGGGACATCCAGTTGCCCGTAGAGGCGCTGGAGCAATGGGACACGATTTACGCACTGGTCCTTAAAACCAGCCTCGCCTTTTTGCTGGTCTTTCGGTTGAACCGGTGTGCGATGCGCTTTTGGGAGGCCCGGGGATATTGGGGCAACATGAACCATCAGACCCGAAACCTAGTAGGAACCCTCCTGATGTACGGTACCCACTCCCCGAACAACAGGGACGCTGCCATTCAGTGGGGGTCCGCGCTGTGCATTTCCGCCAAAAACTTCATCCGGAGCGAACGCCACTACGAACCAAACGAGCTGGCCGGCTTCTTGACTCGGCACCAGACCAAGCGGCTGAGCGAGGCAAACCACGGGCCGCTCTATGCAGCATCCATGTGCCGGCACTACATCGAGAAGATATTTCGGGTGGATGCCGATACGCCTCCTGGGCTGGCCCATGCATACACCGTCCGAATGCAGGAGTGCGAATCGTACGTCGCCGGGATGATCGAATCGGTCTCGGGGATGGAAAAGATCCGGTCGACGCCGCTGCCGATTGCCTACGTAGCCCACCTCCGGATCTTCCTGATTGCCTACACCTTCATCTTGCCGTACGTCTGGGTCAATGAGTGGTCCTGGGCGACCATCCCGCTGACGGCCGTGACGGCCTTTGCCCTGCTGGGGATCGAGGGGGCCTCGTCCGAGGTAGAGATCCCCTTTTCCAAGAATCGGACCAACCACCTCGCGCTGGATGCCTATTGCTTGGTTATCCTCGAGTCAGTGACGTGCCTAGTGGTCCAGGATGCCAACCTGCACGTGCAGGGTCGAAAAGGTAAGGGGAGCGTCGACAAATTCAAGATGTTCCGGGCAACGGAGGAAATCGATGAGGCGAGCTACGAGTCATCATCTAGCGAAGAAGAAGACGACGACGACGACAATGAGATAAAGGTGTAACATAAAGAGAGACGTACCTACAACAATGCTTCAAACGATACCCAAAAGAATTTGATCATGCATTCGTGGAAAGAAATCGATGCCCCTTACATTTGCTATGTATACAGAATGTTGCATCCAATTGGTGAGCCAAAATAGGAAGAACCTCATCTAATTAGCGCAAAGAAACGCATCAGCAGCCCAGCCCAAGCAAGAACACTAGCCCTTGTCCGCTTGCTCCGTTCGTTCGTAATAAAAATTGCCGGCAATGCCCATTAGATTAATCTGGATGGCATTCTTTTATTTATAATGTTCAAGTTCATGGTACAGAAAGTTCAGAAAAATATTGTTTAATTATTAGTACTAATTTTAGGTTACAACAAACATGGCGTACAACTTTTTCACAAAATGAATTGAATACACTTGTTTTCTATCGTGGCTGGTGGAACGTGAAATAGTCATAGCCCGGCGTCTCGCAACCCTTCACAATACCACAGCAACACAATACAGAAAAGTACAATACATGTAGGCGCTGGTATGAATGCAATGCATCTAACTCGTGCCATTTCCTGCCGTCATCTCCGCGCTGCTTTCTATTTTTTGCGGGGCTCTAATCCGAGCTGGCTCTCGAGTCTGCGTTCTCTTACTCTGATGTATTCGATTTCTTTCTGTAACCGCTTGTTCTGTTGGATCAGTTGCCGCAATTTGTTCTTGAGATCCTCCGTTTTACTAACAGAACTATCGGCCTCCAGCTGTTTGTTTCGCTTCTCGAGTTGTAGAAGCTGCGAGCGGAGTTCTTCGACTACCTTGCGGGCATCATTTCGAGCCAAAGCAAAGTCGCTCTCAAACTCGTCTAACTCCTTCTCTTGGTCCTCGAGGCGTTTCTCCATCTCATCGTTACGGGATTTTATGGACAAAACTTCCTTTTTGAGACGAGCTTCACGCGCGGAAGCAGCCTCAATCTGCTTCGATAGTTGCTGTTGCATGGTCTTAGCTTCTGTTACAGAACGCTGAGAGGCTGCCAGCAATTCTTTTAGAGCAGTGTTTTCTCGTTCGACGTCGTCTTCCTTTGGTTCCGATGCATCAGCATTTGCTTCAGCATTTGCTTCACCCGACACAACACGGGCTACCTTGATTTTCGTCTTCAGCTCGTCAACATTTTTTTGCAGGGAAGCGGCAGTGGCCTTTAACGAATCCCGTTCCTTGGTGCATTTTAGGAGCTCACGGTCCAACTTGGCCTTCTCCCTCGCGCAACGATTGTTTTCGGTGCGCAATGCAACATTTTCTTCCGCAATCTCTGCTGCAGCTTCAGTGCAATCCTCTGATGGGCTACTGCCGTTCGTGGCCTTAAGAAGCTCCACTTCTTGCTTTAGCTTCTTGTTTCTAGCGATGACTTCGTCATTAGACTTGTTGAGCCTGGCGATCAGCTCGTCGTACACCCCTGCACCATAATGTTCATCTATGACTTGTGTCTCAAAGGATTTAATTTTCTTCTTACAAGCGAGTAATTCTTTTTGACATGATGACAGCATCTGGTCCAACACTCCCTCCCGGACATGGGCCTCGTTCAATTCGTCAGTAATGAGTTCAAGTGCCTTCTTGTTCTCTTCCAAGCTATGGCCAGAAACCTCCTGTGAGGCAGCAGCCTCGAGTTTTTCCTTGTCGTTTTTCAGTGCTTCCAACTCTTCTCGAAGTGATTCAAGCTGGCTATCACTTGTAGAAGATTCTAATTCAGCAATCTTCTTCGTAAAGAATCGAATTTGGCCACGGCATGTTTTAAGTTCTACTTCGAGAGATTCGAGTTTTGTACTAGCATCTTCGCTTCTTGCCACAGCAGAATCTCGATCGCTACTCGTTGTCTTCAACCTTACTCCCATAGATTCTAATTCGTCACGGCATGCCTCAAGTTCTTTCTCACAAGTGACGAATTTCGCTCTCGTATCGTCGAGTTCTACAATTGCATCTTCGCGTTCTTGTTTTGTTGAATCCAAAGTGACCTCCAAGAGCTGAAGTTCCTGCTCGAGCTCGCTAATTTTGTTGTTGAAGATTGATCTATCCGTGGGACATGCTTGTATAGGACATGAGGTGACATCGTTCTCTGCTTCTAGTGCATTGATGCGCTGGTTTAGATCTTCCTTTTCCGCAATCCATTTGGCCTCCTTATCTTCAAACTCCTTCATATGTTCCATCTTCTCGGCTTGACCCTTTTCGACCTGCTCTGCCAATGATTCGAAGCGTTCTTGAAAGTCGCCCATTGTCGTTATCAATTTGGCAATTTCCTCATTCGAAGTAGCAAGAGATGCCTTTTGGATCTGATCCCTTCGAGCTAATGCAGCTGCTCTTTTCAGTAAAGATTCCTTCTCCTCTTTCAGAGTCGCAATCTCCTTTTCCAACAGATCGATCTTTCGTGCATTTTCGTTGTTGATACTTGCATGGGTTTCGGACTCTTTCAGCGTTTGAGCGTTTGTCGACTGACATTTCTCGATGGAAGACTCCAGATTCTTGTTCTTTCCCATCAACAGTTCATTTCTTTCGATTACATCTGCGAGTTCTCTCTTGGTACTTCCTAATAGCATCTCAACTTCCCATAATCGCACGTCGTTAGATGCTTTATCCTCTACCGATTCCTTCTTTACAGAAGACAATGGTCCAAGATCCTTCTCACGCTTCAAAGCTTCTATATTTGAGCGAAGTTCGGCATTCTCTTCACCCAACAACTTAGCCAGTGCTTCTGCTTGGCCAATATTTTCCTCCTTTCTCTTCAGAGATGACGCAAGAGATTCCTTCTCTTCCTTCAACACAACAATCATTTTAGAAAGCGATCCGGATTTTTCTTGGTCGAGAGTTCGCAGTTCCAAACGTTGAGATTCGCTTCGTTCTTTTGCAACTTCTACTTTTCGCAGCTCAGCGATCAACTCTTCTATCTCTCCGTTTTTCTCGTCGAGCTTTTCGATATGGTGAGATTCGGAGCATTCGAGCTCTTGAACTTCGTCGGTCAAATCCTCAACTTCCTTTTTTTTTCGATCGAGTTCACTTACTAAAGATTTGTTCTTTGCCTTCAGGAAGACGATCATCGTCGAGAGTACTTCTAACCTCTTATCTTTCTCGGTGCCTTCCGATTCTGTTTTTGGAATTTCCATTTTCCCTTGGAATATATCAATTTGTTGAAGCTTGTCATTCAGTGCATCGATCTCCTCGATTCTTTGATTGAGCTCGCTCGTTAGTGTTTTCGCTTTATCAGTAGCTTCTTCCTTCTCAGCTGAGATCTTCTCAATGGTAGCCAAGAGTTCCTTTTGTGAAGATTCCACGCTTTTGAGCTTGGCGCTAAGCTCTTCGATCTTCTTGCTTCTTAGATCAAATTCGTTTGATATGGTTCCAGACCTCTTGTCTTCGTCCTGTTCAAAGGCGACACTTGCCAAAACTTGTTTTTCGGATTTAGCTGCCGCAAGCTTTGAGGTTAGTTCTCTAATTTCTTCCTCCTTCACTGAAATATTCGCGTTGAACTCGGCTTCTTTCACTAGGGAAGATGCGTGTTCCGCATTCACTGACTGGATTTGGAGAGCCAAGTCGGCCTTCGTTGCTGCCAGCAACGATTCGAATTCCAACCGCTTCGCGTTGACAGTGAGCAGCTCGGCTTTTGCTTCATTAAGAGAGGTTTGCAAATCGTCCTTGCCCTTCTCGAGATCTTTGACCTGCACTGTGAGTCCATCAACTTGCTCCTCGAGAGATTCCACTCGTCGTTCTTCTTCGGTCAATTCCTGCTGGGTTGTAGCCAGCAGTTTTTCGAGCTCGCTGAATTGGCGTGAGCTTTCTGTGGCTTGGTCTACCAGGACGGCGTTGCGTCTCGTAATGCCACGTTCGGCTATCAATAGCTTTTCCACGTTGCGGAGTCTCGCTTTTTCGGTCGACCTAGCATGGTCCATTTTTTCCATTCTTTTGGTAGCGACGGCGATGAACAATTTCAGCCGCTCCGATTCTTGTTGCAGAGACAAAATTTCTGAATCCAGTCTCGAGTTGTTCTTTTTCTCAGAGTGTAATCGCGTCTGCAAATCCTCCTTGGTGGCATCAAATTGCGACTGCACTTCTCTCTTTTCTTGCATAACCTTCTCGACGAGTTCTTTCTCGAGGAACAGTTCCTTCTTGCTAGCGGCAAGCGAGGCAGAAAGCTGCATGCTCTTCGAGTTTGCAGCTTCGTCGCTGTTGGTTTGCTGTACAATGGACGCCTTAAGCACCTCGAGTTCGGTTTGCAAGGAACCGTTGGTCACCTCGAGCTTCTGTGCCTTTTCGCGTTCCGAGTGAAGCTCTTCGTTGGTTTTCGCCAGCGTGTTTTCGGTTCTGCTAGCCTCCTCGCTAATCGTTGCCAGGTGCCCCTTGAGCTGCTGGATTCCTTCTCGCAGAGAGGCGTTTACCTCCTTCAGCTGCTGCGACTTTTCGTGCTTGGACAAAAGTCGTTTTTCACTCTTTTCGACCTTCATCGTTTTCTTGTCCAGATCGATCTTGAGCTGCTTAGTCTGTTCTTGAAGGGACAAGATTGCGGCATTGAGTCTTGAGTTTTCGCTCAGAAGCCGCTCGGAATTTGACAACGCTTCCTTGGCGTTGCCGTCCTCTTCCTGTGGACTTTGGTTTGTCTCAAGAGCGCCACTGGTGCTGCGCAACAACTCCTTGTACCTGGTCTCGAGATCCTTGTATTTTGCTCGTTCCTGTTTCAGCTCCTCTCGGCTTGAGGCCAGCATCTGCTCCATCTCGTTAAGAAGGTGGGTGGATTCCTCGGCCGCTGCGTCCATGGCGTCCCGAAGAAGCTCCAGCTCGGAGCGGAGCTCGTCACTCTTTTCCTTGGTGATCCTGGATTCGAGTTCCTTGTAGCAGCGGTTGAGCTCCTCTTTGAGGCCCTCGTCCTTGGAGGATCTTGCTTGGTCGGTGGGAGAAGGGGAAGACGTCACCTCGATCAGCTCCGACCGCAGCTCCGAGGCTTCTTCCTCCAGTTTCTCGACGGCCGATTCGAGCTCGGCCTTGACAACGCCATGGCGTTCCTCCGCCTTGCGGTAATCCAGGATCTGGACCTCTAGTTTTTCGACCAGTTCCTTCAGAGTTTCTTCTTGTTCCGCGCTGATGGTGGGCTGCAGGGTGGTGGCGTTAGCCAACTCCTCGTCGCACGAGCCTCTCGCTTCGGCAGCTGACGCCTTCGGCGATGGTTTCTCGTTGAGCTCCGATTCGAGTTCCTCGACCCGCTCGTTGAGGGCAGAGTTCTTATCCTGAACTTCCTCCAGGACCACCGATAGCGACGAGAGGGACGACTTCATCTCGAGGTACCTCGAATAGAGCTGGGTGCCCTTCGCATCACCGGCCGGTGGTTCTGTGAGGCCGTACTTGGTCGTTAGGCCATCGCACTTTTTCTGGAGGTTTGCGTTCGCCGATTCGAGTTCTTCGTTGTGGGCCTGGAGGGCCTCGATTTGCCGCTGCGAGACGACGAGGGCCGTGGCGAGGTCCCCTCCCGGTACCGCGGCGTTGCTGCTGCTCGAAAAAAAGGACTTGCGGGGCTGCTCCGACCGGCCGCCGCTGTGGGCAGGACCGCCATTGGAGGACGATTCCTCTCCGCCGGAGGATGTTGCTGCTCTCTCCTTTTGGCGCTGCGCAATCTCAAAGCCCTCGAGGCGGACCTTGCAGGCATCAAGCTCGGTCCGCAGGCTCGCTTCCCGGTCCCTGGACTCCCCAAGTTCCCTGGTGCGGGTCGAGAGAAGGTTCGTCTGCGCCCGGTGCTCCTCCTCGACCGTGGCGAGTACCTTCTTGAGGCGCTCCTTCACGCGCTCGGACGATTTCAGGTTGTTCTGGAGGCCCTGGTTCTGCATGCGGAGCTCCGTGAGCTCGCGGTGGAGATCGCTGTTGGTGTCGGCGTTCGAGGCCGCCGCCGAGAGGTTTCCCAGGGAGGCCACGTGGGGGATGACGGGCGGCGCCTGGACCTGAACGCTGGCAGCGGCATTGAGATTCCTCGTGGCGGCTTCCAGAAAGGCATTTCCACCAAAGCCGCTGTTTCCAGCTGCCTCCGAAGGGGTGGGCGCTGCGCTGGCCGCAAAGGGATCGCTGTAGGGATTCTGGTACATGTCCTGGACGTCCTTGTCGTGCTGGATTCTCAGCTTCGACTGTAGCTCGTCGTTTCTCGATTCCAGAAGGGACACCTGGTCCGTGAGTTGGAGGACCCGATCCTCGAGGAGCTTTTGCTGCTCTGCGCTTAACAACTTAGACGACGAGGAGGACGAATGGTCCGAGGATTCGACGTTGATGTGTTGGTTGTGGTTGCTGGCATCGTGGTCGCAGTGCGAGTCCGCGCTGCGGAAGCGCTCGAGGTCGGAATACATCTCGCGGCTCGAGTGCGAGGATGCACCATCGGTTTCCTCGTCGTCGCCCTGCTGCACCTCGATGGCCGTCTGCGACTCGGAAGCGGCGAGGACCTGGAACAGTTGGTCGCCCCCCGCCTGTCCGCCCTGGGCATCGCCTTCGTCTTCGTTTCTCGGGGTCTGTATCGTGCTCTTTTGCAGCAAATCAAAGGTCTGCATCATTCGGTCCTGGTGGGGCTCGTCGATGCTGCTGGCCTGGAGCAGATCGAACTTGGCCATCATTTGATTCAGGGCCTTGGGGGTCTGGTCCGCAGAACTTTTTTCAGCGGTAGCTGCTGCTCCACCAGCAGCCGCACCGGCGAGTTCCTTTTCGTCCTCCGTCGTATAGGACTCAATGGAGAGGCTTCCGATGGTGTGGCAGTCGTCGATGCTGAAATTGTTGCTGCTTCCGGCCGAGGGGACGGGGCAGAGGTCGGTAGCGACATCCTTGTTGCTTGTGCTTTCGCCCTCTGCTTTGTCCCGAGACGGACCGGCGGTGCTGCTCGCACTCGTATCAATCGTCAGGTTTTGATTCGTCTGGACGCTCGGGAGAGGCTGTGCCTGTGGGGCAACCGCGAGCTTGGTGGGACTCGCAGGGAGCAGGGCATTCTCGTCGTTGCTCGAGCTCGTGTCCGTGTGCGTTGCCATGGTGCGGGAAGTCTACAGGAATGGAATACAGTGACGGAACAGAACAGAACAGAACCGAACCGAACGAACCGTTCCAAAGCTTGCTTGCCGTCTTGTCGCTCCCTAAACGTACGGTACGTAGCTACCTAGTGGGCCAACACCAGAAAGCGCGTTGCCAATTATGTTACTGCAGGCAATGCTTCCTGGTTGCGTCTTCGGTAAATCTTTCGTTCTCTTTGTGGTTGTTTGCGTAATAATACTAGATTTTCAGTCAGCCATTTGCTTCCCTCCTTGGTTGTGGCTTTGGCTAATTTTGTTTCTGAGTAGGATGTGTGAAGCGTTGTTCTTTGAGACTGAATCCGCTTTCGGTAATGTAAGTACGCTTTGTACTATCCTTCACGGTGTATCTAAATTCTGTCGTCGCTCATTACGAAGGATTGCCTCTCCTTCACGATACCTCGGGCAGAGGATAGGGGACTGTCACTGAGATGCGATACCAGAAACGGTGATGGAGGCTATTTTGGATGATACAACCGCAGATCGGTTTGATTCACAGCATCCTTGATTCATGCAACCTGCCTGCGTGCCAGCCTGCATGTGGTAGGTAGGGAAGGTTCGGGAACGGTGGGGATCGCCGACGCCGTGTTTCTGCGATCGGCCCGGTTGTCTCTCTCGTTGTGCCGGCCACCTCACGCTCGCCAAATGGTGGCGAGGGACTGGTGCGGGGGTTCATTTTTTTGTCACGGCGCTGTTTGGCCTATTGGGTCGAATGAGTCGAGTCCAGACCCTGGGGCCGAGATTAGAGAACCGCGTTTCTCATTGGTACGAGTACTTTTGCATACGCTCATACCGTAGGAATCAATAAGAATCGAAATGTGCCGGTACCTGGTACGGTAGTTTTTCTTGTAGTCTCGCAAATAATTCTTCAACAGAGAAAAAATATTTTAAATACTTTCTACTTCCTTCTAATTATATTCTTTGAACCCAAAAACCAATGACCTTATTTAAATGCCCTTTTATATTTTCATTAAGTAAAAACATTATATAATGATCAATGGGTTTTTCCTCTGACGTTTCAAGCGTCGGTTGTCCCGAAGAGATATGGTCATTCTCTTTGACAGCATTGATATTTTATACAGTATTTATACAGTATATAATTTCATCCGTTCACTTCTCTGCTCATTTGATTAACGGTAGTGTAGGCTATTAAGAAATATTTGCGATTTGTGGGACACGACATTTCTCGCACAACGGCCCAATATCACACAGTCAGAGCGAAAAATATCAGGGCGTTCGATTGGGAAGCCTAAAATAATAGTAATATTAATACAACATAAAATTTATCGCTTGTACGAGTATCGATTACGAACTACTATTCTTTTTTTATATGTCCTGCTTTCCTCAAACGGTTTGTTCAGAGGGAACTTTCATTTAGAACAACTGTTGCCTTTATCGACGTCCTGAAACAACAAAAACAGTATACCCCTGAGATCACGAACGTACCTCTCCTGAACATACATCAGCTTCCATTGTTTTTTGTGCTCCTAATTTCTGGATTGGCATAGGAAATCACCATGATGAGCCCAGCTCTCAACCTTAATGACTTTCGGAATCTATCTCTTACTATTTGTCAAGGCTCAGGAACCATTAGCCGGCTGTATAAGTCTTCTCCTCTCCATCAAAACAAGACACAGGTTACAGATTGTCCCACCTCGCCACCCGACGAAAGCAGAGCACTTGCAACTGCAAAAGCCCCCACTGTCTTGTACGAAGAATGCGAAGGACACCAGCGGCAACAAAGAAGTAGCGCGATGAAAGTGTTGACTGGGAATAACAGCAACAAAAGAAAACGGAGATTTAGAAGCGTTCGGTTTGCAACATCGTCCGCTTTTGATCGAAAAGAAGTAGAGCACCAAAAGAAGAGAAAAGAAAGAGTGAATAGGAAGGAGTTCGATTCGTCGGATTCGATTCTTTGGTGGACACCTGAGGAACTCAGAGACATTCAACAATCGTGTAAGTCGACGGTAGATCGTCTTGAGTCGGGTTTGCGATTAGAATCCGTTTCATTGCCCTCGTCGCCGAATCAGGACAATGACTTGAGTTCGCTCGAGCACTATTTGTCTCGAAATCGAAAGAGGCGCAAAGTTGTCCGATACCAGATGAATGAGACCATACGAGCGATTGCAGAATTCGAAAGTGCAACGAAAATGAAAACTCCACCCGAAATGTTTTCCCAACTTTTACAGGTATACAGCAAACCACCGGTAGCAGCGGCAATCAAAAGAGCATTGCGATCTGCTTCGCCTTGTGCATCATTGCACAACTCGAGCTGAACCACAAAATATTAGTTCCTTCCCTACGACGTGGTGTCTCCGGGATAAGGATCGCAATAGATTTGTTTTCACCCTAACATTGGCGCGATTCATAGATTGTCTTTTTCATTCATTGCTAGTTGAAGAGCATCGTGTTTCCGTAGGGTCAGTGAGTGATTGTCTAATGCCACTTGTGGCAAACTACATGAAATCGACGACTTGGATAGCTAGTAGTGGCAATCTATCATTACGCAATCAGAAAAGAATGACTGGTATTCTCAAGTAAACAACACAGATAATAATTTTCTGCAATGCTCTAGCTAGTATACACCAGTCAACACGTGTTGTGACTTCAGGAGCTACATTATTTTGAGAAAGGACAAGGATCATAATAGTATTAGTATTAGATGACACCATTACTGCTACTAGTAGTATCATCACTAGTAGTACTGCTTTGCATCTTCATTTGATACTCATCATGAACTAACAGTAGAAAAGTAGCTAGTACTACAAGAAATATTATAGTTGCAGTAGTAGTAGAAGTAGTAGTAGTAGTAGTAGTAGTAGTAGTTGTAGTAGCAGCAGCAGCAGCAGCAGCAGCAGCAGGAAAACCAAGAACACTGCTACCACATTGTTGTACAAAATAGTAGTAGTAGTAATACTTCTCCAGTGTGACCAGTAGTAGTACTAATAGTACTGACAATGCTAGTAAAATCTCATGTCTTCTTGAACAATATGGTGAACAATATGGTGAACAATATGGCATTGTTCTTGTAATCCAAATGGTTTGGTAGCACTAGCTACTAGTAGTACTAATGCAGAGGAAGATGATATAGAAGGTATACCCAGAAGATTTTTAAAAAAATATTGTTGTGTTTAACCTTGTGAACTACTACTGAAAGACGCGCTATGTGGGCCAGAACCATAACTTCTGGGGAGAAGAATGCTCCTTGCTGCTCCAAATAGGGGCCATGCCTCCCTCCAAAGAGTGGGTGTGGAGGCATGAGGACCAGGATAAATACAAAGAATTGAGTCAGTGTGGTTTGGAGGGTCTGCTTGGATAAGGCAGCAGCAGGAGGAAAAAGAAGTATTTGATGCTGTGAGTTATTTGTGACATTTCTTTTTTGGAGTGTACATCAAAGACCAGCAGCTCTTCTTCTTGTACAACCCTTTACAGTGGTTGTTTACTATGAGGTGAGTTTAACAAAGGCAGAGTTGGTAGACACTGTATGGATGCTTGCTTGAATAGTTTTCTCATGTAATATGTGAGGAAAGAATTTCATGCTTCAGACAGAAATTTTTGAGAATCTTTTGGGACTAAATAAGCATGAGAAGGATGACACATCTGGTGTGGTTCTTTTAGGGCCAAGAGATTGTGGACATTTGTCATCATTGTAATTCCAGTGCTTGTTTCTGAGTGAGAGTGTGTGCATTAAGATCTCTGTTCCCAGAACAACAAGAAGATATAAGAAGTAAGAATTCCACAAGCTTACCCCCCAGCACAGTTGGGGAGGAGTAAGAGCTGGAGTGGTGCTAAAGATCACAGTCAGTGATCCACTGAAGTGAAAGATGACCAGCAAATAAATGGTGCCATCCAATCTCACTCTGGAAATGAATAGCTGGTTACAAAAGATACACCCAGAAGATACTAGTATGAAGAAGTTATTACTACTAGATTACTACTAGTTTGTAGCATAACACATTCAAACAGTATTAAACAACGAGATCAACATGATAAAAAAGAATCATTCAAATCACCCTAACATTGAGCTTATTTCAATAGTAAGCATGCTACAATGATACATGAAGTGGACTGGAGGAAGAATTACTTAAGAGCACACACCAGCATACTGCAGATCAAGCCAGTTGCATGATACTTATGTGGGTTTCATCCTATTTCTAGTAGTACTACTCCCACTATTTTTCAATTCATGAAACTGCTATTGCTTCAAGTTTCACTAGTAAGTAGCACTACTGCTAATTATTTTTAATTGTAATTGCTGATATACTTTCAAAACCGTTAGAATTAAAAAGAAATATTCTTGTTGATACCAATCCAAATTGACTGTGCTGCATCATGGACTACTACTAGTATGTTTGGCTTTGTGTTATTTTGTTTCTAATCTTCAAGACTCTGCTACTTCTTCTCTCAATGATTCCTTCATAAAACTACTTTCAGGAACTCAAACAGCAGAAGGTACAAAAAATTTATTCTTCAAACATAATGCACAATGTTTCACAGGATATCATACTTCAGACTACTAGTAGAGAGGAAGTGAACTTAGTTTTATTAAAGCAGAATGAGCACCAGCATCGTATTGTTGCTGGTAGTGCAAAGTCAGCAAGAACGCTTACAGTCCAAGTATCAGTGGATCATTATGAATCAATGTCGATCCGAATGAATGTCTTTCTGCTCGTTAAGAATGTTTGAGAAAGGCTTAACAACAATAAACGGGACTAGTGGCGACCTCAATGATCTTCTAACAGACTTTTTTCATATTTTGTGCAAAATATCTTCTAGGTTTTGTTTATGTGTGTATCTGGGGTATTCGCTTCGAATTTTGCTTCTAGCTGCCCTACGTGGTCGTGGTTCTATTTGTAGTGGCAGAATTTGATGGCGGTCTGCCTATATATCTGGCGCCGCACATCTCTAAAGTTGTTTGTCTATTTCTTGGAGTCGAGTGTATCCTTTACGGCCTTCGACGCACGGTTTTGCAAGGCTTTCATCTCTTCCGATTCGAGCCCGGCCTTGATTGCATCAATAGCACTGGTTGATACGTTCTTTACTTCATCGGATTCGAGAAGCGCTTTGAGTGCACCGAAGGAACGTTTTGGCAAAGTCTTGAAATCTTGACTTTCAACAGAGTTCATGACATTCTGTTTCAATTTTTCCACCATGATCGCAGGGGAATCCTTCGCCTCGGATTTGATCTCTCCTGCTTTATCTTTAATGGCTAGCAAAATCTTTGCCGATACATTTGAGAGGTCTTTTTCGTTTTCGAGTTCCTGCTTGGCGAAAACAATTGCAGAGTTGGCTCGGTCCATGACTTCCCTGGTAGCCTGACCCATGACTTGTTTTGCCTTATCTCCCTTCTCACCTTGAAGCATCTGAGATCCAGCGTAGCCAAGAGCAGCTCCAACTACCAAGGGGGATCCAACAACCGTCCCCAACACGGAACCAGCAACGGCAGTTTTGATGATTTCATCCTTCGCCTCTTCCGACAACGAGTCTCCTCCCTTCTCTTCAATCGTGGAGTGAATCATTCGAGTCAAAGAATTCCACGAGTCTTCTTCGTTGGTACTATCAACGGTTGCAGCTTTGAGTCCGTCTTCGATATGAAAGGATGGAGACGACTTCGGCGTGTTCAATGGATTAAATGAGCTCACCGAAGAGGGGAAAACGGCCAACATGACCAAGAAGTTGCGGAAGGAAATGCGAGTGATCATTTTGAAGGTAGATTTATTTGAGAGAGGTCGAATTGATTATATATGAATGTTGAATCTATAGAATTTGTGATGGTGAGAACCATTGATCCTTTTGATCCAATTTTACGGTGAATGGCACGTATCAATGTCTTTGCTTCAGCTATCGACAACAAAAAAGAAAAAGTATCTTCCGCGTAAAAATTCAAATCTCTACCCATCGCTCATTGTTGCATGAAGTCGCGTTTATTGGCTGATTTCAATCGTGACAGAAAACGGTCGATGCTGTTATCGAGCGATCCCGACAAACGAACATGATGCACAGGAACGGACTAAAAAATAGTCGCACATTGGCTTAATTTTGTTTATTTCGAACACTAACCTTAATAAGCAATCTAAGTCGTACCTGTATTCTATTTCAACGACATGGTATGTGGTAAAACCTCTAAAGATTGGGCTACGGTAATTACTTTCAATTTCAGGCTTCCATCAACAATTATGTTACCTCGTTGTACTGTACGGAAACCATTCCTATCAGGTTTTGACTGATTCACGAACTAAGCTTTCCTAACACTAGGGCATGCTGGAGATCGGAAATACTATGTACTTTTCTAGTAAAAATTTAAGAAAGTCAATGTTGGGATTCTAAACGAATGCTTGAATTTAGATACTAGGAGCTGCTAATTCTCTTGCGAAAAAAGAAAGCGCTTGTGGTAGTTTGAAACACTTTCAATGAAATTTTCATTGTTCTCGATGTTGCTGTGTTCTCGTTTGTAGCGACCGATCATAACCTGATTAGATTTCCTTGAGTGATCTGGTCGCGCGGTCTTTGACGGCCTTCAGCTCGTCCGATTCCAAACCGTCCTTGATCGATTTTACGACACTCTCCTTGGCCCGCTTCACTTCGTCGGAGCCCAAAAAGGCCTGGACAGCCTTGAAAGTTCGGTTGGGCATTTTCTTGAAATCCTCGCTTGCGATAATCTTCTTTCCTTCCTCGACTAAGTGCGTGGGGGCGTTGGTGATGTCTCTCGTAACTTGGTGGGCCTGTGTCTGAGCAACTTTTCCGACTTCCATGGCCTTGTTTTGGGCCTCGTGCTGTAGGTGCTGCATGATGCGGGCGGATGCCTTGGAGATGTCTCCCTCTTCCTGATCGAGCTGTGTTTGCGTAAATGTGACGGCGCTTAGGAAGGCATCCTTGCTTACGCGGGCGAGGTCTTCTCCACGCTTTCCGCTGAGGACGTGCGTCGAGGCATATCCGAGAGCGGCACCCATCAGCAACGGCGAGTTGATGGCGGCCGTTCCGAGAACAGCGGATCCTGCCAAGACGGTTCCGACAATTTCTCCCTTCGCAGCGGCTGACAACGGTGCGCCGATCTTTGATTCAGCCTTTTCAATTTGGGATGATATGTTTTCGGAAATACTCTCCCAGTTGGGTCCGTTTTGATCGTCTTGATTCGCGACGGGCTCGGCCTCGCCAAAAGAGATCGAAGATGGAGCTCCCGCAGCTGCCGATGTCGATTCGAGAGCAGCCTTTAGGGCTGCCTCGTATTGATCGATGGCCTGTTCCTGTTCCTCAACTTGCTCGGCGAAGGTAGCCGAAGCAGTAGAGGATTCTGCCTCGGGTGCATCTGGGGCCGCAGTGGAAGAAGCTTGTTCGAAAGCAGCCTTGAGTGCAGCCTCGTATTGCGACATGGCAATATCGGCATTGTTGTCCAGGGCATTGCTCTGTGTTACCGGAGTTACTTTTGGGACTCCCGGGGTGTAGGCGTTACAGTTTGATGCAAAAAGAGCGGTGGCTGCCAAGCAGGTGTGGAGAGAGATGGCGGAGAATTTCATGGTTGCATATGCTTTTTCAATGCGAAGTCAAGTCTTTTTTCGTTGGGATTGCCCGGAATTATTGTGTACCGTTCATTGGTATCTTGATCTGAGATCTCAAAAAGTTCTTTTTCGCGTAACCTTTTAGAAATCTCATGACTACGAGGAACGGTAGATGGGGTTTTGCATTCCTGACAAAACCGATTTCTCGTGGAAAGTTTTGGCTCGCCAAGTGCGTTGTTCGCGTCAGACGAGTCAAGCTCGTGTTTACATAGGATATTTTGACTAGCCGTTACTTTCGCTAGCGCAAGACGAACTACTTCTAATAAAATAGTTCAAACTTAATCCAATGAGTCAATTATTGATTCGTCTTCGTTCCAAGAGACAAATCCATCCGTTGAGGAGGAGTTGATTTCTACTGTATTGTTTAGGTAACGTACGTACCGGGTACGGTATTTGATTTTGAGGGAAATACAGTAATGACTCGAAATTTTGTTCGAAACGATCAGCTGTCGTAGCAAGCCTACCGCATTATTTTATGTTCGCAACGAAAACATGAAGGGGTCGACCAACGTTGTCAAGTGACAAAACCGAAGCAGACGCCAGACACGGGACAGACATTGCAAGGCGAGCTCTCTAATAGCAGGAATCGATTAGAAGAAAGCGATTTTCGCCTTACAATAACAAAACTACGACTAGAGTCAAGCAGAATATGAACACGAAAGTTAGCGCAAGACACAATGCCTTGAAGTCGTCTTCTACATCGAAAAACACCGGCAACACGTTACTACCATCGAGCACGATAAGAGGAAAGAAACAACATGGAGGCGGAAAGGGGAAAAAGAAAACCAATATGGTGCTTCTAGTGGCCGGGGTCTTCGTTTTGATTTGGGTCGGGGCAATTTTCTCAATGGGGTTTTCTCACCATCAAAACGCAAAGCACAATGAACACCACCTGGCGGCTGATTACGATTTGTCGAATGTTAGAAAGCCTCGACACCTCACAAACGACCAAAAACGCCAACAATTCGAATCAATGAAGACACACAAAACCGGGACGAAAAAGCACGGCAATGGCAGTACTATCAAGAATCCGTACGAAGGATGGCAGCCCGTCATCGATCCCAACCAAGACATGGGAAACAAGAAATGCGATAGTTGGAGAACTTGTTTCATCAAAGACCATTCGTGCCCCGCCAAGTGTCGGGATTCTAAATCGGATATGGGAGAGGCCCCACCGCGTCCCGGGTTCACACCTGATCCCTATGGTGATGCCGAAGACAACAATGAAAAGGCCCAGGCCGTGGAATGGATCCCCGACGTGACGGTTCTCCATAGAATGCTTCAGGCGGGTAAAGATGAGCACGGAAATCCCTGGCCGCCGCCGCTGGTTACCGATACCAATAGGGAGCTGTGCGAACAGATTGGAGTCTTTGGCGGTCAGAACGATGATAACCGTGTCGCCCTTAACGCCATCCCCATGCGGGGGAAGGACTTGTTGGGCAAAGGCATCGACTATTCTAGTACCAGGATGAAGCGAGCTCCCCGAGTCTTGTGTATGGTGTACACAATGGAAAACAATCACCACACGAACATTCGGGCGATCCGGGAAACCTGGGGGCCTGGGTGCGATGGTTTTCTGGCATTTTCAACTCGAGACGATCCGCGGTTGCCGGCAATCTCCCTCCCCCACGATGGAGAAGAAGCATACGGCAATATGGTGAGTACGGGTGTTATCGATGATGTATTTTCAGATTAATTGTTGTGTGACCTCGTACAAACTTATGTTTTCCGTTGGTCTTACTCAAAATTATTTCTTGTGGCATTTTATCTCTCTTTCTCGACTTGGTCGCTTGGGAAATTATTTCATGTAATGCCATGATTTTTTTATGTGTGGTACGCTGCAGTGGCAGAAGGTCCGATCGATTTGGAGATTTGTCGGTACCCACTACCTGGAAGACTTCGATTTCTTCTTCCAGGGGGGAGAAGATTTGTACGTCCTGCCGCAAAACTTGCGATCGTATTTAGCCGACGCTATTGATGATCCTAACACCCAAGACTTCTTCGGCGGACGACGGTTCCAGCAAGGTAGCCAGAATATCTTCTTCAATTCAGGCGGTGCTGGCTACGCATTGTCTCGCGCTACGCTGCGAAAGCTGATCGACACGGGCCTCGATCACCCTGGATGCTTCCCCGACAAAAAGTCTTCGATGGAAGATGTTTTTATCGCACGCTGCCTGAAGGACGTCTTTGAAATCGGTCTGGTTGACACGCGCGACGAGAAGGGGCGCGAACGGTTTCATCCTTTTTCGCCAGGGTCCCACTATACCTGGGAGCCACCAACCAACGGAAAAAGAGACTGGTACGAAGCCTACAACAGGCTGTGGCCGCCAAAGCTCAAGGAGGAATGTTGCGCCCCCGACAGCGTCTCCTTTCACTACATGAAAAAGCCGGCCATGGTGCGGCACGTTCACGCCCTGCTATATAATTGTGATTAAAACCAAAAAATCAAAACGCATCAAGGCTGTCGATAATGAATGCAAGAAGACAGTAATGGTCGTAGCTAGAATGATTAAGTTGTTCAACAATTTGTTTGCATTGCAGATTGCATTGTGTTGCCATGTTTCTTTTCAAAAACGCGATTGTACACATACTTGGTGTCAGTACTTTAGGAACACAAAATTTGACATGCTGCACAATTTCCTCTGGCTTGCAATACCTCAAAATCATGTCCACTTTGCTAGTGGTGGAATATGCCATTCAATCACGTCGCTAATTGGTGCGACTATTATCAGTTTTATACATTTGACATCATTACTGATCTTTGATGTGATTCACTAATTTACTATTTTAGATCAAATGATTCAACATGTGATGCTGATTTATTTCCGAGTAGAAAGCAATCAGCTATACTTTCTGAAAGTCACTACTCGTAGTACAATGATGCCCCCTAACTACAACTTGGGAATAGTGTTTGGATGTGGCATTTATTTCACATGAATATCACTGTAATGAAAACCAAACTACTACTATGTTTGTCAGCACAGTTATGGTGTCTGTCGTGAGGCGTATTTCAAAATTATTCTTCCTGTTTGGTGCGAGCAGTTGATGAATACATCGTCATCGTTCATTACAACGTTTACAGTGAGTAGCTATGACAAAGGAAAGAATGAATTGCATGAGTCTCGTCGGGCAGACCAATAGCACCCCTGTTGGTTCGTCCAAAAGCCTTTGTCTCGTGCCTGAACATCTTTGTAGCACGAGTTTCCTTTTTCCTCATCTACTACGAATATTTTACAGAAAACAAATCAAGGGCAGCAGCTACTTTTTGAGGTTTTCTATTATTCAGTTACACGCAGTTAAATGAAGGAATTGCTTTGAGCTTCCTTCTGGAAACGAAGCAAATCCGATCTGTTGGTTGGGATGTATATGTACCTTGGGCACACACGCAGGCATGAGCATCATGTCGGCATCAAACAAGAGTTCCAAGAACCACAAGCGGTGCACGCATTTAAGCCTTGTCGTCCTTGTCGCTCGAAGTGTCGTCCTTGTCGCTCGTAGCCGGAGCGTCCTCGGCCCCGGCTTCGGGAAGCTCGGCCTCCGGAAGCTCGACGAACTCGTCCTCGATGACTTCCTCAACCGCAACCGCGGCGCCCGCAGCGTTAACGGCCCCCGCGAGCACACTGGGGCTCATGGTCTCATCGTTGTCTCCGGCGACTGCATCGGGATTGGTGGTGCCCGCAAAAGGCCCTGTACCCGCAGCAGTGCCCCTCAGGGTACCCGCCGCAGTGCCCCCCGCGGTAGCCCCGCCGGTGGGTGCGGAAGTTCTTGGAGGAAACGTACCCCCCCACCAGCTTGTGGGTACGGGCGTGTTCGCACCGAACGGGTTTGCGGTGGCGTCGGGGGGTGTGGTTGCTTCGCCTTCGGCTCCGGCAACCGGCGGTGAGGTAGCGTCGGCTAAGGCATTTGGGGCGTCGGTGGCTTCGGCTCCGGCACCAGGGTTTGTTGTAGCATCTCCAGCATTACCAGTAGCCCCATCGGTAGCCCCATCGGTAGCCCCATCGGTAGCCCCATCGGTAGGGGCGGGCGTATTCCACCACCATGGGTCGGTTGGAGCCTGGGTGTTTTGGTTCTGCCACCAGTTGGTCGGCCCGGGTGTGGCCTGCGCTGGTAGGACCTCGTCTACCACCTCGTCGACGACCTCGTCTATCACCTCGTTGGTCACCTCGGTTTCTTCGTTGGTCAAGACAATTGCCTCCGACTCGGATTCTGAATCACCTTCAGGGGGCGAGGCGGTCTCGTAGACATCTTCGTTGTCGACGATGGTACTCTCGAGGACAATATCCTCATCGATTTCGATATCAGATTCCTCGGTGTCCACTGCGATGTTCGTGACGGTTTCCTCGGCAGCGTTGGCCTCCGCAAAGGAGGATTCCTTCGTTGCCTTTTTGCGGGCCTGTACCTGCTTCCCGTACACGATGCCGAGGGCGAGGATGATGGTGAGCAAGGAAAACACAGTAACCATGAGATAGATCCATCGCTTCTTGGTCGCTGCCTTGGCGGACTTTTTGTCCCCGTCCTCGTTGAAGGTGTACACAACGTGCTGGGCCTCTACGGATTGGTCATCGGCGATATAGTTATTAGAGTACGAGTTGTTAGCGATGTCCCCGTACATCTCGTCGAGGTTGCCGTCTTCCGGGAGTGGCGGGGGAGGTGGGGGGATGCTTTGGGAGCGCTCGGGATGTTTGCCCATGGTGGAGTTGATGTATTGTTACGGTTATGTTGCTTTTGGATGCAAACTCCCAAGAGGAATAGAGTGAGGGCAGTGGGGCCGAGATGTCGACAAGAAGATACGAAGTTTTTGTTCGTTGCTAGTGGTCTTCCGTGACGGACGAAAACCAAGCCAAGAACTAGAACTCCCGCCCAAAATTTAATATTCTCAGATACCTATACTGATGCATGTCAATCGGTATGTAGCAGCCAATGGCGTAAGAATCGTGCCGATTTTCGGCGAACTGGGTGATCGTGCCAAAATAATACCCGACCAGTGAAAAACCGTAGAAAATGTACGGGGTTTCCTGGCTCCGGATGGTTCATTCCTGGTTCCATTGGTATTCCGCGAGCAGGATGTGCTTCAAAAACACTTATGCTGGGACGAATTTTTCCGTTCTGTCATGGCTGATTCCGTTCAAAATATACAATGATTCGTATGACCTAAGTTCGTAAAATTGTGGGCGCTACAAATTAATGTTTGGTATGGTACGAAAGGCAAACTAATATGGGGTTGCACATTGAAAGTATCGTACGCACGGGTTTAGTAGGTAGCCTGTGATCACCTTGATTTTCTAGCTAGTTATGAGTCAGGATTTTGTGAGCTGTTTTTAGTAATCAGCAGCAAGAAGCTTTGCTTTGCTTCTTGCTACTGCTAGCAAAAGACTAATTAGAGTCCAAGAATCCATCAGTCAGAAAGGGATTTCTTCCTCTTACTGTACATATGCATGATAGTAGTTAGGTTTTTTTTTCAAGAAGGGAACCTTTTCAAGCTTTTAGATTTCTCCCCTCTGCACAGCACCACTGCCCAGTCATTGCTGCCAAGACAAATCACGACAAAACATTGAAACAAGCCAAGAAGTAGCAATTGTCCCAAGAAATATTAATACAAGACAAGTTGTTAAAATCCAAAAAATTCAAATCATCCCAAGTACAATGAATTGTTGCAAGCCAAGCAAGCTAAATTTCCAAGCCAAAAAATTGTCACATTCTTGTCCCTTGCAGGCTCCTCTGCCACTCGCCCAGCAGTCTCCTCCAGGCCTCCCCTAGCATTTTGATGGGTGGACAAGCAAGCAGGTGGAATAGGTTTGAACCTTTTGTATCATGACACCCCAGTTGACAGCATCAAAAATGACCACAAGAATGTCTCCTGAGTAGCAAGCAAACATCTCTTACTACATTTTGCAAGTGGTTATGCGCCCTACACCTATTTCAGCACAGTAGAGCTGGTAGTATGCTGCACTGTATTACTACATTACATATGATGAGTACAACATACTACTTTTCTTGTCACTAGCAACATTTTAGTTGGACAAACAAGGTGCCATAGTAGGAATTTAACAAGATAGATATTTTTAATGTACTAGTAGTACTAGTAGTACTATCAGTAGCAGTACTAGTAGTAGTACCACAAATGAAGAGGTCAATACATCCTTTCTTTTTTGTGTAGTTTGGATGACAAAATTCTTAATTTGACCAAAGTACATGTAATCTTGTGCACTTTTGGAGTTTTTTTTACAAGAAAAATGTCTGTGCAGGAAAATGACCTACAAAAATCCTTCTGATACACGGGAGAGAAATTGATGGAGTGGAGATGACAAGCGTTTTATTTATTTTTGATATGATGCAAATATCCCTAACCTTGTAAGAGGTAAGTATAGGCAATTATTTTTATTCAAATTGGTCAAATAGAGGCTTTTGCTAAAATTCTGGTGACAAGGACAACAAAACTTTCTGAGCGTGGATTCCCCTAAATTCCATGATGTATATTTTAAAATTGAGTCACAAGAAGAGATTAATTTTTTAAATTGACACTTATTTGAAAAATTAACCTTGCTTGATGGAAAGAGAGGTCCAGAACACCCTCTTGGACATTAACTCAACTTCATTAGATCCAACCTAATACACCCTTGGAAAAGACCCTTAACCTCTGTAACACACATGGTCTGTATGGACAGTGTATTACTTCTTGGATCCAGAAGCTACGGAGCAATCAACCAAGTGCTTTACTACTAGAAGAAAAAGGATTGTTGTAACAACAGTACTGCGCTTTGTCACTGGATTGGCAAAACCCAGCATCAGCAACAACACCAACAGTATCCCCATAACACTAGATTCTTATTTCAAGTTGATACTCTGGCATCAGACTCATTACAATCCAGCTACTACACCAGCAGAAATGCTGAAAAAAAGGACAAGCAGTAGTGCAAGCAGCAACACAACCATATCAACCTATTCAATATACCAGCCAGCACATTGAGGGCCTCTTAAATACATTGAATTTTCAGGGATCTGCAAGTTTCATATTGATCCACTGTGTGGTGGTTTACAACAAGATTGTTCTACCAACAGCTGGTGTGCTGTTTGTATCATAATGAAAACAGCAGCAGCAGCAATTGAACCAGCTGCTGCAATTTGAACAGCAGGAACCACAAACATAGCACTACCAGCCATTGGATTCAGTTGAAATGGATGTGCTTTTCCTCCCTATCCAAGGACTCTATTTGCTACAAATTTCCTATTTACCCCAAAGGAACAGGGGATACGACCTTGCTCTGTGAAAGAGGCAATGACAATTGCTAAAGTTTCATCTGAGAAAGTCAGTGGTAACACAACAAAGAGTCCAAAGGTGCTAATCTAGAACCAAGGCTTGTCCTCGTGGTGGTGGTGGTGGAGGAGGAGGAGGAGGAGGGACAGTATCACCAACGCAGATCTCAAATACTATCACCGAGAGCACATTTGAGACTGTTCTCATTCCTCCTCTTTCTGATATCACAAATACTACTACTAGTAGTAGCTCCTCCAAGAAGAAAAGACCCAGCCCTGCTGATAGCAACAAGGACAAGGAAGACAAGGATACAACAGATACTACAGCCAAACAGTACCATCATACAAAGACAAAAACAAAGAGACTGGAAACTGAGTTGGAACAAAAGGCCTACAAAGCAGTAATCACCAAGGTAAAATACCAACGTTTGAATTTTCCTGAAAATATGCATACATCTGTTGCAAAAATTGTCCACCAAGAAGTGAATACCCTTTGCAAGTCAAATCTAAAGGCAGATACATGTAAGGTTGAGTATTAAAGATAGTGCTCCTTGCCTAGGCCCCGCCACTATTCTCCTTCCTCAAGTGATCAAGCAGTTTCTTGTTATCAATGCAATGATCTCATACCAATCTCGCTTGCAAAGAGATGAATGTGAAACCTAAAGGACCAGAGCTGGTCCAAATGCTAAAAGTGTGCCTTGAAGGAGGACCAACAGTACAAAGAGACAAGGGACAAGGAGGAACTGCTGTTCAAAATGCTCCACAAACAAGTTGTGGCAAAGGACCTTAAAGTCATCACTGGTAGCACCAAGATCAAAGAATGGATAGCAATTTGTATAACAAGATTAACACTTTCGTCACAAAAAGCGTTCGCGGGGTTTGGTCGCAACCTTGCGCGTGTAGATTTTGTGCGACCACTTAACACGGTGAAGTCATGATTATCAAGCTTACTGACAACCCCCTATTTGTGATTATTTTTAAGTTCTCCCGACCAGGACTCTTAGGTGAAAAAGCAAGATGCGCACATGCAATTAGTATTACTCTCAAATAAACTTTTATTATTCTCGATCAGTGCCAACGATTTGCTAATCTACAGTTCTAGAATTAATTTAATTCCTGTGGCTATTCGTAGCATTTGGACAAGAAATTACATGACGAACCGTGTTACTACTATCTTCAATGAATGATTTTTACGAATACTTTTTATGGAATACTAAACTTCTTCTACGACATCCCCCACCGTTCCTGCAATTAAATTGTCTCTTGTACACGKTTTCARCAGTGTATCGGTTAGGTTTCTGAACCGTTCACAAACATAAATGTCGTCCATCATGGTAACGTCAACCCTTGGTTCTGAGTTTGTTGGTASTATWGCTCTACCATTCTTCCTTCTACATTCTTCCCTGAATCGTTCCCTCATATGTTTCTCGAATTCCTCTCCTGTTTGAGGTTCCTGTCGAAGTTCCTTAATCTCAGCACATATCTTGTTGTACAGTACCTTCCCCTCTCGAGCCCACCCATCTCTCCTACTACCGCTTTTTGCATCACAAAATCTTTTCTGTTCCAACTTAACGGACCCATCTGTCTTTTTCTTAAGAGCAGACTCCCATACATGAAGTTCGTTGTAAAGCATCAGGAGTGCGAATGCCTCATCCTCCACAGTGAAAATTTCACTTAGCAAGCGCTCAGTCCCTTCCGTATTCCCGTTGAAATTGTTATTTCTAGCATTAACGGAGGCCAAAATTCTTGTAACAAAATAATAAAACTCCGGATTGTCCGCAGTACCGTATGCCCTGTAGAGTGGGTGTAAAACCTTCACCTCCTTATCCTTCATGTCCCAATCGGAAACTCTCACTGTTCCTGGGAATCTGTCGGGTACATTTCCATTCTCACTGTCCTCTGCAAGAAAGATAATTAAACGTGTCAATTGTTAGCATTATTTGGGAAGACAGATCATTACAGGACAATTAATTTGTAGTCACGTACCAAGCCATTTTTTTCTGGCATAACTCTGTGAGTTGTGTCGTATTTTGTTGAGCACTTGCGGTAAAAGGGTATTTTCTAAGTACAGACAAAGTTCGTCGTCACCACTGAACCCCTGGCAGCTGCTAACACAACCTTCCTTGATAGCTTGTCGACACACATATTTGTTGATCTTTTCATCCATCAAAAATTTCATGTCCCCAAAGAACTTGGATTCGATGTACCCTTGAAAATTCCTGGTCAGCAATTGCTTGGTCAATTTTGATATTTTCTCACCAGGAACCACCGCAACCACAACTGCATCTTGTGTGGTTCTGGGCACTAAACCATGACCCGTTTTTACCTTTTTKGACTCCCTTGTAATCCTTTCCTTTCCTTTATCAATCAACAACCTTTTCAATTTTGCGTTTTCCCTGATGAGGTCAGCAATTACACCGCTGACACTACTTCCATCGTTGAGGCACATGTCAGTGCTTGAACCTTTTGTTGTTCGACCACCACCAGTCCC